CGATCCAATACACTGGATCGTATCCTAAAAGTAAGGTAGAATGATGAAATTGCACCTTGATGACCTTCAAATTGAACAGATAGAAGGGACCATATCCTTGGATTAAATGAAAGCATCCTTACTCCAGTACCTAACTCAAGTAGGAGGATATCGACACAGTAGAAGAAGGGATACAAACTTGCACAATGTTACAATTTCATTCTTATGACTCATTAAAGATCGTAGAAGAGGGATACAAACTTGCACAATATTACAATTCGATTCTTTGACTCATGAAAGATCGTAGAAGAGGGATACAAACTTGCACAATATTACAATTCGATTCTTTGACTCATTAAAGATCGTAGAAGAGGGATACTAACTTGCACAAACTTGCATAATATGATAGGCGTATCAAGGACATTCTTATAACATATGAAAGATCGACATCTTGTCTACTAGTAGCGATGCAAATGAATTGACCCTATACAGTATACCTTCGGAAATGGACGTGATTTTATTTACTTAGACATCGTTACAAAGATGTTGATTGCAATTTGATTCATTTTCAAAATTAGCAACATGGGATAACTAGATTAAGAAAGGCAAGAGTAATTTTTATTCACATGGAGAATGATGGATCGCAAATAGCATCGATACGAAGGTTGAAAACATCTCTCATGATAATGATGATACTTTTGATCGTTGAACGATCAAAAGTTGGAGGATAGTTCCGGATGATTAAAATGAAAAGCAGTCATTACTATTGAACAAATTCAACGCGCTTGTCTCGTCGTGATGAATTTACAATCATGTCCATTAAAGGCTAGGATGTAAACTTAGTATACATCAATTCCATTTCAAAACAAAAAAAAGGCCAAGAAAATAGATTGGATACAATAGATACACAAGGAAGATATTCAAATAAGGTATGAATTCAAAATAGAACGGAAAGGGAAAAGTTCAATTTGTAGCTGGTAAGGGCCATTTGAACTCGCATAAAATAATGCCTATCTGATGGCATGATGCTTATAGGAGAATTTTCAATTGAATCCAATTTTGTACAGTCGTTTTCAAAGATGGCACGGATAGATACAAGTCACTAAAAAAGATCGTAACGGCGATCTTATCCACATTCGATATTGCTCTAAAATGGAATTGTAAGGGATATCGATGGAGTCCAATTTCCTATATCGAAATCCAAAAATGCATTGGATACAAGCTATCAATAGATCATGTTGACAATTTAATTATCCATATCCATAAAAGAGATTGCTGTAAAATGTAACTACATAGGGGGATATGGAAAATGACTGAAATGAATTTGTTGCCAAAAGATCATAATGACAATTTTATCTATAAAAGATATTGCTATAAACCGTAATTATAAGGATATTAAATGGAATTGCATATTCATTCTCAATAAAATAAAATATTGCTATTTAATATCCTGAATGATGTTCAATTCACTTGATTAAATTGCCTTATGTCAGGGAAACGGGTTGACTACTTCAATTAAGATAGGATTCAGGGATACACGGTTTTATAAATTTCATCATTATACTGTAGAAATCAATAGTTTAGTTAACTAATCAAAAGTTTTAGATGCCACGTATCATTCTTGTATGGTATAATTTAATGGAAAGCCTAGTGTTTGCCCTTTGTATCCAAATGATGGCAGTTTTATTCATTTTCTTTTACTGATAATATAATTAATCACCATCAAATCAATGCAAACGAAAAGAATATCTTGATAACAGAGCAAGATGGAGAATTTAGACCCATTCAATACTGTATTGAGTGTAGATAGATATTATGTATGGAAAAGATATCCAAATGAAGTATCAAAATCGCATACTGCTCATGGCTTTCCATTTTAATGTTATAACCAAAAATGAATTAATCTTACAACTTTTATATATTATGTTAATAATTATAATCGGCGATATTGTTATCCAGTATTGATTTATAATCTTTCTTCCTTTTTTTTCCCCCTTTCATGGTGTATAACAGTACTGCACAATTAAAGTAATTTGTAAATGAATTTTATATTCATCTACAAATACTATTGTTAAGGTATTCAAGATATGTTATCTGTGTCTGCGGCATAGTAATGGATATTTTTTCTTGGGTACCATTATGATCTTAAATTGGATTAAATTGATGACATCGGTCGATTCATTGAGGATGTTTATCTATGGATCGCATTGATTAGATTTACTAGCATGTAAATAAAAATTCAATTTTGCAGTTGAAAAGTTAAAAGTTAAAATAGCTTAATCGAAAAATTCTGTTGCTATAATATACTCATACAACAAAGTATTGATAATAATATTTTGACTTTTAGGTAAAAGTTTCATATGGGGTTATAAAAAAGAAGGCTACTATTGTCAAGGTTAGTCTAGATTGTCAATTCTTTTTGTTGCTATGATTGTTTTATTAACGATATTATCGTCCACTTCACTTCAGTAAACTACTTTTATCTCGTGTGTGATGATTCTTTTTGTTGAACACCGTTATAATGCTATTTTCAGTAACCAGTTATTTCCTAGTTTGGATACTTTTGTACTAACTACAATAATGTATGAATTGTCACATCATTCCATAGCAACAGACAGCTTTTTAATGCCTTTTCCGGTGACAATTTTATAATATTGTGTATTTGCTCTACTCTACTGGGGTCATTGTGATCTCTCTCTAATAACGATAGCAGAAGTTGGCTCTTTGTCACGTTGTAGAGTATTACGATTATAGCTTGATTTGTCGACTACAAGTAATATACAACGCATGAATCATGCTATACGGAATGTTTTCATGCCCCGATAGAACACTGAAAAGTGACCTCTTTGCAATATTTCTTATTGCATATCAGATTAATTGATATAATTATGCATTATTCATATTGTGGAACCTTTAAAGCTGGTTTTACAAACGCAAAGACAAGATAGCAAAGTTATTGAAGTAATTGATGCTTCATAATGCTAATATTATTAAAAGAATTCCAATTTTTTAATCATACTGTCATGATAAATTTCTTTAGGATTCTTGTTTTGCTAGTATAGCTCTACGTTTTACCTTTGTTATGTATTGTTTAATTTTTTATCTTGACATATTTAATCTCTTATATCAACAAATCGTTAGTTGACATTGCGTGCTTGAAGAGCCAAACTTAGAATTCATTTGTATCCTAATGCGCAACGTATATCAATTATAGCCGATGGCGGTTATCATAAGCACAAGCCTACCGTTAATATAACAAATATATACATATATATATATACACATTCGATCATTTTTATTCGCAAATCTACTATTTATTCCAAAATGTGTAGTAGACTATAATGAAATATTACAATTGTTCTTGTTAGTTTTGAACGTTGATAATTAGTTTATTCAAATTTATATAAATTCCAACAATACTTTAGATTCGAACTAAGTTATAATCGAAAAGATTTCTTTATATATTTTTCGCTTCTCAAAGTTAGTATAAATTATATCGTTTTATGATACAAACTGACAACCTTACTTCATTGAAAAAACATATCTATTTTTCCTGATCAGTATCGTAAATCTATCCACTATACAGCTTGGATAAACAAAAATTGTCAAACAGACTCTTAGCTTACTATACAACAGAATAATAGCTGTAGTATTGATGGAAGTCAATTAACAGAAAGAATATTTTTAAATTGATCTATAGAGATATTTATTATTCTCAAGACTTTAAATTAAACTAGATTCTAGATGTATCCACAATGCTTTACTTGACTATGTAATCATTGAAAAAAATTTTCATGATAGATAAATCAAAATCTCAAGTTTAAAACAATCAGATACAGAACAGTAGTGATATCTTGAATTTGATATTCACCAGTATGGATGTGATTAGAACAGTTTAGGAGTAAATTTTATTTTTACAATTTATTTTTACTTCTTTTTAATAAATATATAGTAAGTAATTGGTAATTTTCTATCATTATTCGGTGAATATTAAATTTATTTGATGCTGAGCTATAAAAAAAATGAAGTAATTTTAACTTATTTTGACCTACCCTTATTATTACTTCTTGATATATCATAATATTTGTTACGATGCAGCTGGTATCTTGACTTTCTATGATTGAAAAGTTCTCAATTTTAGAACTTTGTTATCATTTTAATACTTACCCTTACTTTAGTAAGAAATAATAAATACAATTTAACATAGTACGCTAACATTATTTGCTATAAAATATATAATTATAAAAATTAGTACGTTACAGTTTTAAGATAGGTATCGTAATGTCAGCAAACAATGCAGTAATTACTGTACTGTATAGATGTTATAGTTGATTTGCCTTTATATCATGTTAAATAACATTCTCAATTTCTACACCGCTATACACCAGTTGAGAAGCATAAAACTGTAGCATTTACAATCTACTTCTCTCCTTTAAATCATGCATTGTGAATTCCCTAGACTGTCAATTAGTTTGTCATATGGACTGGATTGATACTGCAAGAAGTACGCCTTGTACTAAACCGAAAGTATGGAATCATGATATTGTAATTACTACTAATCCGGATGTAAGTAAAACGAACATTTTCATTAGAACGTTATGTTAAGTTCTGGCACATTGTTTGCAGCATTTGAATTAATTATACTGGCATCTAAATACGGTATATGTAGTATGTATACAAAATGGGATATCTATATACATGCATATGATATTTACTATGTAATATTTGTCTGTAACATCTGATATCCTTAAAATTTTCTTTCATAGGCTTACATGCAATGGCCAGTAAAGTCTGTGAAGATTTGGTTGTGTGCTATTGGTTTATCACAATATGTAGACTTTATTCATCAGTGCAAATTCAATGGATTAGATTTAAAACGGTTGAATGTTGAAACACTTGAAAGATTTGGTATCCGAGATCCTTTTCACCGAGTTGCTGTCATGAATTGCGTTAATGAATTATGTCGTGGTATCTGTGATACTGATCCTAGTGCCCATTTAACAGTTCCTATATATACATCAAGAACAGATGACACCATTAAAAAGCATCGATTTAGAACTCATACATACACTTCGCTGACATTTTGCGATAAATGTACAAAAACCCTTTTTGGCTTACTCAGACAAGGTGAACAATGCCGCGATTGTGGTTACAACGTGCATCGATCTTGTATTTCGGAGCTTCCACCCTGTTGTCCTAAAATTAGCTCAAGAAAAGATGACATTTTACAACAACCGGCGTTTGGCATGGAATTATCTATCCGTTGTCGACAGGTACAACAGCAAGTCCCCCATGTTGTGACAACATGTATTCAAGCATTAGAAAAAGGAGGTTTACAAGTGCCAGGCATATATTCCAATAAAGTAGATGAATCTACTGTGCTAGATTTAAGGCTTGACTTCAACCAGAATTGGAGTAAAATTACTAGTGATGATAATCGACTGCAAGATCCTAATATTGCAGCATGTGTCTTAAAAAGATATTTAATAGAATTACCTGTACCTTTACTTTCGTTCAAAAGATATGACGAATTTATAGATGCTGTAGGTTGGTATTGGTTTCAAAATATATCTTTAAAAAGCAATGGTTAAATTTTATATTCTTTTTTAACGTTCTATATCTTGCTACAATAATAATATTATTATTTATAGCTGACTCTAGGGACGATGGAGAAGCCATAAATTTACTCTTAGGACTATGCGGAGAATTATCGGCTCCTCATCAGTCAACTTTGAAATGTTTAATGATACATTTGAAGAAGTAAAATCTTATTCTTTTACTTAGCCTATTGCAATTTTAATATCGAAATAGTACTCTATTGATTCATTAACGCTGAGCAAAATCTGTATAGAGTTTTACAGTATCAAGAATCAAACGGTACAAGCATCAGGCAGTTAGCAAGTATTTTCGGAAATATTCTTATTCGTCCAAAAGATGCAGATATATGGCATGTGTATTTTTCACGATCACCAAGATTTTATGATTTAATAATTAGTGATAACTTAAATAACTAAGATCTAATTTTTTTTTATTCAGGAAAATTGTTACAAATGCCAAATTGCATGTTCGAATCGTAAGCGTATTATTACAATACGGAAAATGGAATGAGGAAGTAAATTCAGGTATATCTTCTTTATTTAATGACTTTATATCAGTCGAAACAGTCTAAGACGTCAGTATTGTTTGTATATTTAATTAAAGGAGTGACATTTGAAACACAAGATACAGTAGAACTCGAAACCATGGACTGGTACTGGGGCAAAATATCAAAGTATTAAAAAAAAAATTAAATTACATAAAAACAGTATTGTGTACTAAATAGTGTTGTAGTTAACCTTCGATACGTATTGAAATCGATATCTTATAGGGAAGACGTTACTGAAAAGCTGAAAAATACTCCAGAAGGATCATTTATGGTCCGTGATGCTTCAAAAGTGCCTGGAGAATATACGTTAACCTTAAAGTAATAATCTATTGTAGATCAATATAACGAAATTGTTTTTTAAGACTTGCTATTAATAATATTAGTCTTACACCATTATTCTGTTTAATTTTATTAGAAAAGGCGGATTTGACCGACTGATACGAATTTGTCATGAACATGGTCATTACGGCTTTTCGAAACCCCTCCGTTTTCGATCTGTGGTTGATTTAATCAGTCATTATCAACAAGAATCACTAGCCCAGTATAATCGCGAATTAGATATAAAATTAATGTTCCCTATAACTCGTCAAGGCCAAGTAAGTAAAGTTTTGACTTGTCAAGGCAGATTGCTGAAGTGTAGCCTTAGTAAATATAATTGTAATGTACATGTATGGTTTATCGCGTATTTTAGAACGGCACTGGACCGATAACTAGCGAAGATGCAACAGCAAGACTGAGAGCATTGCACGTTGCTTATTTACAAAAAACGGAAAAGTATGATAATTTAATTAATAAGCAAAAGGAACGTCAACAGGTAATATGCAATACAGGATCGCTATTAAAATATGTCGTTCCTCTGATTTAAATTTTGTTCCGTTAATAAATATAGGCCATTCAAAATCACTTAAATTGTTTAACTGCGCAACGTGAAGTAGTAAATATGTTTAAGAAGCAACGGGAGCTACTTTATGAACGTTCAGATCAACAAACAAGAACGGGACAAGGTTTAGGACCAGAAAAAAATAGCGTGTATGTTGATAAGTTTTTACGATATTATAAAGTTATAAGCTTAATGTTAGTACTTTGCTTCATTTTATACTAAACAAAATTTTTAAATGATACGAAATAAAGGATTCATAATAATTATGCGATTGTGAAAGAAAGATACAATAAAGCTTTGGAGAAAGAAAAAACGTTTAAAAAAGAACTTGATAATTTTTACCGTGACCAGCGATCAATTGAAAGTGAAATGGAAGACATGAAGCCAGAAATACATCAAATTGGACAAGAGAAGCAATATTATGAACGGTACTTAATTTTTGCTGTTATTAGATTTCAATAACCAAATTTTATAGGGGTGCTATAGTAAAATATATACGCGGAATAGATTACATATTTATAAGTACGTGATTGAACCTGATTTATAGGATATTAAGGGAGAACTTTAATTATACTGAAGATAATATACGGAAATTATATAACAATACAGCTGCACCGACGTAAGATTCAGTCAATACCTTTAGATAGCGAATTGGTGATGTGTTTATACAACAATACGAGTTCTTAATCATAATCTTTTATCCATATAGGCCACCGGTAATATGAATAAATGATATGCCAGAACGTTTTATTTTACCTAAGAATATCTGAATATTATAGAACAAAATTGCGCATGTTAAACTAATCTTGATTATTCAGCTAGTGATTGTTTACTTTTCGATAAATTAATTAGCGTCGTAGATCTGTCGAAGACCATAATACTTGGTTATTTGGCAGACTAAAGCCGTAAGTACTATCTTGATGTATTATTTAATATTTATATGTTCGCATTTGCTTCATAGATTTATTAACAGGTCTTTCCCTTTCTCTATGCTATATTTTTATCTAGCGATGAAGTTAATAAATATATATTAGGAAAGCCAACGGGAACTTTTCTGGTTAGAGAGAGTATTAATTTTCCAGGAAATTATTCTATTTCCATATCGTAAGTGCTAAATAAATAATTATTCCTTGCGTATAGTTACTTCTACAGTACTTCTGCCATACAATAGAAAACTAAAAATAATCTATACTTCATCTAGAATAAATGGCGGTGTATATAATGTGCGAATTGTAAAAGAAGGTGGTCTATATGGCGTTGCTACACCATGTGAACATCAGTCGTTGAGGGATTTAATTGTGTATTATAATAAGGAATCGTTAGAGAAGCATAATCCGAATTTGAAAACAACTTTAAAGTACCCCGTTAAATCCGTAGATTAGTGAAAATTCTGATCGAATATTGAGTTAAATTTTTTTGACTGAAAGTTTTCACATTTTACAGATCTTCGGGGTGAAAGATACATTACTTTCGTACTTACCGATGTAATAAGCATTTTTAAGACATAATAATGTGATATTGATTATGATGTACAGTCTGGAATGGTTGCAACTGTAATAGATTTCTTGTTGAATTAGTATTGTTGTATTTTGGTTATTGTTGATGGCTTGTTATACCGGGAATGTAATTGAGAGTTAATTATAATGCTATCAATATCATTAACGTCTTTGCAAGTCTTATGTAAATCTTATGGTAGCCCATATAGCGATTTCTGATGTAAAGTATGAAGATAAAATCTAGCATTGGACGTTTTTTCGCCAATATCTGTATTGATATTGGTCAATAATAGATTCCATATTTATAAATGTCCGAAAATTTTTAAACTGCAGTATATTCGTATGAAATTATTTTATCAATAACCGAACCCTTGTGTTCCTTTTTAGCTTTTAAATTTGCGATAGCTATTTATATCGATAAGGACATTTACAATTTATATATGGTTTGCGATGCTATACATTGAAACCGCATTTCTAACATTTTAGATTATCGTCTTCCGATTTTATTGCTATCGCTATATGTACATAGTGTTATTGGTAGGGAAAATACAGTAGATATTATCAAATTATAAGACGTATACGTATGCTTTTATTCAGTTATTCATGCCAAAGTGAAGAACATTGCCATTAAGGATAATTCGCAGTATGGAAAAAATTACTTTTCGAAATATGTAATAAACAAACGTAAGCTTTAATGTATGTTTTGTGATAATGTCTACTATATACAAACTCCTTTATACTGTAATTACATTACTACCAGCAAAAGCAATCACGTTCAGATACTGAATCAAGTCAAATCATCTCTGACCTAACCTTTAATGATTGCACTCTATTTTTATAGCTTTCTAAGTAATTGATTGTATTCTTCTTAAGATTTAAAGTATTATTATCGATTGCTTTTAATTCGCTCTCGATGGATTGAATCAGATCGTGAAGTATATCAGTATAAATATGAATGTGTGTGTCATCAATTTTCTTCCATTTTACTTGATGATCATCAAGAAGGTGTAATATAACTTCGAGATAATCCCTTGTATTGCCAATTAATGCTAGACACTAAAAAGAGATTTTAGTATTAATAGAAAGCGATAGTAATGGTATCGTATATCTCGATGAAAAATTGAATTCGATATCAAGGTTTTACATACAATTGGTTTACATATACGCTTGATTTCTAATGTTGATGATAAGTGTAAAGGTAGCATCAAAATCACAAAGCTGGCGACAATATTTAAACCATAGTTGTTAAATGGGATTACTTTTTCATTCATCGATACTTCAGGATTTCCTTTAGACTTTATATAATCTCTCAAATAGGCGACGAAATCACGAAAATTGCTCTGCAAAGAAGCAGTTGATTAATTTTTAGAAATAATACTTTAGAGTTAGAAAATACTCATACATGCATGCTTAAAAGAGAGTACATTTTACCGTATCTGTAGTGCCAAGTGTACGAACTAACGGAGTAGCATGCCAAAATAATATTTGAATAGCGTCATCAACATACTAATTAAGAGGATGTATTAAAAATCATTGCATATCGTAAGATGTACTTTAATTTTAGTATAGTATTTTCACTGTAGAAGACCTGTTCATTTCCAACTAGTGCCACATCTATTGCCACATGCATAAGGATTCGGCCAAAACATATTATTAACCACCAAAGATCTTTATCAATCCTAATTGAAGATGATGATATTGATACGAAGACCATCGTGTTAATTGTTACCACAACATGAAAATGTTAGTGAAATTCTTCGGTCACTCATTGAAGGAGCGTTAAAGCATAAATTTTTGAATGATTATAACAAAAATATATATATACGAGTATACGATTATTTATTGACCAGGGCACTTTCAATAAACTTCGCATTTCTTTAGCGATGATGGAAATTGATGTCACATCGGATGATTTTTTAAATCTGGTCAACCATGTGAAAATTTGGCGTAATTCAATAGGAATACTAACATATATGGGCGTGCACTGTAAAAAATTAACGAAAATTATGATAACTGTTTTCACTAACGAAATAAGATTATTTCGTATGTTTAAAAGCAAAACTATTCAAATAGGCGTAGAAACAATATCAATATAGCTAAGTATAATAAACGATAACTAATTAATCTACCTCAGATTTACGAGTGTTATAATCCAATACAAGCCGAAAAAACTCTTGGACAAAAGTTAGCAAGATTAAGTTGATCCCAGATTGTAACGTCAGAGAGCTAACATTAGAGCATTTGCAAAGCATAGCAAAAATTATGTTGGAATGCAGTAGATCCGATAATTTTTCTATCAGAAAATGCTAGCCTATTGATTACGGTAAAATTATGTAACGAACCATAATAGTCTAGATGCTACTTCAAATAAACACGGCGAAGCAGCGCACACTTTCACCTAGAGGATTCATATTGATTAAAAATGATCATTGAATTTTAGTAATAAAATTTTAAATAATTGAATATTGATATCAATAAATCTCTAGCTCAGTAGAATCGGCTCACTATAACATGGTCTTGAATATGATTTCGAATCTCTTCAGCTGTTAATACATCTTCAGATGATATGGTCTCTTTTAGTACCTTGAGCAACTGTATTAATAATTAGTTATGACAGTATTAACTGAGGTATTAGTTATTAGTAATTATTGATTACATTATCAGAGTTGGCTATAGTCAGACTAAAGATAGTAGTTGAGTAAAATGTAGATAATTAATTGTATAGCAGTGAGCTTACTTCACTTTCAAACATATCAAAATTTCGATGCCAAATTCTAGTATTTATAATTTCAATAGTTCGGTTGTCTGTATAAAAAGTTTTCAATAAACATCACCAATATTAGCTGAAATAATAAAAGATGCTATATTGGTCATCGATGACAATTAATTACTGCGATTACTTAAATAAAATTGCTGACATTTGATTATGCTAGACTCTGTAAAAGTACCGGTAATTTTATTGCTGATTCTGTTTATTTCTATAATACTTTCAAGAAACGATGTAGGTATACTATCTTCAACTTGCAGTTGATTATCTCTAGAGAACCAGAATGAAGTTATTATCATTTATTGTTGTAGTAATGAAATTTTATCAAGGCTGTTCAGCCAGGGTTCAAGATATAACGGAAAGATATTTTAAAACGATCATATTAATAAGGTTTTGAGGCAATTACTTTAAAGTTATAAAGTCAGAAGGTAAATTGATTAGTTCGAGAATCTGCAAATAGTTAATTAATTTAATTAATAAATATGTATGAGTAAACGCTTTAAGAATAAGTCATTAGAATGTAGATTACGAGTATTTCAACACTGAGTCATGTTTACCAAAGGTTGCAAACTATCGGAATGCAGATATTGTAATAGAATATCTTCCGTCAAGGTACGAATCATTTTACCACATTTATTTCTAACCGGTAGGAAACACCTAAATTGACGATTAAGAATATCATTACTTGTTATGTTATAATAAGATCTATATACTCGTACATACTGTTTCTCACGAATGCGCATTATGCAGATATCACATACTGGAGTTTTGGACTCCATTTTGTCCGTTCTAGCTTAGCAAACTTGGAAGTTAGCTGGTAAATAAATTGCTAAATACAAGCAAATGTTATAAATACATCACTACTGATAATAATTGTACAGTTGGTGGAGTGAGCATGTCGTGAAAAAAGTTTGGGGCCTACCTCAGATGATGGCATAAGTTCCGGATGGCCTTCAGTGGAGTCGTTGCGTGTATTACTATGCGAAGTTTCTCTACGTAAGTTATACTGCAATCGTTTCTAGTCGTATTTTAACAATTAAGGACAGGAAATCGTATATAAATGATCCAAATGGTTCGTCAAGTGACAATAAAGAATATGAAACACTCTCTTCTATTGAATCCTTACCAGTAAAATCATCTTGGCTTGAGCTATATCGGTATCCGATGAAAATTGTTGGCAACAGCTTAGAACTAATTGTAAACAATTCAAACTACCGGCGGCTAATTCACCTAAACAGTGTCACGAGATGGATGCTATTTTAAATGTGTGAAATGCCATTTATTATCCCATCGGATTTCTATCGTATCCAAGATCTGTCTTAACCTATTTTCATGCAATACGAATCACATCGACATACAAGGATGCACTCTAGCATCCTTGATGGTCCACTTCACTTACTTGACAGCACTAATGCAGTATTTGAGAAAAAATTTGCTAGAAGCTTTATCAAGTCCAACAAGTAATCTCTACGATGAATATCATCAATCTAGTGACATTTACAATTAAACATATTATCTATCGTTAAGATGGTTGATGAAATAGTCAAGCTTTCCTAAGCTTGACGCAAAATAGTGAGAAAACTTTGCAATGTATCTATGCAATATTTACTTGACCTGATGCATTTTACTGACGCAATTGTCCAAGAGCGATTGAATTTGTTGCTGATTGAGTTGAACATCTCCACTGTTCATGGACGCTAGTTGATGGATCCATTTATGTAAATTATTCTGCCATTCTTGGCCATTATAATGATCGGATAGTTGTGCCATTAAGCTTTGCATTAGATCATTATGCGACCATTTCTAGATTCTGTGGACTCCTCCTAGTGGATGAGCAGCTATTGGAAATTCAACGCTGGCTTAATGTGGACCAACGTCATAGAATGCAACCTACCGTTTGCCACGCTTGCGCTATACTATAGTCATCGTATCGTTTACATTATATTGGTGTTGCTATACAGAACGCCCTCTAGAAAGTTAGCTTGCAGCTCTACGCGCTAACCCTATCCTTCAATCATGATTGCATGATAATTCTGCCGTTTAGGCAAATTTCAAGGATACCAATTAAAAATTCTATGTTTCTTCTATCGTAATTTACACTAATATTGCTATGATAGATCGATATGTTGAGCTAATTTTCATTCTATTTCTATCCAACTGGCGAGTAGCAATAGGTCTGATAGTGAAGCCATTGCCTACCAACTGCTTAGCGACAACCTGTTACCTTAGAGCGTTTGTTCCATTGGATTCACTGTCAGTACGTGGTATTAGTATAATCATCAATGACTGTTTTCAGCTACTACCCTGTTTATAGGGTTTGGATTGGCCCGCCTCGGAGATTGGCAGGACGGAAAACTTCAAGCAGCACTTCTTCAAGATGGAGGATATCCAATCCAAGAAAGAAGTGATGACAAAACGATTAGATCGATTACAAGAGAAAAGACAAGCCAAGGTTGATAAACAGCGACAAGGTAAAGACGATAATGTAGCTGTTCAAGATTCTGTTTACGAATTTTCCACCCGATTCCAACATGAAAAAAGGAGTATCGAAGAGATGTTGGACCAATGTTCATCGATGGAGAGCAAATCGATACCTGATCAATTGGATAGTGTTGCTATTGCTATGGAGAAGTTAGAGAAATTTGTAGGCGATTCTAGTCAATTTATTCCTTCCTTTACGTTGCGACAAGCTCAAGAAAATTTAAATAAGCTACGAAATCATATTGAAACAACTCGAGAACAGTACATGCCCAAGAAAAAATTTGCTTTTAAATCGCGTAAAAAGGTTGCTGCTAGTAAACCACTGCTTTCTTCTTCTACCACAGCAACACAAGACGATACAAGGAAGATTATTCAAGCTAAGGATCAAGATAGTATGGATACCGGTGCTCTAGCGCGAAGATTATGTGATTATAGCAACCAGGAGAATCAAACTTTAGAAATTACTACCGATGAAATTTCATCCAAAGATGTTAAGTTATCACAATTGAAAAACTGTACGGTACGAATTCAAGGTTATCCAAGCGCTTTACAAATCGATCATTTACAGAATTGTACTATACTCTCAGGACCAGTTTCTTCATCAGTCTTTGTCGATCGATGTCATGATTGCAAGATTGTAGTTGCATGCCAGCAATTACGCATTCATAGTAGTACTGATATCCATTTCTACATTGGTGTCACTAGTCGTGCCATTATTGAAGATTGTACACGTTTTATGTTCACTTCTTACAATTGGTCCTATCCATCGATCGAACAGCATTTTACTGCAGCAAATTTAGACAAGAATAGTTTAAGCTCTTCAGCCATTGATGACTTTAACTGGCTTCGAATCGATCAACCTTCACCGAATTGGTCTGTCTTACCTGAAGAAGATAAAATTCAAAACTGGGTTGGCTAGGCGAGTTTAGCGTGTCCCCAAACCTTTATCTGTATCGTAATTGTGCCTGTAACATAGTAGTTTACAATCTCTTTTACGTATACTATCCTTAGCTTAAAACATAGCGGATATATGAATCATACTGTAAAGCCCTAAAAAATAGCCAGATAGTCTTTATTGTAAGGGCAATCTAAGGTGTTTTCCTCATTAAACTACGAGCTGGTGTATCTATCATGGAATTTGCCATAGCGTTGACGTTAGTCGTCTTCCAGGTCTGCAAGCCGACATGTTCATAGTTGTACCTGCAGAACTTTTTGCTGTTATAGTGTACAACATGAAGTTAAGTGTTAAAATGAATATTTTTCTTGAAACCATTGCCCGATTTAAGCTTATGTGGAATGCTTTAGCTTTGTTATTATTTAAAGAATGAATTTAAAAATTTCCTTTTATTCTTACTACTCTATACAGTCGAAGGCTCTACCGACGTAATTCAAAGTTTGACTATACTTGTACGTATATATATAATATATATGCAAAGACATTGCTTTGCCAATTTTGGAAATTGGAAGATTATTTTGTTCAGTAATAAAACTTTTTTCTTGCTGCAATGCTTTTATTCAACCAATTAACTACTCAGTACTATATAGCTGTTAATAGTTAACTTGGCAATGGATAAAGTATCAACTATTGCAAGCTCTTCAATAAATGCAATAGAGCTCGGAAATTTCCTGACTATATCAGAATAATTTTACTGCATTGCTTTTACAAAATTAATACTCATTCTAATATCCGCATTTTACACGACCTAGGAAAGGTTTAACTTGTCATGTTATTCAGTAAAGTATTATTCATTGAAAATTGCTTGGCAAAAGTGTATTTCTGAATCACTGGACCGATGGAGTAGATGATGCTTTACTCCTCAATGCTGACAGTATCGGTATATATTCAAATGTATAGGACCTTGCATAATCTGAGATAAAATGAGCAGAACTATATCAGTACAGTAGTTGTGTCCTCTTCTAGCTGGAAAATTCGAAATTTTAAGATTACTAAGCCATAAAATTTACTGTTTCAAGTAGGAGTAACTATTTCTGATACCATCTGTTACTGTATCATAATATTCAATATCACTGAGACGTGGTAATGTGAAGGATAGAGTTTCCGAAGCATTTAATCAATTTTAATACTATAAATTAGTAATGTTCATTATGATGCATTGCTCCATGCAAAGTAAATATTGGTACCTGTAGTAAACCCGTATATATTCTATAGTCATGGGCGAGAATTTTCTATTTTGTAAGAGAGTTAATACTAGTACAATCTATCTACTAAGAATACCTTATCACCAGCTTTATTGATGTTGAAAGAAATTAAAGAAACATGTAAATGTACTATAACAAAATGATTGAAAGAGATAAGACCGATGTTTCCACATTCTCAGTACAAACTTTAATGATTTTCCAATCTTCCACATCAGCAGTAGAAAGTCGAATTAAAGTTACAGCTGTTATACATATTAAATACTATCATCTTACTGATTTGGGCGAAATTAATCTATGACCATATAATCCACAAACAAATTGTAATTATAAGAGCTAAAGAGTAAGCTAAAGAGTCGATTAAAATCCAATTAGCTGTACTCTTTAATAGTAACCTAAATTTTTATATTGGGTAGAATTATCATGAAGTAAAATAACATCTTATGCAATGTCCATGTAGTCGACCTACACATGCTAATTATTATGATTACACCACAAATTACAAAGAGAGAAATGAGTTCAATTACGGTATTGATAGTTATGGCTTCTATTGGAAAAAGAGCAAAGATAGATCAGGTAACTTTTTAAGCCAGCAATGTTGTAATGTGCCATAATACTGCCAGATAGCATCTATTTTTAGTGCTACCGCAGATAGAATACTTTTGGTTAAAATTTTTCATTCAGATATTGCAATAATACAAAAAGGAGCTTCTCGCACAATCCGCTCTCACACCAATGCCAATTTTATTGCTTTAACTTAATAGATCAGCGAAAGGATCAACTTGCCCTGATGCCTAGTTAAAGTAAAGAAAAGTATTATTTACTTGCTGTTAGTAAACTACATTTCCTCATAAGAATAAATTATGATAATACATGCTATTTAGAGTTTAAATATCTTTAAATACTCGAATTGTTTTCATTTACAATACTCATCATATACAGGTATTAGAAAGATATTTGTACAGTCAGTTATCATACTAACATCCAGTTACAAGAAATACGAGTATAACGTTTGTAAGCGTCGACAGTCATATTACATTAGGCAGTGGAATTGCTGATAGTAAATGGTTAATCATGGCAATCATTTAGAAGATAGGAAAATTTGCTTGATTCAAGTTGGTTGCACAGTATAACTCTAGGTGCCAGCTTTATATAGTCTATGCTCGTATTTTACTAAAACTACAGTAAGGTGACTTAGAATTATTAAATGCAGCATACTTCTGAAATTGTTGTATGAATAATTATAATTGGCTACTACTTTCGTTACTGCTTCTTGTATCTACGATGTCTATCATCACTCATACCTCATAGGTATTCGTATATTACTGCATATTAGCCTCCAGCTAAACAGAAATATAAGATTGCATAGTTTATCTATAATAACTAATCTATATATGTTAAATTATATATGTACAGTACATACACTGCGTACCTTGGGATAAAAAACTATTGCGCGTTATATTAATATGCAGTGTTGCTGATAGCAACTCATACACTATTTTAATCAGAAATTACTAGCTTAATAGACTAAATTTTTACGACTTTTATATCTGTATATCATGCTACCTAGCACCATGTATATAGTATACAGTATATACGATATATAATTTCAATCCTTATGTTTATCTATCTATCCGTTACAGCGTAGACCGTTCATTGACAGTTAGTAGTATTCGATATTGATTGTAAGCATTGCATTATTCTGTATGATATTTTACCTGCTGAGTAGGAGCAGCATTTCCAGAAGAGGATCCTCCAAATATATCGTTGTTATAATCATTACTATTATTACCACTGGCAGGTGCAAAAGCTGACGGTTTTTGGATTGGCACTTGTTGGTTGAAAGCTCCGGCCGTATCGATAGGCTGAAAAGTACGATTTGTTGATGAAATCGACTGGAAAGCTGGATTTATTTGGCTAGCCATGGCCGACATAGGTAGACTTTTTTGAGGCTTTGTCTCTTTAGGACCCAATACATTTAAACCTTCAAAGGCTTTATCCATTTCGTCTTGGCGATTTTTTGATTTTTGAGGGGCAGGCTGTGGCGCAGAATCATCTGCAAGAAACAATCCTTGACCAGCGTTGTAATTAACTTGACCGCTGGTTGGGCCAGCATTGAAAGGATTAGCTGGACTAGCACTTCTACCAATTGGAGGGATTGCACTACTATCGAACGGACTTGGAGTGTTGACAGGACTGTTGGATCTGCTATTAACTCGACTGTTAGTGCCAAAGAAAGGATTAGAGAAACCAGATGATGGAGCTAGGAGTGAATCTTGAGCATTGTTTCCTTGAGAGGAAGCAGATAGGCCAGAGAAGACATTTTGTGTCATCAAAGATTGCTGTTGCATATTAGTTGCTTCTAGACTACTTTGTGTACTTGTTTGAGATGCAAATGGATTATTCGTAGGACTGACAGAAGTACTTATAAAAGGCTGATTGGCAGGTGGAAGAGTATTTTGATTACTACTAGGTACTGAGCTGAATAAATCGTCCAATAGTACCTGTTTATTTGTGTCTTGTCCTTGCGACAATTGGTTTGAACCGTTGGTAGTGCTATCAGTTCCAGCAGGTTGGCTAAATGGATCATTCATGGAAAGTTGCACATTAACATTTGCTTGAGTTTGATTGGTTGTAATTTCAATACTGGATTGAGTACTGGTAGTAGTTTGTGAGCTAAAGACAGCGTCTAATGAACCTCGAGATGAGACTGCTGGGGCTTGTTGAGGCCGATTATTGTTACTTGTTAAGACTTGGTTACTGGGTTGGGCACTAAATATATCATCCAATGAAGCCTGAGAAGTTGTATTTTGCCCTTGTTCCGCTGGGATGTTCATAGATCGAGCTTGTTCTTGACCACTTGGTTGCGGACTGAAGATGTCATCTAATGCTTGAGAAGATGTAGCAGCAGCAGGTTCTTGGCTACTTGGTTTAGGACTAAATATGTCATCTAGGCCGTCTTTTGACGCGGTAGTTTGCCCTTGTGGAGCTGCATCAGGTAGGCCTTGACTACTCGGTTTTGGACTAAATATGTCATCTAATGAAGTTTGAGAAGATGGATTATGTCCCTGTGCAGGCAGACTACTTACAGGTTTAGCTTGATTTTGATTGTTCGATTGTGGACTAAAAATATCGTCTAACTGGACTTGAGAGGGTTGATTTTGTGCTTGTGGAGGCTGAGTGTTTGTAAAAGCAAATTGGTTAGCATTGCTCGGTTTTGGACTAAATATATTATCTAATGAGCCTTTATCATAGCCGTTGGATGTTGAAGCTACAGTATTCTGCGGTGGATTGCTAGCAGGATTGCCTGGCTTTGATGGTGGGGGTTGCAGTATGGATACCCTGCTAGCTGCTGCGCTGGAAACGCTAGCTGATACTGTTACTTCTTTTTTAGATTCTGTAGCCGCTGGTTGTTCAGTAACAGTATTTGCATTAGTTTTGTCTTCGGCCTATATTATAAATTTAGATAATATAATATCAGTTTTCGTAATAAAGTAAATGCATTGCATTGCTAAGGGCTTTCACGGTATTCGTATAAATAATTTTATTCTATTATGACAATTAGAATTAAAATTCTGAAAGTTTTTCAATAATAATATCCTACTTAAGCTACAGAAAATTATACATTATCATAATTGGAATTTCGTTTGTATTATTGTTCTAGATGAATTGGAAAGTGTTAGCTACGATATGGATCTTCTTACCTGTTTAATTTCATTACTTGTTGATCCTGCTAGATTTAATATTTCCTAATAATGAGGAGATATTAGAAAACAATCTTAGTTTATAATGTATCTACAATCATGCAATTTAGGATAAATATCTACTATAGAATCAGAGATTATGTGGAGGCTATGTAACTGTCAAGCTATTAGTAATTATAATAATTATTAGCGGTATATCCCTTATGAATCTTACACTAACCTGCTTTTTAATTTCTTCTACACTCACAGGCTACATGTTAATAAAGTTGTTGAAGAAAGGAATGGCCAGATAAAAGGCAAAATAATCAATGTTATATCGTTTATTAATCGAACAAGGGGTATAAGCTTATCTTTTAATAGTTGATATTTTTCAACGTAAAATTAGAAATTAATAACTGGCAAAGTAGTGACTAAATTATTCTGCTCGTGTACAATACGGTAGTAATGAAGTGATTCTGTAGCGTATATTCTATTATAACACTCATCTACGCCTTAAATAAATAATGAAATTATTATTGTTATTACTACACACTTAATTAATCAATTAGCAAACAAATTGCTTGCAATGGGACTAAAACTTTAAATCAACAACTATTTCTGCAGTAACACTTTTAGAAATCATATGTGCTAAGTATTATTCTTCGTATACGTATAATATGATACACCCTTTGACAAAATTTCGAAGAATATTATTTCCGCATCAATACTTTAGGCAAATAAGGTTCTACCACTAAATACCGTTTCGTTGTACGTTACATTCAAATAACTAATTTGTTTACTATAGGTTATTAACGCTATATTTTTTATATTGGTTATATCGAGAGTTATAGGTAAATTGAATTGCTTACGCTATGGTACAGTAAAATCTACTAAGATCAAGAACATACGATTCGCAAGCTAACGACTTTACCTTGGTTTCTTTTTCGTCTATGAGGTTAGCTTCTGTAGCTGGATCGGGCTTCTGTAATTAAATATGTACGTATATATATATATATACACTAAGTAAGAATATCAGTTGAATCATAGATACTTGCGCCGTTATTTTTAATTCTTATAAATATCTAAATGTATTTCAACTGATTGTTATCGGTTATTTGCATATGTTAACTGAACATTCGTTGTCATGTTTTTACTAAAAGCAATAATAACGATGATTTAACGTTTTTCACCTTTTCCACTTCATTTTTTTGTGTCGCTTCTTTCTCTGAAAGGGAATTTATAAACACATGTAAGGGTTGATGCATATACGCTTATTTATGATTACGGTTTATTCTTCCAAAGAATAATCAATAAAGTAGGAATACGATTGTACCATTAATACTGGAAACAATCTGAACAAGGACTAGTCGAATAAATTTGTTGTAGTTGCACACGCTTTTTGAAGTGATGACAATTTAATTATGATGCAACTAAAATTGTGTCCTATAAGAACTAAAACTAAGATAAGTACAGCAATCGCTAAATAACTAAATTTAGTTATAATATCAAGTACATGTTTAAGAATGATGGAATCTTGAATAAAGTTGCATTCTGGAGGAATTATAATTGACATTAGTAATTAAATACTGGTAAGTAAATCAATCACATGTATTACAAAAAAGGCACTGGTGAAACTAAAGGTATGGCAGTACTTAGAAACAGCTACTTCTATAACATCACTTGCTATCATAAAGAAATACTATACCAGTAAAAATGAAAGACGCATCAAAACGTTTAGCTAGACAGGCCAAGTGCCAATAATTAATATTTCCATGGCAGAACTTATCAACATTTCTATCAATTTTACTAGCTAGAATGAGTAGAACTAATTCTTGAAGAAACATTCCTATTTATTGCCAGAATGGTATAGTTGAAGACTACCATAGTTGATATCATAAGACTGAATTTTTTTTAAGCGTTTATGCCATCGGTCAGGATGAATTCTTTACAAAGGAAGGGGTTGTAGACTTGAACATTGCGTTACTTGACTGCTTTGAGTACACAAGCCTTACCTTTCCGTATTCTTCTCTTTTGGACAAGATGTTCAAAGAAATCTTTGACACAGTTCAATACTACAGCAGCTGTAACCTGTTCCAAAAGATCGATATAAATGGTGTCAATTCCTACGTATAAAACGTATAAATAGCTATGAAATCGGCCTTTAAAAATTACATTTTTCTCGCTTTTATAGGCAAAAAATACGTGTTTCTTATCCAAGAAATAAATCAAACCAAAAACCCGATTATCCTGTCGATCCGGTGTCAAATACGAAATTTTGTTGGCGTTGTGTTGAAAAAGTTTTTCCTATAAAAGTTAAACAGCCATACCACAGTTAATAGCATGACTAATGATATAGCCGAAGATGAATTTATCAAGTCTGCAATATGGAATTATTTTATAGCTAGGAAATAGCAGTTGTTTTGGATTAAGAGAAAGTAGTCGTAAATTTGATTTCTTCCTTTAGTTTACAAGTTAGAATTGCCAGTTAATTTAATTCAAAAGGAAGCAGTTATTCAATTAACTACTTCATTATGAAGAAACCGGTACTTATCTCACTTCATGCATAGTGATTTATTTATTATCTTATATAGAATCGACATACTATCATCAACCATATGTTCTGGTGACGAATTACATAGAAAGTTTTAGCTCTTAGTTGCGCTTTTATACATGGCGTTAAATCTAATACTTTCTTCGAAATATCATTAATTTCCAGTCAACTGGCTTAAAATCTTGTACGTACGTAGTGTTACAAATAGCAAACTGTCGAATATGATGTAGAGGAGTTCAGTATTCTACATTACTGTAATGTTATGAGATTTTAGAAAACACTGTATCACGCGTGATTGCAAGATCCTGTGAACAGGGGCAGTCTCGTAGATTTATATGGCAATCGCCTTGTTCGATGTTTTATACTGAATTCATATCGTTAAATCTTTTAAATATTTTATTCTACTATTGAATTCTCTTTATATAATAGTTGAAGAAAAAGAATTAACCGGGCTAGAATCTTCAGGAAATTATAACTTGTAGGAATGTGTGAGGAAATATTTTGTAGCGTTGTATCCAGAGTTTTGTAAGCTGACATAAAGTAATTCACTGCTAGAAAATGTATAGCTCTTCTCTCAGAGAAATTTAGCAACGGAGCGGGAAAGAATGAGTCTAGATGAATTCAGAAATAAGCCCGTAATAACTTAAAAAAAAAATAGGGGTACGAACGGAGCGAAAGGACTCTATTATCTTAGCGAATAGCTATGCTTACATAAATCGGAAGTATTTCGACATAACGTTAAAGTCAAATTATGTACAAGCATAAATAGTGTGCTACAGCAGCAGCATCTGCTCATATCATAAGGATTCATTGCAATAGCACACCACCGTTATGGTGTACAATCATCGAACGTTGGTTTTTATATACTTGCGGACGAAATCTAAAATTATCTCATAAAATTATCTAATGCTAGTTAGATTATGGCTTTGATTTACTTTTGAAAAGAGTAATCGATATCGTTTTTATGGAAGAAAGGAGGGAGAAAATTTGTATACGTATGCTAGTAATGATGCAATATTACTAGTGGTGCACATTCATTAATATTATCTCGAACAGTCTTTATAACTGCATAGCTCTTGTAGAGCATCAATAATTAGCATCTCGAAATTGGAGATTGGGAGAAGTGTGAAATTGTTCTTAAAAGTTACCGATTTTATGAATACGAGTACTTGTAGGTTACTATCTATCATAATACTTACGCCAGTTTTTTCGTCAAGGATAGTCATGCCTTTGTCGCCAATTTTAATAAGCACTTGTTGCTTATGACCACTAGCAGACTTTAATTTCAGCTATAGGTAATGAAAAGACATTATGAATAACATAAGAATGAACGTAAGACTAACTTGTCTAGCAAGATTTTCAATGACGATAAAGAAATTCTATCACAAATTAGTTCAGACAGTGATAATTAATTATAATCGTTAATTCATGTTCACTAGTTACTAGTTTCCGTTCTATAAAGTGAAAGCTTACTAAGTTTATTAAGTTAAACGAGGATGAAAAAGAAGACAAAACTAATGCTAATATATCCTCTTTTAACGCAAAATAATCCAAACATATGCGTAGAAGTACTCCAATAATTGGGAATATAAAATAGAATAGATTCATTTTGTTGATAATTATAAGCTGTCCAGTCATAACTTGCGAAATTACGTTTTTCTAACTAACAAATAAATTTACGGATACCATCGAGTTCCAGTAGTGAACGCAGACAGTATTTGATCAAGCTTAACAAATCTGTTTCTCATGATCTTTTCCATAAAAAATTTTCGTATGAATACCATAATAGAACACAGTGGAAAACATACCTTGATTTCTGACAAAGCATTAGCGCATAACTTTTCACCTTGAGCAGCGTCAACTTCCATCGATCCCATAATCTAAAATGAAAATGCGATTAAATCAACAATCTTCACAAACAGACAAAAAAATGTCTGGTTTATAGGATTATTACTAGATCAGCAACTATGAAAGATTTGCTGTTTTAAAGGCTATTAACATGATATTATGAAGCGAGAATATTCAACATTATTGGCAACTGAATCAATGCCAATACCTTAGCTTTAAAATTGACGCCATCTTTGTCGAAATCTTCTTGAGTGTATTCAATAGGATTTGCTAAAGGATAACGTGGTTTTCTCTTATTAAATTGCATTTTTTCGATTAGGATATGTGGCAATTAAAGTCGGCTTTAATGAGTGTGATCGTGATTAATTAACGATCACGATTCTAAAGTCTTGTCAGAAGTTAGTATTCGTATACATGTGTTTTTAAAGTTATGAAATGGAAGGTTAAAAAAGTATTTTAATTAAAGTGATAAGCTATACGTGATAGCAATAATCTTTTTCCTGGCAAAAAAGTAGAGAATGCAAAAGCGCTATAATAAGATTCCGGACGGTCGTTAACCTTTTCTGATTTAACCAAAAACTTTGTACTGTAACTAAAGCTATCGTAAGGGAGATTAATCAAGTCTATAAAAAGCCGCTTAAGTTCTAATTGAGAACGTCTATAAGTCAAAACCTAATAGCACATTAGTTAATTTATATGTAGTTGCGCCTTGAAATGTTAAGAATAGGATAAGGTAGTTAATGTTGTCATGATATAATATAAACCTGTTGAGCTATTGTGCAAAAAGTTAGAATAACTCTAAATATTACAGAAATAACCGTATAGAGATTGATCAATACATTATTCTGCATGCACAGTGTGTGGTCGGATATAAAAAGCATGTCGTCACCGACGTTAATTTAACATTGTATTGGATCTCATGATCATTTTAAAAAATTCGAGTAGCGGATGATTATACTATCAGAGTTTAGGATCGTTCTAGAACCTTTGGTTGGTATCCAGCTAGAAAAGTAACTTTTGACTTTTGATCCGTCCACGGAGTCTCCCGGCGTAGTTGGAGTAACTGGTGTACGAGGTTCACTCATGTTTGCAGCTATAAAGGTAAAGATTGATTGATTAAAAAATTGATTCACCTTTTGACTGCATTAATATAATCATTCTTAAATTATAGTGATAGATTTGCCTTGCTGATGGGTTCCTGCCAGGCAATAGAAAGGAAGTAGTCCACTGTAGCTGTGACTTTAAACGACTCCACAAATGAACCTTGCCACTAGGGGCGCATGTCGATATTTCGCTACCGGAGCTGTACCTGGCTCCAAGAATACAAATGTCAACAAGAAATAGTTCGACACGCCTTCATTTATTATAAATCCAACAAGATAGTTATATTCAATGCAGATACACCTTTCTTGGGAAAGAAAATTAATATAATTCTTCAGTTATGATTAGCATGATAATGGTATAAGCTTGCCATTCAACGCTGTTATTCTCTTCCTTCATTGTTGGTCCGACTTAATGTTAAAATAAAATGTTACCGTAGATAGATAATATATTTTTTGGCTAAGTTGATATCATTATTACTTTGCTTGCTATAATCCTAACATACTTTACTGGGTTATCATTTTCTAATGGATTTTATTCGGATTATATTACAAGGAATACACATATTTGCTGATAATTGCAATAAGAATATACTCGTATTATGCCTTACTATCATAGCAAGTACTTAACTGGTGATAACCTCATTACTAATATACTCAGATTTATTTGATCTAGTCAAACTTACTAATTCAACGTCGATAGCCCAGATTTCTTTACTATCTTAGATATCATAGCAATAACGGTATCTTACAAAACACTAATAAACGTTGCTAATAATAATAATCTTGAATCATTAGTATAGTCTTCTAATTTATTATCTGAATTATTTTAAATTTCCATTACGTACTGTAGGTATAAATCAATACAAATAGAAAAGGTCATCAATTTTATTAGATAAAATGAGTTCAAAGTACTCAAAATTTGCGCAGGATGACATTCCCTTTGATAGGTATTAACATGAAATAGATTACCTCTCTAACATTAATTCAGTCTAACCGATACTGAGGTAGTTATAAATTATCATTTAAGAATCAAAACGACTTAATTTGTACTACAGCATGACCTCTAGCAGGATGTCATTAACTGATCAAGATTATGCAATGATAATAATGGAATGAATAATTTGATAGTTGTGATGCATTTATAGTATTAGGCTATACAGGTTAGGAATGACAGTGTACTGTCATGGTCATTACAGAAATAATAGCATATGCGATCTCTAACTACTAAAGTATATGGGCATAATTTATTTTCCTAACTGGTAGCAACCAGACTATGCAAATAAATGCAATGCAACATGGCTAATATAATTATAATGATATGTATTATTTTCGCATCGAAAGGAATTACGCCAGTATGATTGACAGTACAACATTATTTTTAATAAATAGCATATCCTAATGAGGTATTATTAATGTTCGCTCGTGTCAATATTCTGATTATTAAATCATACACTATTTAGAAGGTTTATGTCAGATACAGCTAGATTATTAAGTAATTCCAAAGATCATTTAAAAAATTTTACTATCTATTTTACAGCAGAGTGTGGTAGTTTAAGGGGATTGATTGTGTGTTATCATTCTGATTTACTTTAGTTGTGCCATATGTGCTGTACCCATAAAACCATTGCAGAATATACAGAATCGGTTATTATGGGTCAGCGGGAATACGCATATTTATTATTACGCAAATACTACACTCGCTATAGATGATCTAATTTAGACACAATCGAAAAAAGCTCAATGATGCAATTAGTCATTAATTAGATTTTAAAAAATAAAGCTTTATTTAATTCTTACGAATCAATAAATTAAATCATAACAACACCCGATTTACAGTATCAACGGTTGAAATGATTTAGGGTTACCTTGTTGATATAATCATTTGTATAGCAACCGCTCAAAAGGGAAATTCGTCAGAATCTGACATTATATATATCAGCATGACAGCTGCTTCAATTTTATATAATTGTTAGTGTGTAGAAGTCTCTGGTTTAATATACTATCTAAATAGTGCACATAAACCTCATTTAAGTTAGGGAGCTGATATTAAATGCAACTATAGATAGGTATAGTTGGCATTAGTCGATTACTTCATTGATTAATACACAAATATATTGCAATATCGTTAAGTATATGTCGGAATGGAATGAGATAATAAAATAATAGTTGAGAAATGTGTCCTATTTCCTCGAAGTAGGTCATTAGCATAAAAACGTAATAGTCGGATAATACACGTACGAAGCTGAATTAATAAAAGAAAACTTGTTTTCTAATTTAATATTGAAGCCATGATCACAGCTCAACTAATGAATATAGTGCTGTAGATGGTGACGACACTTTGAAGTCCAAATTTGAGTCATAGCAGCGTCTATTATCTGCTAATAGTCATAACTGTTAGTATATATGCAATAATGTACAAGTAATCAGAGCATTTGATCAATGAATTAATATTATTACGGCTGGAATAATACAAAATAGGCATCTCATACGTATAATATCGTACTGTTTCGTAGTAATAAAACAATTTTAGATTGTATTGCTATCAAAATAACTGAACGTATCCAAGAATTTTTACTTCCGATGATATAACATCAACTAAGATTGTGTTAGAAGTGAATATTTCAATTAGATCTCGTAACAGTCATTACAACTTTAGCGCCAAGATCATGCGATGATTCAATTTTAAATTTAATATTCCTGTTCAGCCAAAACTTGCTTTAATGCTTCTTCGTAAGTAAGTCGAGGCCTTCTATTTTCCTGAATATACCGTTTGGTATCTTGCAGTGTGACATAATGATAAGAATTCGACTGGATATTATCAATTTCGGCGTTATAAAGCCTCCTGTTTGAGTCCACAAAGTTCTTCGTTAAATTTAGTTGATCTCGTAGCATGTTATTCAGAGCGACAGTCATAGGGTTATAAGCAGTTACCGCTTCTAATGCATCGGGGCTGATTACGTGTGTTGCAATAGGCGCTGGATCTAAATATTCATGGCCATAACTTGGACCGATCGATGTTTGGATGTTACCTTGCCTAGGAGGTGAGTCTGTTTGAACTTCAGCGTCTTTTACGATAATATCTTTGGAATTCGACTTTGTGTTTACTACAGAGCGACGACTGGAAGAGGTAGTATCGCTGCTGGTTGAGTAGTCGGTGTCGGAAGTTGCGCTACGAGACAAAATAAGGGACTCTTTACGCGCGCTACTGTCTTCAGTTACAAAATCGTCCGTAGAATAATGCAAACTTTCAATATCTGACTGAATAGACTTGTGGACAGAATGTGTTTCATCACGGATAGTCTGTATCGATGATTCTAAGTTAGAAATGGACTTTATATCTTCTGCTAGACTATTCTGAGATCTATTATCACTTGAAATATTATCTTGTGATTTGATGGAAGAATAATCATCATCACGATCGTAGGAATCGTGATTGACATCCTCTTCTATTTCTTCGGCGCTTTCTCTATGAGAGCTAAGTTCCTCGTTTATTTCATTAGTATCGCTCAACAGCTCATCGATGTTGTGAACTTGCAACTGGAAAGATTCAGAAGGCGAAGCGGTACTCTTAGTTTGTGAATCGTTGAATAGGTCATCATCATCAGGTATTGACTGTAAATCTTGCATATTAGGGACTGCACTGTCAATGGAGTTGGTTGAGCTATTTGCAGACCTAACCATGGATCGGTTGGATATGGAGTGATTGATTTGTTGTAACGGTTGTGATGTTGAGTCAAGACTGCTGTTGGCTCGAACCTGATTATCTTGCTCCATGTCTCCATCAGAGTGATCCTCTGATATTGAGATGCTTGATACATCAATATCTTCATCGCTTAACGATAATTTGAATTTTCGAGTATGATCTGGTTTGGAAGTTGTCTTCTTGGATAGATTTTGAAGGTAAGCTTGAATATCTTCGTCATCTTCACTGGACGCCATTATTATTCTATACTGTACGCAAGACCTAGCTGCAGACCATCAAGGCCTCGAGCTGCACCATGACAACGGATAGAATATATATTTTATTTATATTTATACTGTCCTGTCTTCGGTAGTCCACTATTTACTATTGTACGGTACAGTTGTAAAGGGTAAGTTGACTGGGAGTTGTGTTTATTGCAGGTGCTGTACTTTATAGTGTACGGTAGAGTACCATCGAAGGATTGTGGAATCGTGGACGCTCGTCATGGCCTCAAGTAGTTCTAGACAAATGGAAAATTGTTTGCTCCATCTACTCTTCAGTTCAGCAAGCGTTCTCCGCTTGTTATCATCGCCATGATAATACTTGCACTTTCGCCAGAGTCTACTGTACTGTATATTGCAGACTAAAGTACATTATGTAGTCAATGATAGAGTTATCCGACGAAAGACGAGGATGACTGCAGCCTGAAATTTCATTTATATTGCACCGCAGACTTGTGCTTTAGCTAACATCAAATAGTCCCTAACTGCACTCGATCTGCAGTCCTGTACTAGTCTACTAGATTTGCTACAAGCATTACTTAGTAGTTGGAGACAGTGAGTACAGTGCAGTTTAAAAATCGACAACTGGTATGCCAGTGCCGTTTTAAAGTAGCATCGACAGTACTGTATATTTTAGGGAAAATTAACTATATTTTATTGATCTTTCATCAAGTAGTCCCTAACTGCACTCGATCTGCAGCACTCTGCTAGTCTAGTAGATTCGCTACAAGCATTACTTCGTAGTTGGAGACAGTGAGTAAAGTGTAGTTTGAAAATCGACGACTGGTATGCCAATACCGTTTTAAAGTAGCATCGACAGTAATGTATATTCTATTGATATTTGATCAAGTAGTCCACAACTGCACTCGATCTGCAGCACTCTGCTAGTCTAGTAGATTCGCTACAAGCATTACTTAGTAGTTGGGTGAGTACAGTGTAGTTTGAAAATCGACGACTAGTATGCCAGTACCGTTTTAAAGTAGCATCGACAGTACTGTATATTTTTATGGATATTTTAATCACTTTCAACATCAACCAATTTCAGTCGAAGGCAGTAAGTCTAAGGTCTACTCATTGCATTCTAAACTGGAGTAGGATTACTGACGACAGCAATCCTACACGGTGATCTTCTAATGAAGAGCACTATGGCTGTATTGAATAATATTCCAACTGAGTATATTCCGTATATTGTACACTCTTAAGCTTTGATGATGAAATTGGTGAAGAAGAAAGTCCAAGATGGACGGTGCTGTTGGTTGGATGATGAAGCGAGTACGCACGCGCATCGCCAATCACCATGGAGTACGCATGTCTGATTCGAGAATGTCCCATCGTTCAACTGTCGGAGCCCTTGTGATTGGATAATAACAATATAGACCAATCAGAATTCTCCACGCCATCATCGACTCCGTTGTCTGTGACACACGTGCCCAACCTCATTCCCACAGTGGTGCGTGGTATTTCACGACCTGGTATGACTAAGCAAGGATATTAAATCGACTCATCACTTGGTAGACTTGCAACATTGGACGCGAGCGAAGCAACTGGTAAAAAAAGATGATGAGGATAGCGTTACTTTGCTTGGCACTTTCTAGTCTTGTCATTGCCGACCCTACGGCCTACTTCGTTGAAAAATTCGACAGTAAGTAGTGGCAAGCAATTGTTACTCAAGTTAATTTGCTCTATCTAGTTTTAAGCGATCATTTTTATAATCCAATTTTTGATTGTCGTAGGCCCCGACTGGGAGAGCCGATGGGTTCAATCGACAAGCAAAAGCGATTATGGAAAATTTGTGTTGACTGCTGGTAAATTTTATGGTGATGCTGAGAAGGACAAAGGTATCAATTCAATTTACACAGTTTGCTGACCTGAGCGAGGCTGTAGAAAAAAAAAAAATGACACAAATTAACCTGCAATACATCTAATTATTCATAAATGTCATGTCTGCACATAGGTATTCAAACTAGCCAAGATGCACGCTTTTATGCCGTCAGTGCTAAATTAGATAAACCATTTAGCAATAAAGGCAAAGCGTTGGTCCTCCAATTTACCGTCAAGCATGAACAAAGTATTGATTGCGGTGGTGGTTATATCAAGGTAAATCGTATATGCAGTATTTTGAAGAATGGTAGTTTGATGTAGAAATTACTTTTTTCAAACGAGTACATATCGATCGAGTTCGCCATGGTTTTTTTTTGTTCCTGTACTAGAGTACCTTCTACTGAAATAGGTTTTTTTTTTAACTTTCGATTCGATAGAATGAGTTCCATATTTTGTCTAGCCCTACTAAACTTACAATGGTTTTACTGAATTATCTTTAATCATGACGTACCAGTACAGAATCAACTCTTTTTATTAACGGAATTAGTATTCTGTGTCATACTTTCTTGGCCTACAATTCAAACTCCGAACTAGTATTTGTTTATAAAAACCCATATGACTATGGACTTGATTACCGCATAGGATTATTACATAGGAATAAGAACAGGAGTATTGTTTAACTTGATCCCATTTATACAGTATGCTCACTCTGCGTGCTGAAAGTGTTTTAGATACAAGAGATGCAAATTGACCAACTCCACAACTTGCGATTAGCAGTAAATTTGCAAGTGTTCTTTTAGGCAGTACAACACAATAGGCTCATGATAGACTTTAGAGCTTATTATTGCACGTAATTTTACAGTTTTCAGGTGTATCTATGGACTTACATATTTGATTTTATGGTGATCTTACTAGTCCACTGTGTATAATATATGTACTGCAATTGACCGATCTTACCATTTAGGTATAAGCATCATTTTACCTCTTTCCAGGGTATTTCCATCCTTAATATTAGTCTTCAAAATTTTGAATCGTACTCTTCTGTACTGTGAGCGCACTTACGTTTTGATAAGCCTAGTAAATACTTACTGTGTTACATATAATCTTGCTTTGTAAATGATATTTCCTGGTATGATCCAAGCGCATTTGTAGATAGTTGTATCTTACTAGCAAATCACTTGTTATACGTAAGCTGCGATTTATATCTAGGAAATGATAATGGATTACTACCTAGTGTAAATATTGTGATTAACTTAACTCAGATCATTTAGGTTAATTTAATTATGATCGACCATGAACTTGTTACTCTATACAGTTTAAGAGTATATACGAACAAGGTGCAGCACTAGTGATACTTTATTATTAATGCAGGAACATAATTATTTCCGATGGCATAGAATTTAGCAGTTCAGTTATTAAAGAAAATTTTAAATTTGATTGTTTCATCAATTTGTGATGAATCGATCACTATTTTCCTTTTGACCCAGTGTTGTGTCTGTTATAAACTAATTGAGCTAAATCTATTATTTACTGTAGAGTAGACAAATTGCGTGAAATTTTTGGCTTTAGTACACATTGAATTGTAAAAATGAGCATAATTAACCTGACTTTAACAATTGTATTTACAATTTGGCTGTTAATGTCTTGCATCTATTAGCTGCTTGTCTGTTCTTTTGGATTTCGTACTTGCTTTATCTAAAACATACCTATTAAGCAATTATTATAATTATTATTGACAGCTTTTCCCTAGTTCGCTAAATCCAAAGAAAATGAATGGTGATTCTCCGTACAATATTATGTTCGGTACGTTATTGAAAAAATTTGGAAACTTTAGAAATTTGAAATATTTTATGTATAGTATACGATATTCTGTAAGACTATAGCAGTTGCTTTTGAATGCCATTATTTTCATTCGCCTACAATAGATTGATTATTATTAAACAATTTAGAACAAAGTGTTCACATGTGTGCCTGTTACTGTAAATAAGATTTTAGTCGTTCAACATCCTGCATGATAACCATTTTTTCGAGATATTTGTAAGGAATGATGATATAACTAATTTGTTATCAACATTTTAGGTCCTGACATTTGCGGTTATAGTACCAAGAAGGTACACGTTATTTTAAATTATCAAGGCGAAAATAAATTAATCAAGAAAGAAATTAAGTGCAAGGTAACGTATTTTCTTGGATGTCTATTATTGTTTGGATTGTTGCCAGTTTATTAAAGTATAAAACATTTGTAATGACAGGATGACGAATTAACTCATTTATATACGCTAATCCTTAAATCCGACAATACCTACGAAGTCAAAATTGACAACGAAAGCGTAGAATCTGGTAAATTGGAAGATGATTGGGCTTTACTACAACCTAAGAAGATCAAAGATCCTAATGCGAAGAAGCCAGAAGATTGGGACGACAATGCAAAGATTGACGATCCCGAGGACAAAAAACCCGATGTGAGTTACTACCCTGATACAATTTATGTTTGAGAATTTAAAGTAAATTTTATTCTTCTGTTTAGGGTTGGGATAAAGCAGAACACATTCCTGATCCTGAGGCGAAAAAACCAGAAGACTGGGATGATGAAATGGATGGAGAATGGGAACCACCTATGATCGATAATCCTGAATTTAAGGTAATACTTGAAATAGCATATCAGTTGTAATTGGATACGTTTTGAATGATATGGTATTGTGATCATTTTACAATTTAGGGTGAATGGAAGCCAAAGCAAATTGACAATCCTAAATATAAGGGAGAATGGGTACACCCAGAGATTGATAACCCAGATTATAAAGAAGACTCGAACCTTTATTTGTTTGAGGATAACGCGTATGTTGGTTTCGATTTGTGGCAAGTGAAAGCTGGAACTATTTTCGACAACGTATTGGTTACTGATGATATCGATTACGCCAAGAAATTTGGAGACGATACATGGGGTCAGACTAAGGGACCAGAAACAAAAGCTAAGGAAGTGGTGAGCCAATAATTAATAGTTGTCACAAATAAGGTGTAACGAATCTTGACTAATGAATGCTATTGATTAATTTCTTCAGATTGACAAAAAGAAAGCTGAAGAAGAGGAAAAGAAGAAGAAGGAAGAAGAGGAGAAGAAGAAATCAGAAGAAGGTCAAAAAGAAGAAGAAGCAGAAGCGGAAGAAGAAGAAGAAGAAGAAGAGAAAGATAGTAGCAAGAGCAAAGACGAATTATAACCTTGATTTTTTTTCTTTATCTGCTGATTAGCAGTTTCCATTTTATAACTTTAACCTATGAATAGGTTTATTGTTATCAGAATTTGTATCATGTCGTCTAGATGCTGCTAGATCATTTTGCGAATAAACTTGATAATATTGTTATTGCTGAAATAGAATAGTTATTCTATCGCATTGATGATAGAAAATTTGAATTGTTTATTTCATACAAATATTCCCTTCATGTCTGATTTTGTAGTCATTTTCATCTTTAACTTACTGGCGTATGAACTTTATGTTATTGTATTATGATACGGTATAATAAATAAAAGCTAACTTTAAATGAGAACTTGGTGCAAAGGATACTGATGGACAGACAGACTACTGTAACGCACTGCAAAGTGTACAGTGTCAGTACTGTACGCTACAATTTTTGCTACTGTACAGTAGTCATTTGCATGAGTGGGCTACAGTACTGTACGTAACGTACTGTAATACTGTAGAGGACGGTCCCAGACCGAGACCAGAGTGTCAACTGCAGCCATGTCCCACGTGATGTGTTAGCTATAAAAAAAAAGGCGGGAAATGTTCCATACTGTGACTGTACTCTACACTCAGTGTATAGCTACTGCGGGTGTTGTTAATCAGCTGTCTGTACCTTAGACAGTATGTATACTGTACAGTGTATATTAACAGCATCCAAAATTCCGTATGCAAGTCCTTGGAAGGGGAATCTCGTCGCCTTGATGTTAGAATTGATTAAGAATTTCTTTCCATTTGCGATATTTTAAGCGAGTACAATCAGATTTGGTGATTAGTTAAGATCCTTTAGACCAATTCAGATATACTACTAGTAATCTGCGACTTGATACAGGTTACAACTTACATCAATAACTGAATTTTCAACGCACTTGATGTTCTTTGAAGCTTTTCAGGTTAGCTAGCCTTTTGGATTATCATTCATAGTAGTGGCGATTATTTTAGTGGCCTTAACTTCATGTTGTTTAGACTGCTTGAATCTTAATATCCTGCAGAATTTTGTACTATATTAGCGTTACAACGGGATAATGGCTTCGATAATAATTTATCAATGGCACATATTAAGGCTTTGACAGCCACGGATTTGTAGCCAATACAGTAGTACAGGAGAAAATGTTTGTATTGCTGCAACTTTGAATGTTTTAGTACTAGTAACGAGTATACAGTACCTATGTAGTAGACAGTAGACGCGTATACTAGAATTATTTTTACTATTATTACGCTACTCGTATGATTAGTATACAACAGAAATATATTCGCATGATAAGAGATATACCATTGGTAGATATCAGTTAGTAAAGTGATTTGATGTGACATTATGATTCCATTATTCTACTGCCCAGGAAAACTGACCTATCCAAGATGGCTACAAATGAAAATTTACCTGAGATAATGACCAAGCTCTGGTATGCTCTTGTGATTGGTGAACCATGCCAATATTGTTATTGTACTATAGGATACGTAGTAATAAGGCTAGATTTAAAGGAGAGAGCTAGAATGACGATGATAACGATGACTTGATTTGCTGATTCCCTCATCTACTTTATTCTGGGCTATGTTAAGTTGAGATCGAGTAGACTTACGTGTTTTTACTCGTATAGGAACTAGCGAATAAAAGACGATTATGTAGCTGTGATGTCATCTCGTTGTCTTGTAATACTATCAGTACAATACTGTATAATGTGTAATGCTTCTTTAGAAGCAAAGAATAAGAAAATAGTTCCAGTTAGATGCTAAAATTTATTATTTTGCTCTTGTTATAACTAGGGATAGTAAGGCACAAGGGGAGCAGGAAGAGTTACATTTGCTTAAAGGAAGGTAATAACAACTACACTATTTAATATAGAAATTGCGATCGATAGCATTCAATGAGCTACGTTATTGGTGCATTATAGCGCATAATTTATGCATCTGCCATTTTGCGTTATACTGTTCGTATTCTACCTAATAAATCATCGCTCGTAGAAACGGCCATAGTCAAGAGTAATCACCAGTTTTCGGCAGTCATATGCCATTGACGTTACATTATGTCATTGCATAAGATATGCTCGTATTACATTTATTTCGGTAGTATAATCTTTCATCTCAAAAACACTAACAGCTTTCGTCTTGCATACTCTCGTTAAGTGCGGCGCAACCTAAATATACGCGTACAGGTAACTTAGGTCATGAACTATAGAATTGATAAAGTACGTACACCTGTACGCGTACTGATATGTGTAATGTACGATGGCAACTACGCTGTAGCATCTATTTAATCATACCAAACTATATATATTATATAATATTACTGCTATCTAGGTTGCCTCATTCTTTTTAACTGATATCTTTATTCTTCTATATAGTGATTGTAATCTCACGATTGATATCACTGAGAAATGTTTACGTTTAGCACAGCGAAGTGCTTATCAACTCCATACAGAAACCAGTGCTACTAAAAGGATACAGAAGTTTTTTTTACTAGGTAGCCTGAATATTAATAAAGGTATGCAAGATTAACCATAGTTCTGATACTTCTATAGTAATCAGGGATAGTAATATTGCTACACTTAGAATGGCTTTTGATATACGGTATTTGGTCGGCGTTCAATTTCATAACCTAAAAGAATGTAATACCCAATGTATATACAAGTGATGTAAAGTTTAATATTCTATTCATTCATGTAAACTGTGATGATAGTTAAAATAGATTATAAAGGTGCTGTGAATACAACTAAATTACTCTGAGTAGAGTGCCATTGATATAACTAAAATACAAGCTATTACCGTGATAAGAATTTTAGATAATCTTGTTGCTAGATGATAGAGTCATAATAAACATCGATCGTTTCGATCCTGGAAGGATAATAGACAGAAAAGGTAAGATATATAATATTTTTTGTTTTGGGGTATTTTACTGACCATGATTTATTTTCCCGAAGTAGTCAATACAGTAATTCATTATAATTTTTAAATTCAATGTCTTGTTTACGGCCTTTTGTGATATAGATACTTTATTTTTTTATTGAGTAGCCCAAATAGACTCGGTTACTTGCTAAATTTAATATAGACTATTTATACTTTTTTAGCAATGTCAGTATATTGCTATCGTAAGCACAGATGTTGTTACTGTTGATAACGTGCGCTATTACATGAAGCGTAGCTTTGCTATTATTACTTTGATATATCTTTTTTCATTTAATTCTCTTACTACTATTTATTTCGATATAACTAATTGGAGAAGGAAACAAGTCTCTTCATGTTCCAACTGCTGTAATCCCTGGTGATGTGATTATACCCTTATCTGTAAGTTAGTTGCAGCACTTTTACCTGTCATTGTTCTTTTTCGGATCTTGCGAATTTTATCATATTACCAATAATGTCATTTATGAATAATTGATGTATTAGATTAAGTTATCAGTTCTGGATGAGAGATACATATATTCTACTACACTTACAGTGGACGTGCTATATGCTATGCAGCCTTAAAATCTCTTGTCTTGTTTCTACCAAATTATCTTAGATGCAATTGGCCTGCTTAGGGTCGGAAGGCGTGTCGCCATTCAGCATCAGTGAATATTATGATGCATTTCAGGTACTGATTGATAGTTTATAATAGTTTTGACATAATAGATTGGCTTACTACAGCCATCGTAATTACAAAGTGTTATTGTATACCTTTAGTAAATTAGCTAGTGTTAAAGATAACTGTAATTTTTATATATGTACATGTACTTATGCAGACCTTAACAAAAAACCTGAAGCTATCGTGTGACAGTGTGGATATCAAGGACATGCTTTCTTTAAAGATTCATGCTACATATTATGTAGATAGTGATGAAATTTCTATTAATGTTACAAGTAAGCAACATAAATGTTACAAATCATGTTATGTATAGAACTGTAGTATCGAAACATTATAACGATGCTGTTAAGGTTTACTAGCGTTACCTGATACTCTTTAACTTTTAGGCTTATGTAACATATCTCAATATATACAGTAGTAACAGTACGTTAGGAGTCTTCCTCTCTTAGTTGTCTGTTCTTAGTAAATTTTGGTAATAAGAATCGGCCGACAAAATTGGACTAATGTGTTTGAACTAATGTATTAATTTAGGTGGGGTCGTTGTTCCATCTGCTTTAATTACCGCTGTTCCTATTTTACCGGTGTCAATCGTACCAACTGCTTTAGCACGTAGCTTGTCTGGTCCTTTACATTTGAGTAATTTCCAAGATACACAAAAGTCGGGGTACAGTTACCATAAATACGAATATTATTTTACCTTTCTTTACTATTAGTTCTATTTAAATATCTTATAGTAACTGTAGCATTGTTTAACCTGGATACTTTTCATCTTAGGTATGTAGCCATAAATAATTCCCATAATTTACTACTGGTTTTGGATTCAGATCCGAAGCTATCTTCTATACCTCTAGTTGGAATGTGCGTAGAGAAATTTCATGATTCTTTCAACGCGTATTTTATAACCGCTTCCACTAACCATTTCCATATATTTTGCAGATGGGTTGATGGGGTAATAAGCATCCACCATCCTTATGTATGGTCAGCTTGCATGAGATATCTCTATAGCCAAAGGCTTACAAACAAGTAAGTCGGGAATTCAATTTTGATATTAACTATAGCGCTATTGTGTATTAAACATTTTGTATCAATCGTTCTTCTGTTAGAATTCGTGATGGATCAACTGGATTTATACTAGTTTTGTATACGCAAACTAGACCTAAACCAGAATTTTGGGAATGTTCATTTTCGGTTAGTATGAATGCTGGAATATCTGTTATTGAATTCATTCTAAATACTAGAAATTAATTTTAGGGAAAGTCTGATAAGTTTCTTTATTGCCAAGCCAGTGATGATATTTTCATGGAGAAGGTATTTAATAATCGATTCTGTATATTACCGAATAGTCTAATACCTGGAATAGCAGTATTTACTGATTAGCAATACATTTTAAGTAACGCTACATATAAACTGTCGGATTATTACGAATCTTCTTAAGTCATGTTGTTATTAATATGAATTCTAAAATTGATCATAAACAGGTCGCTAAAACTAGAAACGAGTATATGCGTTTACAACTCGTACCAAATTATATGAATAGTGCTTTTCTCAGAGCAAAAGAAAGTTTTATAATGGAAAGGTAACGTATTGACGATTGACGTAAACAATATTAATGTGTGTTAGAAGTATGGGATATACATTATCTAAAATATTTATAATCTTCGCCAACATCTCATAATTTTTTCGCAGTAATAGCGGCGAAAAGCGAGATTTTATAGATTCTAAATCACCTGAACCACGACCTACCCCTACCCCATATTCTAGGGATATTCAGGTAAGATTATCTTGTGAGTAAATTTCAGTTCTTTGCGCAGCTTAGAAACTCTTAGTATATTTAACGCGATATTTTTATATTAAATTCATATCATTAATCTAATAGAATATAAAAGGTTTACCTGATCAAGAAGTAGCTAACGGCTTGAATGAGTTAAGTCTTTCAGTCGAGGACGATACGTCGTGTACTTCGGATTCTGATGATTGTATCGACCAAGAGGTACCGGGTGTAATTGCTAGTGAAGATGATAATGTTGATAAAGATTTAAGAAATCCAGCAGCGGCAGCCCAAGAAGAATCCTTAAGTAACACTGCAGCGGTTGTAGAAATTAATCATTTAGCGTGTGATACAGATCAGACGGTCAAGCAATCAAATTCGGTTGTGAAGGACAGAAATATCGAGTCATTGAAGGACGATAAGTTAGCCGATGATATGTCCACAAAGGCATTAAATGCAGGAGTAGGCGATGAATTAAATGAAACTTACGAAACTCTAGCACAAACAGAGCTAAAGAAGCTCTCAGCTCTGGCTCATGTAAGAAGGGTAAGTTAGTTTGAAATTCAATCATTTACGGCGTATAAGTTATGATACTACTAGAGTCTATTAATAGGCACGTGAACAGCTAGCTAAGGAGGAGTCCGAAATACTAGCAGAATTAAGGGATATTAGAAATGTACGACTTGTCCAGTTGCTTAATATTAATATTAATTATATTCATATGATTTTATTTGTTTTGTATATACGTACCACTCATCATTATACGAATACTTCATTCTGTTTTTGTTCCGTCATAGAGGAAGGAATTGATTTGGACGGCGTTGACGAATGGAGAGGAAAGAAAGGCGGTACCGTTCGGAAATGGTAATATAAAGATGTTGTGATATATTGGAACATGAATTACGATTCAACGCATGAGAGTTTTTGTGTATCTTTTCGTATTACTGCAGGTAATGAATCTTTCAATGTTGAAGACGATAAATCTAAATCCTTGCCATCAATGGTATGCCTTCACCTGCTAGTGTACTGAATATGCAGTCCTAATATTTTGGAGCTGGTAGTAAATTATATGCTATATTTCTTTCCAGGATAGCCAAGGTGATGGTCGCCTTAGCAATGATTCTTCAATAGTGCAGTCGGACTCTGATTCTGATAATAGAAAAGTATCTATAAATCAAGGCAATGCAGGAGAAAAGGTAATATATTAATTCATATCATATATTTATATGTATGTATATATAACATATACTCGTATATGGCAAAGAGATAGACAAAATATTGCAAAAGCAATAAATCTAAAATATTTTTAAATATTTTGTTATTAGTTAATCGAGCAAAATTCCAACAATTCGTGAGTATACTATTTTCAATACTTCAATTAAAGCTGATGAGATTTTTATGCTTTAATTTTTACGAAGCGAAGTTTTTTATTGAATCCTTTTGTCTTTCAGAATTATTCATCACAGTTTACCCAGCACTAAATCTGATAGCCTAATTGCAGAAACCGAACGTAGTCAGGGATCAGCAACAATCGTTAGTGTAGCTTTAATTGATTTTGTCTTCTTAGTTCTTACGCGATATTAAGTAGCAGATTTTGTACTTTCTTTTAGGGTCAAGATAGTTCGATCGCTAGTGCTAGTAGTAAAGAAGAATCAAAACTGATTGTGGAAAGAACTCATGAAATACAGTTACATAAGATTACGAAGGTATGAGTGGTTATTATTTGTACTTGTACTGTACACACAAAAACTATATGTGTAGGTAACGCGAAATGATGTATAAAAGGATAGAACCCTTACAAGTAGTTTGGAAATTTGAATTTGTAATATAGGAATGGAAGAAATTCAATACTGGTAAGGACGGGCAATGGGACAAGGAAAATTCTATTACATCTATGTCGCACCTAATTCCTGATATGGACAGACAAGATGAAGTTAACTTTAAAAAGACAGTAGGAAAGATTACCGATAACAGATTGTAAGTTATTTGTGTAATGATAGATAAGCACATATTGTATTATTTAATTGAGATTGTATATAACGTTTGGCTTAACATCTATTAATGGGCTCATTTATGCATTTGTAGTCTTCAAGGTTATTCCTTTGACGAATTTCCAGATGACGATTGCGAAAGTAGCTCTCATGAATCTACGAATATAGGCAGCAGTCTTGTCCCATCAGCTGAACGTATATGCGAGAAATACTTAAAACATTTTCGACCTTTACAGTCGCTAAAATATGACAACAATATGTCATTTGCAACGGTGCGTTACATGGAAAAACATAATCTATTAACTGTTAATGATAAAAACTTAGAGAAACATAAATATCATGAGACACCAATCAATGTCAATGAGATACCGAATAGTCATCGCTACAGAGCATCCATTACAGAATCAATAGAAATTATTGACAGATCAAATAATGAAGACACATTAAAGTCAAGCAAGAGGTCGAATATGAAAGTGCTAGATATCAGTAGACTAAAGCATTTACCGAAATTAATGTAGTAGAGCTTTATGCTTAAAATTCACTCAAGAACTATAATGCTATTGCAAAGATATATATATATTGCACCTAGTGATGTGAAGCTTGTTAATATCGTAATTATGATTATCGTACATGTAAAGCAGAGTCTAGATTTTTATTGAATGCAGTTGTAATAGAGACTATATCTATACCTTAAATTTTAACCTCAGTGATGCAGTTGATGAAGCATATGCTAGATGAATATACCGTTATTTATTTTTATTTTTGGTATCTTAATGCCATTAATCAGCAAATTGATAGTTACTGTTTATAACAAGTATATTGTACTGTACAGTATCCTGTACCTCTGTATAATATATATATATATATACTCTTGTATACAGTATATGCTTATATAATCAAGTAAATTATTGAACTTCGCACATCTACTCCTATTCTTCCCTGATTATTTGCCGTCTGAATTGGTGATGTAGACTCAGGACATTTAATATAAAACATCGCTGTATTGCTACTTCTAAGAAATTAAGATTTGAGAGCTCAAGTTCAAGTTAAACAGAATCTACTTACGTTATCTTGTTGCATGTTATATATTCGGCATACTCGATTATCAGGAATTTGTGATTGGCTCATTTTGCAGACTGCTGTTCAGTTTACTAGTTAGCGTGATTCTGAATCAGCCTAGTGTGTAGTATTGTAGTACTTGTATACAGTATAGCTAATTAAACAATTTCCTCATTCCGAAGTGGATCTACAGTACGCCTTTACGGTAAGATTTAGCACACTCATTTTATTCATCTGTATGCGTATTGATTAAAACAGACAAATTCGACTTTAAAAATTGAAATCTCAGGGACTACTGAAATAAATATCTACGGAAAATTAGAAGGTAGATTTTCAACAGTCGTTGAATGAGATTTCGACATGGTCCGCTAAATTAATTTCATTTAGTGTAATAAGTATAGCAAGATCGATATCCGATAGGACTACTAGCTATACAATATAATAAATAATAAAACAACACAAGGAACAAGATAGAGGAAGTGATCATTTTACAATCGCCATGAATCATCCGGTAGGTTTAATTGACAATTTCCTTACTATAAATTGGCTTTACGGCAAGGTTTAGGACGCGCTGTATGTATTATTATTTGTATATAAAAATAGACAAATTTAACCGAATCAATGCCGATGTGATGCCAACATTGATGTTGACCTGAGCCCAACTAAATTAAAAATTACCTTTTGTTTGGATTATTTTACGAGAGATAGCAAATAAACAATCAATTACCAAAACAGACTGTACAAATCTATCTTACCTATAAGCCATACAGACAAGGTAGATAAATGACAGCATTACAAAAGCTTAAAATATTCTACCTTCTGGAAAACAAATGTATTAAAAACGATGTTGATGTATCTGACGAATAAATAACTAATAGCGTATCGAAGTTGCAGTCCATCATCATTATTACTAGCTCAACGGTGAGAAGTATTTCTTTGTAATTAAAAATATCGATTAAAAAGCTGGAGGAAAATGGGCATCTTGATCCTTGTTTTCAAGTATCAATTTTCGGCCAATCTCCATCATATTTCTCGGTAAACTTATATTTAAAGTTACATAATTATACAATCCATAAGTAGTTATTACAGTAGTAGTATAGATTATTTCCGCTATCAGAATTTTCTTATTTTAAAGAAGAAAACACAAGATTGTCATACAAAGAATAAATAGGTCTACGTAGATGGTGATAATAACATCATCATATGTAAAAACGATGGAATAAAGTATTATCTGGTCATACTAGTAGTATAAAAACTGTATCATTTTTCTATTTCTAATGCAACGGGGGTCCTAAATTATTATGAAAATCACTGCATATTTATTACTCTATTTCAATAATGTTGCAAGGCTAAGCATGTATTGATCTATTAGCGTGCCATCATTAAATAGTCCATGCAAGAAATTACTATCCAATGATGTATTTCGATTGAACAGTTGTGATTATCTTATTATTATAAGCCAGATCCAATTAATTTCATTTTATTTCATTTATTTTAACCTGATTTTCACCATGCACTGAAACGATGACTTTAGCAATATGAATACGCGTAGGATTGCTGACGGAAACTATATCATCCTAGTTTGCATGCTTGTCATTGTAGTAAAACTATATCGCAACTCTGGTTATAACTACAGATTTATCGTCTTATTCTGACGATGTGAGATCGCTATAATTACCCAATTTAGAGTTGGAGGGTACAGTAAGCCTGTAGGTACTGCAGATACAGAGAGGGCAGACCTGATAGTCAATTCGTAGTGGTCATTTTCTTGTAATAGCTTTAAGTAAACTCTTTCTCGTAGTAAATATCGATTTATAACGTAGAGAAAATGAACATATAAGCCGAAATCGTAAGTGATATTCCAGTATGATTAAAGTTCACTAACGTTAATAAATGACGTCAATACTCAGGCCAATTTGACTGCAAGAAACACGACTGCGCAGGCGTATTTCTAGACGTTCGACTTTTGCTATAGCAAAGGAAGTATTTAGTATTGTGGCTGTCCTAGGCTAGCGGAGAGTTGATTATTATTACTATAATAATTTTGTCAAGAAGAAATTTTCAACCTTTTAACATCGTTATACTGTTCTCATCGTAAAAAAGTTATGTCTACTGTCATCAGTTTGCCTTTCGCTATCGTGCAGTACTTAAAAGAGGAAATAGAACGAGGGAAGCACTCGGATGCCGAAATAGAAAGTCTTCAAGGTGTATGTCCAGTGTAATAATAATAATCTAGTGCTGTATCAATACGTGTTTGATCTACAAGGTACAGGGTATAGTACAGTACAGAGATCAGACGAGATCGTTGTCTTAATTCATGGCACGATAGGCTAAAATGTCTAAGAAGAATAGAAAGATTATAGTTAATACCGTTTATCCTATTCAATTTGATTCAAGATTAAAGTTCTTCAAGGTGTATGTTCAGTCTAATAATAATAATAACTAGTGCTGTATCAATACGTGTTTGATCTACAAGGTACAGGGTATAGTACAGTACAGAGATCAGACGAGATCGTTGTCTTATTCATGGCACGATAGGCTAAAATGTCTAAGAAGAATAGAAAGATTATAGTTAACACCGCTTATCCTATTTAATTTGATTCCTTATAGTGGCCACTGATTGTCTCCAGGCTGTGTACAATGTCGACTATGATCAAGGTACCGCTCAATTCAGTTGCCAACCCAAACTCAGGGATATCTTTTCTTCAGCAAGAGCATTGGTAAGTACTTTTCTAATATTCCATCTGAAAATCTGACATAGACTAGCTACATGTATGATAGATTATCACGTACTCATCATGCCTCACTGTATAGTAGGGCACTAATTTTCTCTTATGACGAGATGACGACACCCTATACTCTGCTCGAAATGTCTTTAATGTAACTAATCGTCACTTTACAAATGTTGGCTAGCACGCTTCTGTTTATTGAGCAGCTTGTAGCAAATATGACCAGCTATATTGTACATTTGATTTGTGAATAAAGCTAGATGTGTATTGCATTAATTAAGAAAGCACTGTTTATCGATCATGCCGCGGATCACAGTACTTATACGGAGCATCAAAGTTTCAAAATTGCAATACGATCTACACTACTTTAGTCATTGTAAGAGTAATGAGTTAATTTTTAGAAAGACTGATTCGTCCACTCGATAGAGCATCATAGCATCCGTTTGTAGCTGCGTATAAGCAATTTGTAGCATTAGTAAATGATAACTCGTCAATTCAAATTCTACCGTAGGGTTATTTTGGTGTCTCTGACAATGGAAGTGAGAAAACTAAAATCGATACAGCAGAACAGTTGAAAAATGAAGGTAAATAAGGAATGATGAAAAGTCCTATGCGTTTTTGGGATAAGGAGTTAATGTTTATAGAAATTCTTTGATGCAGATTAGGTCATAATTGATTTACATAACTTGAAGCATTTCTGGATTTACTCTTTGAAAAATGTTCATCTTTTATCCTGCTAGAACAGTATAGCATGATGATAGAAATAGCGAAACTGTAGTATAGAAAATAATAATGATTATAATATAATATTGATTTAATCACAACTTTTATTTTCACTGAAACTAAAAATTGATTACCTTCTTGTGCATACAACAATAAAATACTAACGTAAAACAAACTGTACAAGATGATTACGTAATAAATCTATTAACCGGCATAGATTAATGTCACTTTTGGTATACTATAAATTAATGCTTTCATGCCATTATATTCATCAGGAAATGACTTTATTAGAGCTGAAAAATTTGAACCAGCCATTCGAAGCTATTCTGATGCTATTGACTTATGTCCAAATAATGCTATTTATTACTGCAATAGGTAAGGATAGACGACATTTGTATCATTTTTAAAACGAAAGACTTAAAATTATATTATTAGATAGAGGATTAAAGGTTTATTCTAACAATTTAAAAGGGCTGCTGCGTACATTAAGATTAGTAGATTTGATGCAGCTGAAGCTGATTGTAAGAAAAGCATCACATTAAATCCGAAGTATAGCAGAGCATTTTGGCGATTAGGGTAAGTTAATTTTACTCATATCTGTAGTTGATAATCGCTGAAATGTGATAACTAATATTTTTAATGTTATAAAGTTGGAATGATGATAATCTATGTGTATGACATGATCGTGGTAAATTTTTGGATTCCTCTGTTGAATAGAGTGGCACAAAGCAATCTTCATAGATATGAAAGTGCAGAAAAAAATTTTCGTAAAGTAAGATAACACTGGCACTGAGCAAATATCTATAAAGCATAATGATTATATTTTAGATGCAAAATAATTACGGCATATCATTGCTTTTTTATTAGCAAACTTTAATTTAATTCTGATTTAATTACTTCAATATAAGTCTATGGAAAATACATTATTTTTGTAATTATTGCTGATCTTATTCTTTCCGTATTTTTCGGGTATGCAGGCGCATGAGCTTGAGCCGCAAAATCAAAGCTATCTGGAGGCATTACAGCATTCGGTGCGTGTACTCGAGAGCGAAAAAAGAACGGAACCGACTCCCGATAACTCAGCGTCAACAATGAGAGAAGAAAGAGGAGCTTCTTCTCAGAATGCTACTCCCGGTGGAGATACCCGTCATCCGCAAGGGACACAATCAAGTGAAGCCCAGCAGACTGCTAATGCAAATAATTCTAATACTAATCAGGTATGTGAGTTAACATCTCTATAAGAAATATTGCATAAACTTGCCAGTATTTAATATAAAAATTTATTTATGCGTTGTATTAAAAAGACTGACAGCGCGTCCCAAAATCAAAATCAACCTGGAGCTCAGCCATCAGGTGAGTCTATCTATAATGCGATCTTTAATAACATATAAAATAAAATGAAGTACCGCAATTCTCACTGAAAACTCAATTTAATTATATCTGCCATGGTATAACTTTTTTATAATATAAATACTTTAACATAGGCATTCCAAACATGAACAATCTTAATTTCGGTTCATTATTTTCTAATCCGAATATTATGAATATGGTAAGTTACAAAACGTAGGATGACATGTTTGATCTTTTAGTAGATAGCAAAATTTTCAGAAAATGATAGATAAGAGATATTTAAACTCATTATTATCTTTTTTATTTGATAGGCAATGCAGATGATGAACGATCCTCAAATGATGAATATGTTAGTGTGATTAGTAGTAAATGATAGTACAGCTTATACTTACTTACTTGTAAATTTTGATGTACAGGGTTTCGGGTGCATTTCAAGGAGGAGGACTAGATGGCTTACGTTCAATGTGAGATCTATCTATATTGTCAAGAATTGGAATGTAGCATGATTATGTATGTTTAATTATTTTCGTGTGTACATCTACGTTGCACTTCTAGGGGACAGCGCATGGCCAATGAAAATCCAGAATTAGTTGGAGAATTAAAGGAAAAATTCAAGAAAGATTCCGAATAAAATAAAATTATTCAGTTACGCTTAAAATTATGTTGATCGCAATTGTAGTCAGTCTTTCTAGTAATCAAAATATATATTTATCATTGCTACATATTTCAAATTTCTGAGTACGTTATTTCTCTATTATACGTCCATTGTTTGGAAATATTTGTAAAGTATTTGGTTTGTGACAGAATATTCTACAGTTGTTGTCACATTATTTCTCATATGGAAATATTTCGATTATGTACAGTACCCATAACGTTTGATATAGGTCTAACTTGAAATTTTTCTAAATATTGCCATGGATGAGAAGTATAATGCGTGATGATGTATATTTTTCTGGACATGGGCAAGCTATCACCCAGTTCGTGAATAATTTTGCCACTACTTATAAATATTGAGAATGATGCTGTATAGGTTTATTAGACTACCTAGTAGACTTGCTATGGATTTAGCGAATTATTCATGTCGTATATAAATAATACAAATTATGTTATGTGACAATTTATTGATACAGCACTATATTATCAAATAAGATGCAATTTAGTTTATTTCATTAATGCTATTTCCATTTGTCTTTGAATCAAGTCTTTAACTACTCCTGCTATACATTGTGATGAATCTGGAGAAAATTTCGTTATTCCTGTCTTTAATTGATAATTGATAAATAATATTGAGCAAGGTCACTATCGGAGGTTTACTTGTAATTAAAAGATTCATTTCTCTAAGTAAAATATTTATATTATTTTGTATTGTAATGATACATAATAGACGTGAATTTGATCATGCTATTCATAGCTTATTGTACATGATATGCCGAAATAGTATGCATTCAATACTTGATATTGTGTTTCAAAATTGATAAATACTATAAAAAATTCGTTACTTTATACAGTTAATCAAGATTTGATTGACTAAGCCATGATATTACATTCATCAGTCCATCGCCAGTGATGAGGCTACAATCTAAAACGGTAATCTTTTGCTTCGCATAGGAAATGATATCGTTCAGCCTAAAAATTGTGTCGACTTCTCTTTGTGTCATTGCGTTACTGATATCCCTAGAATTGAGTGAAAAAGATTAAGGAATATTTAGGGAATTTAAGCAAATACCAATACTATATTTTAAAGTTGTTTGATGTATTTCACTCAAGGTGATGAAGATATCGTCGTCAACTATTCTAGTTAATACCTACATTTTATTAAGGAGAATAAGAATATTTTTCGACTCCATGTCATCGTCGGCTAACATACTTAGTAGTAAACAAACAGCAGATGAACTCTGTGTTCTGTCACTAGTATCAATCATAAACTATTAAGTAGAATAAATGAACACATTAACACGCTAGATAAAACATCTTAACTAATTGATCTATCAAATAAGTCGAAAGAGCGTATGTAGGTGATGTAATTCGTATAATGTGCAAAATTAATGATTGAAAGAAATTTTCATTTCCACAGTAAATTAATAGATACATGTACACTAACAGGAGCTAGTAAAAATCTAGTTTATTAACTACGTCATTATCATTATGCAGGGTGGAGATAATTAGTAATCACTTGATATCTGCAAAATTGATATGGATATCAAAATACCATAATATTCTTTTCGGATTTATAGTAGCTAGGCCAAATGGGGCTCATCTTTCCACCTAATTCTCGAATAGTTACTGACTTTTTCTTAGTAACATGTATAGTTGCTAAATTCGTGCCAATCTATGAAGAAGATTCATAATTCAACTCTCTCTAGATATAACGTCATTGTTGAAATGATCCAATTTTAGTATAAGTTGTTTATATCCTAAGGTAAGATACCGTTGGTATAGTTGAAGGAATTTCCTTGCGTAAGTTGAGTAGAATCTCTCTACCAAAAGTGACATCTAGAAGTTTTTAAAGGTTTAATTACAATCAAGATTGATAGCATACTGCTTTCTATTTGTTGGGTCGAATATCATGGAGCATTGGCTAAACTAAACTGTTTCTATCCTTTTAACTGCTACTATAGTAGTAGCAAGATATGTATATTCAACACATTGACATTAGGCATCCACTTGTACTGTATTGATATATACTGTTGTTGTCTAGACATCAAGCATGATTTTAATATGTTTGATTGATCGTTTACAAAATCTTTTTATATACTGTAGTTGGCATAAAATAACATCAATGGTTGATGCATGAATCACTAGTAATGTAGTACCGCTGATAGCGTTACGATCACAAGTCAGATGCAATAGTAGAGTTTTAATCTTTCTCTCTTACTGTATGTACAGTCCATGATGGAGTACTTTCAAAGCAAAATGTATGTAATATCGACACAGTAAAGACTCGTTATAATGGCAATACACCATGTGTGGCACTTGGTGTTGATATGGCTTTAGGTACTAATGCCTTATGCTATGTGTATTAGCAGTTGATAACAATATACAATCCAGCGATATCGTAGACTAACCTTGCAATCGTTTCAGCAGCAAGCTCTTTCCCGAATTTTGGTTACCTAGTAACAACATTTCCAACGATGGTGTCAGTAGTTTAGGACTGAAGCCTAATGCGGTTGTGCAGACAGTTTATCTTTCTTTTACGCCCGTATCTACAGTACGTACTGTCATGTACTGTACTGTAGGTTTTCTTATACTGTACACTGTAGTCGTTCATGTGACTAAACTGAACGTTTCAAGTACGTAGAAAATATCGATCTCGCACTGTGTTATAAAGATGCAAGAAATTGCTATGAACTGTACCGTACAGGACACTCCAAATTTTCTTTCCTTTTACCGCTACGATGCCACTGCAAGTTGAGTTTTAGCGGATAGGTTTTCCTTTTGTGGCAATGGGAAATCATCACTTGACGCTTGAAAAACAAGGACGTTTTTAAGCCATACTGTACAGTGTACAGTTTACAGTACTGTAACTAGTACTGCTCTGTACTGTACTGTACTGTACTGTATTGGACTTATCACTTGAAAAACAACCACGGTTTTAATCCGTACTGTACAGTACAGTACAGTACGGTTTGAAGCCATACTGTACAGTACAGTGTACAGTGTGAAGTACTGTAACCAATACTGCTCTGTACAGTACTGTACTGGATAGGACTTGACGCTTGAAAAACAATGTCCAGTGTACAGTACTGTACAGTACATACAGTACAGTGTACAGTGTACAGTACAGTACAGTACTGTAACCAGTTCTGCTCTGTACTGTACCCTATTGGACCGTATTTGAACGACCACGTGTTTCAAGCAGTACAGTACGGTACAGTACTGTACTGCGCAGTCATTCCTTTCTTTTTACAGTGTAAGTACTGTAAAGTACAGTACAGTGTACTGGACTGGACTGGACTACCTTGGAGGACTCTTTCCAGTTCAGTCAAAGCGTTTTCTACAGCATTTTCAACTTTCGTCCGCCATGGCTGCCCAAGACGAGGTTAGCACTGCTAACGATGCAGTTAATGACTCCTCGGAAGTAACGCATGTTTGCCAAGTGACCAATGTATCACCAGGAGCAACGGTAGAACAGTTGAACACTCTCTTTGGGTTTTTGGGTGAAATTGAAGAATTGAAGCTGTTTCCTTCGGAGTAAGAATGCAATCAGTCTATGTTGGCTAATTAGGATCACTTAGCTATGTCCACCACCTCATAGCCTAGCTAGTTTGAGTCATGAAGTAAACGCTGCTTTTCCTTCCATCATATGCAATCACATTGACAGAAATATCTTGAATCAAACCGTAACGATAACGCCTTGATGGATAGTCATATCCAGACGCAACATTGCCTTGATATGCTAGTGGGTAACAGTCACACTCTTTCTTCTCTCTGTCTAGACGAAGAATGAAACACAACGTGTTATCAAACATAATCATACTTGCACTAAAGTAAAGTACTGTCAGCTAGAGATACCAACCCAAATGATACCGTTGACTTGCTTGAAAGTTGAAAGTGCTGTGTTTGTCAATGGATCACTTTCGTTTCAGTATTGCAACCGCAATTTTATGCATTGACACAATTCCCAATTACAAAACCTTTGAACTTAACTTCACTTGTTACTTGTTGTATGATTTGAATGGGGATAATGGCTAACTTTGACAATTTGCTTTGCACCACGACAGGACACAAGCGGCAGCGGTTACCTCAAAAGTTTGCTTTGTCAAGTATAAAGATTGTCACAGTGTTCAAGTAGCCAGGCATTTAAGCAACTCAGTCTTCATTGACCGTGCTCTGATAGTGATACCAGCAAGCGATGGTAAAATCATCTACTTTGATTTGTTTAGTAAAATCCAATTTGTGATAGCAGATATGAATATCGTAGTATACCAGTACAATGATGAAGATTCAGTGTATTTCAGCTCGACAATCATAATAAATTGAGATTGACAATCAATAGGTTCTAACCATGTTGTCTTACTTTATCATGAAGGTTGTATTCCTGATGATCAAACTGCCATGACAATTGCAGCTGCTGTTAATTTAAATGTAAGTCAAAGTTCGATAACAGTATATCAATTTTATAAATGCAAGTATGAAGTGATGCAGTTGCAAATGCTCTACCTCTGTTGAAAAACTGTAGCATATAGCATAAAACATGTAGGTATATCCTGGCTATCGAGCTTTTATACTTACATGAAATACCACAGTTATTCCTTAAGTACCATCTAAATAAAATAGTACAGTATACACTCCATGGAAACAGAAATTAAGCAATAATGACAATCGCTGTCGTCTACGTATAATATAACTTTGCCTATCGAGAAATGTTGAAGAAATAATAAAGTATCATTTTACTTATCCAGCCTGCAAGTAGTAATACTGGAATCCCTGCAGACGTCATGGCTTCTGCGTTGGGTATTCCTGCACCTCCGCCACTTCCTGGTAATCAGGATCCTGCTAAAATTGATGAGATAAGGCGAACCATTTATGTTGGTAACTTAAATTCAAAGGTATATTCACAATCATTTCCAATTCCATCGAATTGTCCCAACAGTTTTCATGCTACTAGGATAACACAATACTAATACATTTCTTTGAACCATTAGGTTACTGCTGATCAGCTATTGACGTTTTTTTCAACTTGTGGCGAAATTAGATATGTTCGAATGGGAGGCGATGCATCTCAACCAACTAGGTGATATAGTGATTCTTCCTTTTTATGTCGAAATAAAGGATAGATTTCGTTACTGTAACTATTATACGTATGCAATGGTCCTTTCTATTTTCTTTGTCATAAAAGTTTGAAGAATTTGCAACTATCCGTGATCTTCTTATAGGTTTGCTTTTATCGAATATTCGGAAAAAGTTTCGGTATATCGTTCTATAGCTCTCTCCGGAATTACATTTGCCGACAAGCCATTAAAGTATGTTCATCAATTTTCACCTTTCAATTTTACAACTAATATTGATAATGGCTAATTAGTATCGGTAGCGTTAGTGCGCTTGAAATATTAATGTCTGATATTATAATTTTTCCAATAGGATAAATTATTCTAAAAATGCTATCGTTAAACCGCAAGTAAGAAATCCTGAGATAATACAGCGCGAAGTTGAAAATGCTATGAAGCAAGTTCGAGAAAGTACAGGACATTCCGCTGAGCCCGGTGGAACAGGTTAGTATGCAGCTATTTGCTTAGTATTGTTATCGTTATCCTACTACTATCCATGTACTTATTGCAAAAATTATTGTAAATTTTAGATCTTAGCACTAAAAGAAGACATAGCAGGTATGAATTGTATTTGTACTATGAATTCAAGTATGTGCCTGTAATAATAGATGATTCGTTTTTAACATCAATTGCTACGTTAGGTCTCACTCAAAATCTCGGGAAAGGCGGCGCAGGACGAAAAGTAGATCTCGCTCCATAGATAGGCCCTACAGTCGAAAATCTCGATCTATATCTCCGCGATCGAGGTAAATTTTATGATACCCATAATACTTTTGTATCGTATATTAATAACCTTATGGATACGAGATATTTTGGCGTTGCTAACAAATTTATATATATATATATAAATATATGTATGATACAATAACCCAGGCGCTACAGAGATCGCTCGAGAGAAAGAAAAAGACGTTCAAGATCGAGGGATAGAAGAAGATCAAGTTCGAGATCCAGAGATAAACGCAGGAGAAGCAGATCTAGACGACGTTCAACATCAAGATCTAGAGGCAGAAGGCGCAGATCTCCATCAGACCATCGACGATCGCGATCCGGATCGAAATCAAGAGATAAAAATAGAAGGCAGCGAAAATCATCCACAGATCAATCATCACGTTCGCGTTCCAGATCAAAGTCTAAAGATAGAGAAAGGAGGCGACATAGACATTCTCGTTCAAGATCCAAGTCTAAAGATAGAAAAAGGCGAAGATCGTCGTCACGTCACAGGAGTTCTCGCCGGTCACGTAGTGATAGCAGGTTCGTAATATTAAGATTGATAATCAATTGATTCGATATCGATATATTCTATATGGCAAATTTATGAATATTAATTTACAATTGTGTCTAATAATAAAACACTTATATAACTTGTGTATTATAGGGATCGCCATCGTCGTACTTCTAGAGATCGCCGCCATCGTTCGCGAAGTCGATCATCATCGCCTAAACATAGGTATGCTACGGTAGTTATCTGTAGTGCCATTGTACTCAGTTTTATATCCATTGTGGTTCAATAATCCTTAGTAATACGCAATGCAATATTCTTAATTTAATAGACACCACAAGTCAAAGAAAGATAAACGTGATCGCGATGATGATAACAAATCATCCAGCCGAGATAAGAAGGGTAAAGAAACTAAGGAAGAAAAAGATAGCACTAACTATAAGGAAGTTGAAAAGAATGCTAATGAAGTTGATAGCGTAAAAGATACTGTCGCAACCGACAATAACAACAGTAAAGTAAAAGAAGCGAGCGAACCTGAAACACCAAAGCGAGAGAAAAAAAAGAAAAAGAAAAAGAAGAAATCCAAGCGGGAAAGTAGTAGTAGCGATGAAGGGTCTAACTAGAATATCCCCTCTTGAGATATTTTAGGTAGTACGGTATAGAATTGTTGTATTATTTCAATGATAGCAGCAACTGTTGCTTGCAATTGAAGTTTATGTGGTACTCCTCTTTGTTACCCTTATTACCACCATACTGATTATATATTATGCACCAGTTTCACCTGTTAAGACTAGGGTAATAATACTCTTGTTATATGAATGTGATATTACTGTAATATATTTAACATTTGTCGTATATTCTGTAATAACTACAGAGTTGTTAAACTGCCGACGAGAAATCAGTAGTGAAACCCTTACATATTTAGATCAATATGTTGCTGTTTTTCATTTTGTATTACCTTTTCGATTTTATTGATCGATTATTCAAGAAAAAGAGAAAATAAAATAGTAGTTCCTCTTAAACATGCCATTCACATCAGTTATTAGATGGGCTAGTATTGTAACTGATGCAATTACCACTTAATTAATATCTTGACTACGTGAAGCATTTGATATCATACACTTGCGTTTAATACAGAAATTGCTGCTTATTCAAATACGGTAGCTATAATTGGCATTTTACGGTTATAATAAGCCCTTTACAACATCATAGACGGTTCTGTACAAACTAGATGTAAATACTACAGGACTGCAGTGAATTCTCGATTAACAGGATAAATAAAGCAATTCAGTCAGCATACACGAAATTTATGGTTAAGAGATTTTAAAGTTATCGTAGGTAAAAATTTCGACAACAAACTAATACAACGATGACATAAAAGTGCAATTTAAAAATGGTTTAAATAATGCAGTTATCCATGATCCACCAATAATCACCATCAACCGATATCATTAACTATAGTCAAGAAATCCAATATGTGTTAAAGTACTCCATCGCATGGATTTTCTTCATAGGGTTTCGAAAGCATAATCACCATGGGTATTGATATCCTAATTTTTAATCTAAAATGAAATTGTCTTTTCGTTATTTTCTATAAATCGATGGCTATTAGGCATGAAGTAGTAGGTAGTAAATTATTTACCTGATTCACTACTAGAACTTGTAGCAAGAAAACGATTTGATCTATCGCTGCTTTTGCTTTCACCACTACTACTTGTATTGATACTATTGCTACTACTTTCTATCGATGATGATTGGCTTTTAGTAGATGCAGAAGAGGAAACAGATGCAGATGATACTGATGAAACGGTAACGAGGTTGGAACTATTAATGCCATCAACGGCAGTGCTTGCAAATGCTTCCTTCTTACGTTGTAGGTTTTTCTTGAGGTGTTTCTTTCGAACTATAAATAAAAAAATAATAATAATAAATAGTAGTGAAATACACGCGTATATTAAATTCTAACTAAATTGATTATTATAATTATTAGAGTAGTTCGTTTTCTAGATAGTATCATAACGCCATTAATCATTCCTGTCATGGTACACAAGCATACCTTCAATGCTGCGGCTTGTCTTCAGCTGCTGTAATACCGAGGCATGTTGTAAAATTTCATCTTGTATATTATCAATAGCCAATCTAATCAATTCGCGATAAATAATGAAATCAAATTGCAAGATTTATAGGCATTGCACCCCCTTTATTCCATCTAGATCATAAATGTTATGACTTTATATTATATTTATTCACTGGAGGGGTTCTAATTGATTGACTGATTATGTGACCTGACTTGTAAGCTTAATCAAAATTTATTCCATAATTTATCGGTACTAATATGCAAAAGTTGAAAAGCTTCAGATACTGATATAATTACCTCAGATCCTGCAAAAGGGCATTCTTAAGTTGTTTATCCTCGTTCAATAACTGTATATGTTGCGCATGATGATGTTGGGTATTTAGGATTCCATCGACTTGCTATGAAGGTACGAAAGAGAAAAATGAAATATGACTATGATTCTCCTGCCCTTTACTATAGTATATGATAAGTTTGATGATTCATTAGCGTACTAATCATCTAATGAAATTTTAACGTTGAATAATAAGAGCTGATATTATACCCTTTTCATCTGATCTTGATTAACATATAAAGCTTGAAGTTCGCAGCTTAGATTATTTTTATCGACTTCAATTTTACCTAGCGGATTGATTAGCTGTTAGATTATCAATTTATTACAAGCACATTTTGAGTTGTGAAAATTTTTCGTATCAATTTGATATTACAGTAGAAGGTCGTGATATTAGCAATTTCATTCATAAGGTCGTACTGGACATTTAACTTACCCACTCTTGATCGAAGTCTGTCCAAGTTACCTTGGAAGGTAGCAAAGTCTTCTTCAACATATTTTTTACTGCAGCAAAATAGAGGGAAATATCATTTACTTTAGATCCTGATGAGAACGGCTTCAAATGCATCACTAGTATAGTCTAGCGAGTAGACAATGCTATTCGCTATATGCGATAACATAATCCTACAATGTTAAATTAGTCAATCATGAATCAAATTTCTACTTTGGTGTTTCGATCCTATCAAGTAAAATTCGATTATATGTACACTATCAATGCATTTACCCCTGTATATCAAGTTCAACAGAATCTATGTATCTATAAGACTATAAGATGCAAGCGATGATTGTTGTACTTTACCTCTGATAAAAATCTTGTGATAGAATGGCCAAAGCTGGCTCACTGCTTTTTGTATAACTGTCATCTTTATCATCGCGAATTGGACGCCTTCGAACATCATTTGTTATTGCCTTGACTTCAAGCTGTAATTGCTTTTTCCACTAGATAAAGAATCATCTATTGATTAGTTTAGGTTAAATTATGATCTTTCCTGTGCAAACTATCGTAGCTGATCTCTTATTATCAATATACGATTGGTAAAAATAGATAGAGAGTAATGAATAAGAATGGCTTAACAGATTGATATAACAGTGCTAATATCATAAGATATTATTGCAGCTATTACAGCTGCTGAAGCCATTGCATTATTAAGTCATAAGAAGTAAATGAATCATCGTAATTGAAGCTAGAAGATTCATTCCTATCAGCTTCTCGCATGTAATACAGTATGCATCAACAGACATACGTCAAGGTTATTATTTATATGTGGCGACAGAACATTCTTGATATAGAATTGAATTCGAAATTCTCTTATATCATACTTGCGGAAGCTTCAATTATCAATCTAAATCTGATATATGAATTAAATGAACTTACACTTCGTAGCTTATCTTCAATGATGTGGTCTAATTCTTGCTGGCTGTTCACTCTTTTAATGCTATTAATTTCATCTTAAAGTGATTAAAAATTATTAATTAAATCAAGATACAGTACTAAACTTGCATAAAATGAACTAAGAATATTTTAGCGACGATCATGTTTAGTTAACAAGCCAGATATCAGATTATAGTTTCCACCATATTTTTAAAAGAATATTCCATAGCATGATAATAAATGTGCTATTGAAATAGCTAAGAGTGTGCATCAACGATGAAAACTGGAAAGTAGAGGAGATTTTGTTGGAGATCTAAATACATTTTGTAAGCTGTTACGAGCAGTTCTGGCGTAATTTTTCCGAAACAACCGACATTACTCGCATTTCAAATTGCAAGTACAAATTCGTCACAATTGAGTATCTACTTCATCAATTAGTAATCAAAATAATCCTACAAGATTATCGTATCAGGATTAGGATCAGATTCTTTGATAATATAACAATTATTTATAGATCAAACATTGAATTGTTTTCGCATTACATTAAGGCAACTATTTCATAATATTGAGGCCTTACATCAAAAGCAAAATAATTAGTAGCAAACCTCTCAGATTGGTTGTATTTTTCTCATTTACGTCTAATTGAAACTTTAATTCTCGCATTGTTGATGTTAGTGATCTAATAGTCTATGAAATTTTCAATAATAGAAGCGAAGATTGCAATAAAAAAATTTATTTAACGGCTGGTATGATCTAATGCAAATGATACAACTAATAGCACTTTCAACAAATTATCCTTACTTGAGCTTGCTGATCTATCCTTTCAACCAGTGAATTAACAAGTAATGGTGAAGACGGAGTCATTAATTCTTGCCGGATATGCTCTACACTATTACTGGAAGTAGTAATAGGTTGGCCCAAAGTGCTTTGATTAAAATCATGGCTAGTTGGAGAAGCATAATTAAGTCCTGAAGATTTGTATCCTAGTTTGCATACGTTAAAAAAGGATTAGATAAGTGATGATATAAGGGCGGGAATAAATTTAATCTCTATCTAAAGCCACTGTAATTACCTTGTAGACCGTAGTTAGCTGCTAGTAATTTATTGTCCGGTTTTTTGCGATATAACTGAAGTGAGTGCTAATAATTCAAGAAACAATGATTAGAAATTTGGAGAGCATTAGATGAACCTCTACGAACTGAATCTCGTAAACCAGGATAGTGCTAAGATAAGACAGAATTATAACACCGTCATTCGGCATAAATATTGATATTAGAGATCGTATTAAACATTCAGAAATATTAGAACGAAAATCTATAGTATGATCATGGTAAAGGGAATCAATTTATACTAAAATTGGCGTCTTCTCATGGAATTGCCGAATGTAAGTATTCAACTTAAAAAGTAGGCTACGGTTTCAATTTATTTATTTGATCGGTGTAACATTTAACTTCAACTATAGTAAATCTATTTATTGAATCTAAATATCGAAGGCAAGGGCAATCTTGCGATTGGAATTTTGTATTAGAATTGATTTTAGTCTTATCAATTTCAAATGCCTGCAATTTTGTCGTAATAGCCCCTTAAGTTATACTTAGCGAATTAGAAAGAACTTTTGAAAAATTTAACCAATAACTCAAACATTTTTTGAAATTCAAGTAGTAGATAAAATCGGATTTTGAGTTCAAACTATGCTGAAAGATATTTATCGGTAACCATGATGTTATTGAAACTACCTACTCATCAATGAATGATATCTTTCCATGTATATTAATACATTTGGATAATCTACTTCTGTTCGTAAATTTTAGCATTGAAACGCTAGAAAATAGTTGTAGTTATATATCCAAATTTATTTTAGGTAGATTAGCAAGAATGAATATAACTTACTAGGACTCCAGTTATGAGTATATTTACAATGTAGTATCTATGTTGATATTACCTTGATTTTAGAGATACTATCTTCATTTTCCCGGATAATAGAGGCAATTTTATTCTCCCAATTCACCTCCATTTTATAATCCGACAGCGTAAATTTGTATTAAAGGTTATATTCTAAGAGCACAAATGAACGAGCTACTAAGCTTACAAGAGAACAATTGTAGAGTCTAAACGTCAGTAAATTGGTACTATTTGACCGGAATCAGAGTAATCTGTCGTTAATAGGTGAGGAAGCTAATGTGTTATTTCTTCATTAACAATTCTATTAATTGTATCAAGGCGATAAGTCGACGACAACGCTAGAGCTATTTATGATATGTGTCCGCCTTGAAGTAGTAACAACATTAATTAATATTCATGGCGAATAATGCTAAATGGTTATAGTATTTGAATAGAATAGACTACTGAATATCAATGAACTCTTGTATTATCCTATGCGAGGTTTAGAACAATCCCTTGCATTGTTCCCTTATATTTCTTATATCAGGAAAGAATAGAAATACGTTAGCTAGTTTTTAACAGTTTAAATTTAAAAACTGGAGCTATTTATATATCCGTAAGGTTCGTTGTTGTAGTCATTGTAAGTTGCAATGCAATGAGGCTGCATAATGGCTGCTAGAATTATGCATTTGATAATGTTTATATCATCATAATATAGAAATATTTCACATTAGTAATCAAAACTTAAAAAAATGATAGCTTATGACTTATTAATGAAGATGTTTAAGCATCATCTAATAAATGGCTGTTTATTGACGCTAACATTAGACATGAATACACACAGATACGATATTATTGAGTACTGATACTTATTATGTTGACCTCATTTTGCCAGAAAGATCTAAGTAATGTGTAGGCATCACTATAAATTCGAAGCTTATTCGCCATCAAGAATGAAATAAATCGCTATTAAATTAGGCAACGATTAATCGTGCTATAAAATATATAATAGAACACCACGTCGTATTGCATCCAAGATGGGAACTGTACAATAAAGCAAACGCTAAGGTTTAATTCTGAATTGATGTACACCGTACTCACGTAGTAATTTAATGCTATCTAAACTAATAGTTGATATACGAGTTTAGAGTATAATAAACGGTATAGATTCAGCTTTAGAAAATGCTATTTAAATTCGTTAAACTGAGTATAGGCTACCAAAATTTCTTGCATGAAATAATTTGAGATAGCAAATTTGACTGTTTACACTTGCACTGAAGTCCAGTACGTACATGAATATCAATCATTACCACAATTTTAATTTTATCAGTAATAAATTGTGGAAAAGATAAACTAATAGCGTGATAGATGACTGAAATTTCGGCCTATACTGACAATTCATTTTATATGCTAAGGTAATATTTACGAAAGTTTATTAACCTTAGAAAGGTACTGCTTTAATGTATGTAAGATACAGCTTCTTTAGATAAGCTTTCGATACCGCTGTTTTATTTAAAAGATCAAAATTTATAAATTTTGGCAACAAAGTACCTGCAAAAGGTATCCAATTTATGTGATAGTACTGTATCTTCCATTTAGGTAAATTAGTAGATTTCGAAATCGATAAAACTGATAGAAATGATTGCTATTAAATTTGGTTATAAAAATTAGGCATAATTTCTAGGTACACCATTTACGCATAGACTAAAGATAAAATCCCGCGTTTAATGGCTAAAATGATGGCTTATTGCGTCTATATAAAATACTAATTAACACTAGTAACGCAAAAATATGGACAAAGAAACATAAGAATCGTTTCCATAACTTTTCGTGTTCTCTTCGATTTAATCAGTTAATAACCAGAAATGATGATTTATTACGTCTATGTAAAAATAGCGATTAACACGGTTAATGTACAAATATGAGCAATGAAAAATAGCAGTCGTTTTCAGCACTTTTTGTGTTTTCTTACATTTGATTTAATCAACTATGACTTATTAGAGCTATAGTGTAATAAACTGTCCCAATAATCAGGAAAGATATATAAATACTAAATAACTTTGCATCTTCATAATATATTAGTAGCACGTCTATGACGTCTTATAGCATGCAATAACCTATTGTTTGAATCTGCTGAGGCAACTTATACATTTACAGTATCACAAGTAAAACTCAAAGAAGTGTTACGAACTTATAAGACCTGCTATGACGAAGAAGAACTCATCATATCTTCTATGATGATTCTATAAATGCGGAGCTTAGTTAAATTGTGTCCTTGCACGGGTTATCCTTAGATGGTTGCTTGACCCCTTTGATAGTTGTCCTGTGTAAAATTCGAAGGCCTACCAGTTCTGGATCATGCTGAGTTTCTTCAGTTGCCTCGTGTCCGACTGCTAAATTATCTGATATTATGAAATCACCAACTCTCCACTGAAGAAAGATAGGCAACAATATAAGTTATTTGAGATACTAATCACACTATATGACATGTTAAATAGAAGGAAAGAGTAATATTATACGTATACTGTACTGCATATTGATCACGAAAGTACAAGCTAAATTCTATCAGCTGTGATAGTTTGAGCTGAATTAAGTTTAGACTACCTTATGGCGATATATTAACTGGCTGCTTATAATTTCGCTATGTATGTCAGCTAAGATCTTTTGTGTCTCTTCCGGTGTTGTTAAGTGCTCATTCGGTGTTCCTTTATCCCATATGAATGCATCAGTCATACCAAGGTGGAAGCATAAAGTCTACAAATATTATTGATATATAAAATTGTACAGTAAGTAATCATTTAACAATTTAATAGTTTACAGACTCTAGGATACTAGAATTTCAGATCAATTCTAAGTATCTTTCTGTAGATCCTAAAGTCAGGACTATTTAGTCAATTTCGTTTTATTACAACTTCTAATAAATAGAGACAAACAATTAATTTTTCTCCTTCCTATAATTTAGATTATAAGAAGGAGAATAGTAGGTTACTGAGTAACCCCAGCAAGAGTATTCAGTTATTTATGCTGTTATCGCAAGATCAGATTTGACTGAGACCTCGCAATTGATAACTTAAGTTAGATATATGTAATTTCTTTGGATCAGTCATGGTTTAAACGACATCATTGTGCAGTTACCTTAAGACCTGTAATAGGGTGAGGATATACTAGCGGATGACTATGATAACCTCTTCTATCGCTACACATCCATAGCCTTTCCCATCGTTGTCTCTTTACTTCGGATATTTTCTTTAGTACATCATTTAATGGTATAAAAGCTGTAATATTGATCGATGAAATTAGGAGCAGAATACACCGATGTCATTATTTTCATCTTAAAGCATAATAACTGCTATATATAGCTTAAAAAGATTGGCACATACGCGTATGTTACTATACACTATTCCAATGGAGCTAGGGCTATGCTATTATGTGGTAATTTTGTTCAGAAAATACTAATTAACTCACTGTGTATGAAGGTACTACTGCACTGTACAGTAGTTTGTAGTTATCTGAGTTCGTATATACTGTAGTAGTTACGTCGATAAGTTTCCATCATTATAATTAGCAAATACCAATACATTCATGGATGAGTAAGCTATACATTCAAACGATACAAAAGTGACTACGATACTGGTAAGTAGTTTTAATCGTTCTATGGTCCTTTCTTTGCTATTTATTTGCAGATTTATAATACTAAGCCGTCTAGGTACCGTATAATGAATGGAAAGATGAAATTAGTTAAGAGTCTGTCATTTAAGTTACGGAATAGTAGTTGATTAACTACACCTGTATCGCCATGTTTGGGAACGTGATGCATATAGTAAAGAGAATGCGAGAAGGGTTCAGATTGAAAGCTGCCATCAATATGCCATCCTGTTCGACCTACACCAACGCAGCCCTCACTTTCGACGTTAGATACACGAAAGACATCAGGGTGAGGTGATTTGGGATGCTTATAAAAGGTTGATTCCAACTGCCCAAACCATTGGCTAATTTCTACTTGGCGATGACCACTTATAGGGTTCTGGTTACGGAATATAACTATTCTATGATCAGTTACATCTTTCTTGATCATCTCTATGACGGAGCTAGAAACATTCCCAGTTAAATCAATTCCATGGACTTCAGCTCCTAGTAATGGCCGCGATGCCAATTGATAAGGCCTTACATTACTCATTATAAATCGTGTGGTTAAATTTTTGAACTTCTTCAGAAGTGTATTCTTCAGCTGAATAGTAATCATTTAAATTGGCCATATATCATTGATGATATACAGCATAATATCCTGCAATCATCGTACGCTAATGATGCCAAAAATGCAGTTTCTTGGTTTACAGTAGTTAACAGTGCCGTTCTTTATGACCTCATGCAGGACAAACGTCTGTACATCTGTAAGCGATCATGGAGAAGACTGAACAGTGGACAACTGGACATCCATTTGGACGAGTAGACACATGGCCACATTTGGTTAACAAATTGTGCTCATAGGTATTCCTTCTACTGTCGTACCTCACGATTTTAGCTATCTCATGAAACTTTCTTTGATCTTCGCTCACTCCACGATCGAAGAGAGTGGAAAAATGACCTTTAAAGTGAAGATGTAATAACGTTATCACGCCATTGCCAACCCTGACTGATTGATTGAATATGGGTCATTCCATTGAGCGCGGGTGGTCGTCGGGTATTGGTCCCAACGCTAAGGCATAGGGATTGATTATTTTTAACTTTGTTCGACATACTTTAAGAAAATGCAAATTAAGAAACCCAATTTCGTGTCATTACCACGTGGAGCCCTGTGTAGCTGTAATAATTGTTACTCCTAAACTACTCCGAACTACTGGTTCACAGTAATGCTGAGACTGAGTGTCTTAGGATAGGAATAACTTTATTACATGCATAAAAAAGGTTACAGAATTTAGCAATGAAAGGGCTATAGCTAATATTAAAACGTTATTCTAGTAATCTTTACTTGGCAAATCTGAAAGGCTACTTTAGCTCTCTCTCTAAGACCCTTTCATACCATCCGGGCCCATCTTATTTGTCAGCATATTTTGAACAAAACTCTAACACAGATATTCCCATACGTTACTCACCAGGCTCACAACTTCACCTCCGCTAAGTAGGCAATTCTCAGTCTGCAGTGTGACCAATCTGAGCCCAATCATCGCAGCTAAACAACAATCTCGCGACCGATCCAACATAGCGCTAACATAAAATCGATAAATATCTAATTCTAATACAGATCACATTGTGAAGTCCAGAGGTCTGTAATAAGGTATGATATACCATGTATCAGGATGTCATGGACTACTTCCTGACATGTTTACTAGTCTAACGTAAAGCACTTACTTTGAGTTGCTTCTATAGATTACAACCCTAATCTGTCGAAAGATCTAGCAAGAATATAATACTGCTACTATAACGCCTAAGATCTACCCTTCTAAAAGGCTCGCAACCAGTAGACACGCTGTACACTACTATAATCTACAAAACAGCTTTATACTATAATACTGAAACACTGTCAGCAATAATACTTTCTTAAACTATAATTTAGGCAACGTATTGCCATAACACAGGGACCTGTAAGAGAATTCTATTGGGAGTCCCTACATTCACTTATTCTCTCATTTTATTCTTTGCGAGAGTATATCGTAGCAAGCCATTCGAAATTTCGGTGATACAGTACACCTACAAGTTACATTATTTCAGCGAAATCTGTGGTAACTATTCAAGGCATGATTCCAACCGTATGAATGAACATGGAAAATGAAAGGAATATACATAAGAAATGGGAAGTTTTGATCACCAATCTTAATCCAACGATACTAGACGACTTTTTGAATTCGATAATCTTAACATATTTTTTTGGAGTTCCCATAGGCCATAGCATGTGAACACCAATACATTTTTCACATAAATGTGACAAACAAAAATAGTAATAATAAACAAGTACAATATATATAATCTGTTCGTCATTTTACGCTTGCTTAATAGTAAATTGTTGATCGAATATTAGTATACTGTACGTATAAAGTAATACATCATAGAAATTATAAATACCGTAAATAATAGATATTTTTACTAGAATAAGCACCCAGTTTATTCTAACATCTGCATTTGCTGATATCATGTCCGTCGAAAAATGCATATAAGTAAGCTCGTATTCTTCTCTTAATTTAAGTAAAAGACAACGCTCCAACACCGGACTTGTCATATAAAATAAAATTGATATATCTACCTTCGTCAATCTACTATGCAACGATACTGTTGTGATCAAGGACTATTACAGTACGAGTATTCAGTAGCTGCCATGAGACATAGAGGTCATAGTAAGTTTATTCTATTTAACCGTAAATAAATAGGAGGTTTATAAATACAGTATAACTCGACAGTCTAATCTAATCTAATCCATGTCCATCACTCCGTGATACTAAAGAAATTGTTTATTGAGCAATGTTATAGTTAGTATATACTGTACAGTAGTATAATTGTTAGCTACAGCGATTATATTATAGACCAATTCAGTCATAGAAGGTCAATACAAAGGTCGAAGAGCAACGAAATTGAATAACCACAACCCAAATGCTAATAATATTTTTACACGTGGTGATCTTAATCATTATACTCTATAGTAGTCTCCTGCATCTTGTAATTATATTTTACTACCTATTGCTGAAACTGCTCTCAGGAGGTCATTGTTAAAGGGAATAGACTAGGCAAATTCTAAGATCAATTTTATGTATGTATTTATGCGGCTACGCTTAGCATACATGACAATACTGTTTTAGAAATTTGGGGTACAGAAGAGTTGATGAACAAATAGTTCATAAGGTACGAATTGGCCATTTCATTTTAACTAGTTTGCGATCCTTTCCTTATATCGATTGGGTAATTTTAAAGCGTATGATTCTAGCTAAAGTCAAAAAATAATTACTAATCGACAGCACAATTTATCAAGTTAAAATACAGAATTTTCATTGATGCATTTCTAAGAAATATCACAGTTTACTAGAAAGGTAAATGCAGGCTACTAATCTCTTTCTTCCCCCTATAACTACCGTCCATAATAAAGTTACGACAATACGTTGAGGTTAAAATAGTTTATTACAATAGTATACAATAGTAGAATGTAGGATTTTGATAAGTAAACCTTAAACACCACTAAACCTCAGATCGAATTCTCTTCGAGGCATCCTGGCTTTTATAGCTGTTTCTTATTCCTACAGGCTGTTTATAACTTTGTTTGTCTGATGTTCTTCTCGGTCAAATACTATTATGACGCCGACCTTGTCTTCTTTATACTATTCCTCTTGTTAAATCCATATCCATATCAATTCTACGTTAATATTTAACAAGAATCTTATTCTATTCTCTTGCACTGTACCAATAGTGCTAAAATACGTGCTAGTAGTGTTCGCAAGTTTAGTTTTTTAATTTTTACATATTTACAGTTAATTATAATTACTGCTGAGTGCTGGCACAATGTTACTTTATGCCGGATGTAGTAGTGGATTAATTTCATTTAATTAATTTCAAATTTTGTGGTAAAGATGTCCGTTGTGTAACTGTTCAAGTAATATCCAAGCATAATAATTCCTCTCAATTTACTATTTAATATGAAGTGAAATGATTTCTCCACAGAATAGATTGCATAACTTGTACTAGTTCGTCTAAAAAGTGCCTGAAATGACCAAATTTAGTTGTGGTGTTGCAGTAGCAGATAGATTGCGTGCAGTTTCTTATTTACTGTTAGCTACTGACGATTTATTATTGAGAGTTTTTCCGTAGCTAATAGGTTAATCTTTGTATAGTTCTTGATTATATATCCAAACTAAAAATGCTAATGTTACAAGTTCAATATGCACATACGCGTATGTCGATGGAACCTTTCTACCGTCTTCTAATTATGTCACTCTCTAGTATTAACTAACAGTATCGCATTCGGTATAAGAAACCTTAATCACTTCTTTAAGAAATTTCTCTAATGTCTTTACTTCATCTCAATCAATAATCATTTATCCTGCTAAGCTGAACTCTGAATCCGGAATGCTTGCTTGAGAATTTTACGTTAATCTCAGCGTTAATCGAGCCTGTACGTCTTACAGAATCATAGTGACGCCTAGTTGTAGATTACTACAAATGAATTATTTCTTTAATCGAGCATATGAGTCTTGCAACATTGTGATGATATTCAGACGCAACCACTAATATTAAATCATCACTAGCGATAAATGGATCTATTAGTAGTCTTGTAGTCATTTTAGCTAAACTCATTTATATCGTAATGAACCAACTAACAGCTACAGCATAATAAGCTATAGATACTCTGAGGAAAATTTAGTAATCCATGAATAAGTTATGTAATAATACATATTTGATATACTAGATTTACCAAAAATAAAGTTGCTAACCTGCTTCCTAGTTTCATTCATTGAATAAAGCAATAGTCATTTGTCATGCTAATCCTAGTTCTTGATTGAAACTAACCTTAAATCATTTATTATCTTAATTAAGATGCCTTCCGAAGCTACATTTTGCTACGATGACAAGTTACCAAAACAACCTGTACCAGACTTACAAGGATCTCTAAAGAAGTATTTAGCCTCTGCTCTTCCTATGGTTAGCGATGAACAGTATGCAAAGACAGAAGCTCTTGTCAAAGAATTTGGCAAGCCAGGAGGAATCGGCGAACAGCTTCACCAAGTTGTTGTGGAGAAAGCAAAAACCACTAAAAATTGGGTTAGATTTTTATCATTGATATTACCTTTATCGTATTTCTATTTTTCAATTTATTCAGTAATATTTTTTATGATCATTTCGGTTGCACCATAGATACGAAGTGATCAAATAGATACGGTAGCATCTAATTAATGTCCAATGTAACAATCCAAACTATACCATCTAATTGTCATAGACGTATTAATCAAGTTATTACCTTGCTTTGGATTTTATTTTAGTTATTTTTTTAGCATATTTCGTTATAATCGATTGTCATACTAATTAATTATGTAAAATTTCAATGTTAGTCAAAATTTGTCGTTTTCGATGAATTTTAAAATTATTATTAAATGAGTGCTCGTTAGACATTTCCATTACATTTTATATTATAATATCTGTTTACATGGTATCAAATATTTTCGAGCCTAACAAGTGCAGCAAATTTTGAACTTTGATATTAAAATATTTATACGATTTGCGCGTATGCCATAATATAGAATTAGTTATTTACGGTATAAAATAAAATTATGTAGATTTATAGCCTAGTATTACTCTAAATTTATAAATTATAGCTTCATCAAATAAGCAGTGTTTATTTATTCATATTTTTGCATATAGCAATCAACTACAATGGTACATCTTTAATTTTACTATAAATACTATCAGAATTAGGAGGAATCACGATGTAGGCAAAATTACTTACTGCTATCGTAACGAGTATCAGAAAATTTAAAGCCATAATTATTTCTCAGTTAAGATACCCATACGCTACTCCACCAAAATAGGTTGACGTAAATTATTTTTATTTCTAGAAGAGTACGATATGTTAATATAAGTCTTAAGTAACGAAGATCTCATCCATTCACATACCAATAGCCAAAGATAGTTTAATATTTCTTCATAGTATTAACTTATCTATTTCCTTTCTCACTTATTCTTCCGATATGATATCATAGTTAGCCGATTGGTGGACTGACGCTTATTTAAAGTCAAGACAACCAGTCGTGTTGACCTCCTCGGTTGGTGCTATTAGTGGTTATGAACCAGTCCAGACGGAAGACGAATATATAAAGTAAGAAATGTTAGCCCAATAAGGCTATTAAACGTAATGTTAGATATAGTCTTTAATGTGTTAGTTATACACATGTAACTATCTGCAATATTGCAATAATATTATTATAGTACTTATAATACTATGCTATGGCTCAATAACACTTTAAAAGTAAACTCAGAAGTTACTGCAAATACAGTAGTTGCAATCTGTAGAATAGCTTGCAATCATGTACACGTATATGATGTGCAAACTGTAATTATAAGTAAGGTGCGAATCTATGAAACTGCAAATACTAAATTACTGTAATCAAGAATCAGCCACAAAATTTACTTACGGAGTGTGCTCAATTGCATGAAATATAATATTTACAAATTTTAATTCCAGTTGCGATTATCATTTTAAAGACGCTTTTATATTCTATTTTGGATAGCCTTTCCGCTAGAGCAGCCGTCTCTTTAGCAACATATTACCAACAAATATACCAGTAAGCACTTGAGTAAATCCCCTTTCTGATAAGTTAAGATTCTCATTTTGTAACAGTCAAGGCTTAACTATTCTAACACAAGATGATCGACAACGATAATTTCAACCAATTTTTGATGCTTTCGTCTTAGACAAACCTTACCTGTGTATAAAGCGGGTGAAACTATATTTTGTATGCATCAAGCCAAGCATTATTTTGCTAGTGGTAGAATTCCTAGACAGGATAGGGATGATTTTGAATACCAAAAACTTGACGATGATCTTTCTACTCACATGATTGTTTCCCATAATAATCAGGTACGGTGCAATAGAGTCAAAATAATATATTAAAAGTAACTGATTTAATTACGACACTTTAGGAGTAAGATAATATTTAAGTTGTCAACATGTCGTACATGGATATGCATCTGTGATAAAGTGATCTTCAAAACAATAAATCAAGAACCACAGTTTCGTGCAAATTTCACTTTATTACAGAAGTTAGGTTCGTCTAACTACCAAGGACTATCTGACTATCTGACAATCTACTTATTACAGCAAAATTCACGATTTATATACGATTAGTTACAGAATGCTTTTACTGTAACAAATCTTATCTTGCCCATTAAGTCGCAAGATCAGATCTAAATTTACTATCGCGCAATCTATTCATAAATCGCGCGTCTACTTAAAGCATTACAATACAATACTTACAGTACTAACATACTAAGCGCAAATCTATTTACTGTATATCTCAGATCTTTATATAAACATCTTAATAGATTCGCTACAATACGTACTGTAAACATCTTCTACAAATAGACTCTTACACAATCTTACACTCTAGCTTACAAGTTAAGTTATTCTCGTAGAGTCTTATAATAGTAATCTAAGCTATATTTGGGGCTGCACTACAGCATCATATGCCAGTGTAGGCTTAAACTGAGATTAGATATTTTAAAATCAATATATAATCGTAAACAATAAAAAATTATTACATTACTCCTAAATTATAGTTATCTCTTGTTCTGGCCTTTAAAATAAAATTGCAAAATCTAATAAATAAATTCTAGGCCTTCAAATTTACCGTTAATGAAGATACAAGAGGAATATAACTTATTTGCAAAGGAACCGTATAGAAATTGAATAGTTATTGTATAGATGCTATTAATTACATTAATTATACGAGTACTGCTAGTTTTCACTATTTGATACGGCGTTGTAATAGAAATGAAAAGAGTGTCTAGCATATGCGGGTATATGAAACTCGAATTACAGCGGTGAAGTTAATATCATTTGCTATCTTACTTAATTAATATACTGTATATCATATTGTTACTCCGTAGTTTTTCGTTGTTGAAGCAATCAAAGACAATAAAGTTGTTTCGTATGCCGAAATGAAAATGCAAATTCAACGAATTATGCAAATGTCAACGGAAATAGCAGAACCTGTAGGTATACTAACAACAGCAGATCGTGAAACGTGGGCTAACGCCCTTCGACTTTTAAATCAAGGTGATTTAAAATAGTATTCACCAATATGACGTAAATATGAACAATGAAATATCATAATGTGGTATAATTATACATTTAGATCCTGATAATTATCGAAATTGGCGTACTATTCATCGTGCAATCATTGTCTTAAGCCTAGAAACGAAAAAAGTTGAACCCAGTGTTCAACCAGATCATCCAGATTATATGGATGAATTATATAGTATATTTACGGCTAACGGCTTACATGGATATGGCACTCAGTTCAACAGTGGAAATCGATGGAATGATAAAGTTCTCAATTTCTCGGTAAATGGATATGGATGTTTCGGCTTAGCAGCGGAGCATTCAAATATAGATGGAGTTCCAATCTTTCAGCTCGTTTATTTGATAGAACATTATATGTACGTATGTTTCATTAAATCTACTCTAAATATTCTAATTTTAATATGATAATGTGAATTAAATATAAGACTTTAGCTTGTACAAATTACTGCATCCACGTCAATTAATACAGGTTAACTGTTAAAAACAAAATATCAAGATACTACCGTAGATGCTACTTCAGAACCGAAAGCATCATATTCTTCTGCATATAGCATCTCTACTATCTTCATGCCGCATAGACTTTGCTATCAATATCATAAAATTTATATTTTCTAAATCGATTATCACAGTAAAGCGGTAGATACCAGTCAGTCTGTTTCACAAGAAGTTTTAAACCAAGTTGAACAACCGAAGAGAATTGAGTGGAAATTAAATGATGAATTACATCAAATTATTCGACAAACAGCTGAGAAATTTGATAAGTTAGTCTTTATCATAGAATTGATAAAAAATATTTAAATACGCAGATTTATTTTCACGATCAATCATTATATTACGTCTAATAAAAATTGTATTAATACATGTATGTGTTAACACACAGAGCTGTGGAGGATGTCAACCAACGTGGTATGATCTTTGACGATTATGGTAAAGAATTCATAAAATCCATTAAAATGAGCCCTGACAGCTTTATACAAATGGCTCTCCAATTGACATATTACATGTAAGTAAGAAATGATGTATAATTACAAAGGATACTATTTTCTATTTATCATAAATCACCTAAGCTATGTTATGTAAGACTGAAATGATTCAGTTTTAATATATTTGCATCGCACAATTTACTACCTAAGTGATACCGCCACTAATTTATATATATTCATCCTATCTAATGGCATGCCTAAATAAAAACATAGTCTTTAAATACTTGAAAGAATACAAAAGGATAGCACTTTATATCAGGAATATAAAATGCAATAGATTTAAAGATATTTCATCAGCTGCCGAAAATAATAAATGTGCCGACAATTTCCTTTTAAAATAGACTTGAGAATAAATTACCGAATCATTACGAAAGCTGTTCAATGGCTCGTTATACTTATGGTAGAACGGAAACTATTCGCTCGACTACATCCAAATCAAAAATACTCTGCGAAGTTTGGGTAGATCCTAAGTCGACGGTAAGGAATAAAGTTTAATGCGATCAATACGGTGAAGTTGATTGAAGGACTTATCCGGTATCACTTCTCAATTGCAATACCTTGAATTATCTGGCGTAGTATTTAATTCCACACCGGACAAAAATTCGTTTACTTCAGCTTTATCTTTCTGAGGATAAAAGACTAATATAGGGATTGTAAATTATGGATAGCTGCTTGTTTTGCTGAAGGTTTACTACGACAGTTAATAATTTTCTACTCTATAGTGACAATCATTATAGGAATGAATCAATATATTGCGTTGTGCTAATATTACTAGTCATTCTATAACTGCTATGCTAGGAATAATTAAAATACAATTATTTCATTATCTTTTCAAAAGACATGACTGCAATGTATAGTTATTAGTACAATTTTAGGATTATTCAATGTTTCACCAAATAGCTACTATGACAGTTACGGATTCTATCTATAGATTCAATTATTATATCATTTGCAGGAAGCGATTTGATATGTGTTGTAAATTATTCTTATCATTATTTTAAGGATACTTCTAATTATTGGAGGATAGCATAATGCTATTATTTTGTGCGCTTTATTATTGCACTTTCTTTTACAGATAAACGATAAAAAAGTTGCTTTCATTGAGGCTGTAAAAGCCCATAGTCAGCTAGCTAAGGAGGTTAGTAAAAAGATAAAAAATACTCACGTAATTAAAATTTATGCTTGATAATCTCGTTGAAAAGCCTAATATTTGATATTTCATAATTATAGACTGCAATGGGTAAAGCTTGGGATAGAATTATGTTCGCAATGGCAACTGTAGCTTCAGAAAAAGGTCTTCCCCAGCCAGAAATATTCAGCGATCCTGCTTTTCAATTAATGAGTCAATTTCAGCTTTCAACCAGTCAGGTAACGTCAGGGACTGGTAATCCCTGGTAATATCGATGTCTGACATCATCCCCATAATCGCATAATTTTATCGTTAATATTTCTTAGTAGAATGAATCATAGCGAATTAAGTGTTTTACATCAAAGTTAATTCTATATCAATGAATATAATTGCCCAGCATACGCTCTTATCTCCACAACTTTTATTGAATATGCAATGTTTTTGCATTTGCCGATTGAATCAATCGCTTGTAGTCATATTGGCTGTAGCCTCATGGTAACCTCATTGCTTTCTAATTTAGGGCACATATGGACCATTTTCAAATTCAATATTTGCAGCTGTATGTAATGAAGGCTATGGTGTATCTTACAATATACAACCGGATCGACTTACTTTCACTTGTAGTAATTTTAATAGTTGTGAGAGAACGTCTAGTAAGAAATTTCTGAATTCATTACGACAGTTTCTTCGCGATTTCAAACAACTGGTAACTAGCAGTAAGTAAAGTACTTTACTATGTTATCTAAACATTTGACAGTGTTACCTGATTGATAGGTTAATCAGGCATATATTCAAATTTGATGATTACTTACTTATAATCCCATCAATATGATTTGATAATCAATGAACATCGAGTTTTGTATTGTGTCGACGACAGACCACTAGAAAAGATTTCTTCTAGTGGGTCATGGGTTGACTCATACATCTTACCTCTATGTGATGCTGTAACCAAATATCAAAATTACATTTTTGATATTATTTTAGATTAAATGAAGATAATGTCACTTTCATCTGTATGATTTTATAATTTAGTTAATATGCATTTTTGTTCGAGCATTTTCTGTGTTGGTCTAATAAAAAGTGAATGATCTTGGTAGCTTTATCCATGTGATTGATTGTACTCCTTGTTAACTTGAGTATTTTTATTTAGCATGATTAGTCTAAAAACGGGTAATGAATACAAATGTTCTAATTAGTTGCATGTGCCATTTTTTACACCGTTGGCATCTTATCACTGTCAACAAAATTCCAAGGTATGTGTCTATTGTACATTGCATCCTAGATAGTTGTCAAAGATAATGAAATTGCGAAGAATTCGACAACTAACATAAATCATTTAGGGATACGGTTGCAACATGATTTTAATGTATTCTTGATAGTTTATCGCAGTCGATGAAATTGCAATCATTTTAATACGTAGAGCTGCAAGACGATAGCAATAAAGCATCAACTTTATTCGTTAACTATGCGAAAATAGCCTGAACATGCCTAACAGAATGATTATGAAAAACAACAAGTGATTTGATGACCAGTGACTAATTGCAAAGTTTACAATAAAAGCATTAAAATATTTAATTGTTGGGAATTTACTACCTATTAATTGCCCAGGGAGTGATTTCCTATCTAGTAACTGCTGTAGAATGTATATATTGAAATGAACTGGGATATTATTTCAATCTATTACCTCTACATAATAGTACAAGTATGCTGTTTGCTGTTGAAGAGAGGCGACCGAAAGTCGTGGAACCTACTTCATGATGCATATTAATGCAATGCGACAGGTGCTGAATGCCTTTCACTGATTGGCTAGAACTGGCTTCATTGCCAATGAAATCCATATACGGTATGCCAGTGCTTGGTAGTTTAAGTTTAGGAGATAAAAGTGAAGCACTTTGAGTCTGTACAAATTAGCATCACATAACAAGAATGTCAACCCTTTGCCTCACGCCATATCGACGAGTAGCATGGTCGCATTGAAATTCCAATCTATTCATGAATAGCAAAAATGCCCTTGAAGATCGAGAAATTAGATGATTTAATAATGTCTAAAATGATAGTGGGAGACAAATTAAAGGACCTTGAGCTTAATATTCGTTGGATACGAACATCTTGCAGCAAGAATATCAACCCTATGATAGACGTTATATCGATGTGTAGCTGATTCACTGAAATTCCAATATATCCATGAATAGCAGAAATTTCATTGAAGATCGAGAAATTAGATGATTAATAATGTCTAAAATGATAGTAGGAGACAAATTAAAGGACCTTGAGTTTACTATTCTTTACATACGAACATCTTGCAGCAAGAATATCAACCCTATGATAGACGTTATATCGATGTGTAGCTGATTCACTGAAATTCCAACATATCTATGAATAGCAGAAATTTCATTGAAAATCAAGAAATTAGATGATTAATAATATCTAAAATGATAGTAGGAGATAAAGCGAAAGACCTTGAGCTTACTATTCTTTACATACGAACATCTTGCAGCAAGAATATCAACCCTATGATAGACGTTATTCGATATGTAGCAAATTCACTGAAATTCCAACATATCTATGAATAGCAGAAATTTCATTGAAATCAAGAAACTAGATGATTAATAATGTCTAAAAAAAGGTAGGAGATGAAGTGAAAGACCTTGAGATTAATATTCTTTACATACGAACATCTTGCAGTAAGAATATAAACCCTATGATTGGCGTTATATCGATGTGTAGCTGATTCAATGAAATTTCAACATATCTATGAATAGCAGAAATTTCATTAAAAATCAAGAAATTAGACGATCAGTAATGTCTAAAATGATAGTAGGAGACGAATTAAAAGACCTTGAGCTTATTATTCTTTACACACGAACATCTTGCAGTAAGAATATCAACCCTATGATTGACGTTATATCGATGTGTAGCTGATTCACTGAAATTCCAACATATCCATGAATAGCAGAAATTTCATTGAAAATCGAGAAATTAGACGATTAATAATGTCTAAAATGATAGTAGGAGATAAAGCGAAAGACCTTGAGTTTACTATTCTTTACATATGAACATCTTACAGTAAGAATATCAACCTTATGATTGGCATTATATCGATGTGTAGCGGATTCACTGAAAATCGAGAAATTAGACGATTAATAATGTCAAAAATGATAGTAGGAGACGAATTAAAAGACCTTGAGCTTACTATTCTTTACGCACGAACATCTTGCAGCAAGAATATCAACCCTATAATAGACGTTATTTGATGTGTAGCAAATTCACTGAAATTCCAATATACCCCTTGAATAGCAAAAATTTCATTGAAAATCGAGAAATTAGACGATTAATAATGTCTAAAATGATGGTAGGAGATGAAGTGAAAGACCTTGAGTTTACTATTCTTCACAAACCAACATCGCATAGCAAGGATGTCAACCCTTTGGTTCACGTCATGTCGAATGTGTAACGTGGACGTATTTAAATTCCAATATGTCTATGAATGAAAGAAATGTTATGGAATGTTAAGAGATTAGACGATTAATAATCTCCAAATGGATGGTAAAATTTCACGGACAAAGCTATTGGTGATTTCGATTTTTAATTTATAGATTAGTAGGATGCAATAAGTAGAGGCACTCTTAGATCTTATTCTCGGTAAATATACTACGTTGGCTCTTTAAGAGGTATGTCGCGTAGGGGTGACCATACCTTTTATCTTTTCATTTCAAAGCTAAATCAAATTCACTGTGAAATAAGCTCGTAGTCTTAGCTTAAGGATTTCTTAATTAACACCTCCAGTAGACGTATATTGTTGTCGATAACTCTGAAAATCACTAAAAGTGGACATAAAATCAGTTCCCTACGTGAAAATAACCAATACCAGCATTAAATTTAGTTACAGTTTGTACTAGAAATCATAGAAATTGGCGGATGGACTTAAGGGTTAAACCATCCTTGGTCAAGGATGAAAAAATATACTTTGATGATCAGCAAACTCCATTCCAGCTTGATCACCAATGTATGAAACTAATGAAAGAACTACAATTTGATAATTCTACTTTCAATAAAGAATTACCATGCAATTTGACAGTATCAACTCCAGAAATCAATGATGAAGTTCATGAGCAAAACAATCAAGAGTTTTCTTTTAGGTAATTTTTGGCTGTCTGTTCTTTTCTTTCACATCTAGCAGTATTTCATTGATACCATGTTTAGTGAAGCGTCAGTATAGGCTTCAATAAAACTATGAGCGTATCTTTACAATTAATCTTGCTAATTTTAATGGAAGATTGCTTAAAAGAAAATTGTATTAACCAGAAATTTTTATTAGTGGGATTTTTACTGCTCACAATTTAGTTTCATACGCATCAGTTACTAAGCACAGAAGTGTAGAATTAGTCATAGTTATCATTGTTTCATTTTGAATCATTACTGTCTACAATTCTGATTGCATGGTACTTCAGAATTTAGTTGTAGTTGTCGGCATTCATTTTAACTATCATCATCTGTAATATAGATTGCATAATAGTTCAAATTAGTCGCATTTGTCATCATTCGTTTTATAAATTATACATTAAGGTGCATGATTAGCATAATTCCTTGCTACATGAAGCTAGAAGCTGATATAGAATAAGTGAATTATTTTTACCTGTAGTATAGATTGTATGCCAGTTCAAAACTAATCGTAATTGTCATCATTCTTTTTTATACATTAACGCTGTCTTTTTACGCATATTGATTGCTTAGCCAAATTTCCTCTTACAATTGCGAAGAGGTCGATATATCTCGTGAAAAAGAAGAATTCACTAAAATTTATATGAAGCAACTCTTCGATAAAAGCTCGCAAAGGTTTCCAGAAATTTTGGTTCGTATACAACTATCATATATTGAATTTCTTCAAAGCTCTTCATTTCCGGGTATTAAAGGGACCACATTGAATAAGAAGATTTGATCTGCTTGAACCCTTGTACGATTACTTATAATAGATTATTCCGCTCATAAAAATGTTTTCATACAAAGTAGTAGTACAATTTCTCTTGAGTTATTTTTATAACTAAAAATTGGGTTTATACATTACCTTTTCATTGGAAGTTGCCAAGGTATTTATTTTATTACGCTGTGCTATTCAATAAGTTGGAATGCGCGTATTCTAAGTCATCAGAAGTAAGGAACAGACCGTCTTTCATTTCTATCACTCATTGATAATAGTATTGTTGTAAACAGCTTTCAACTTATTATCCTACATAAGAAAATATTTTTCTAGTAATCTCATTGCAGTATTTAGGTTTTGATCTCATTTAGTGGAAATGTTAACAAATCAAATGCTCGCTTGGACTTTTACTTTCTCGGGTCATGCGAAGTCTAGGTTGACATTTAAAAGTGGTACAATTCTTCAAACTGTTAGTTTGCTTAATCATAGCCATAGAAAATAAAATCACCATATTTTTTAAGTTTCTACTCCTAATTTACAACACGTATTAATACTGTGGTTATCTTTATCCTTTCGCAATTATCCCATTTGAAATTCACCTGTCAGTACTGTGGTAAAAAAAAAAAGTTAAAATTGCCTTCACAATGATATTGTTAAAGCTTACAAGCGGATGTTTGATATTTGTAGACCTACGTACCTAAGCTGTTGTACAGTAGTTAGCGGCGAAAAATTTTATCACTGAGGTTAAATAATTCGAAATAGTTAATGAATCAGGATTAACTTTTAGCTTCTGAGGCATTTATCGATTTGTACCGAATATAGATTGCAGAAACTGATGAACAAATACTATCGTCTAGCTCAAAGAGTATGTACTGTGATGAAGATTTAGTTAGAGGAAACACTCCAGATTCAAAAAGACTTCAAAACGAGAATGAAGGGGATAAAGTGGTCCAAATAGTTTCTGAATCAGAGCGAGATTTTTCGGAGTTATACTTAACTGATAAAAGTAGCATGGGAGGTACAAGGATATTGCATATCATATAATATTTCTGTTGAAGGATAAATTCTATATTTTAAGCGGATTAATGGTACTACAATAACTTTGATTACTTTTCCATATAATTTAATCTCTAACATTTGTTTAGGGTATCACTCCGAAGATTTATTAGGTCTACTGACGCAGAGTCAAAATCAAACCTGTTCCCCTGATCTTAAAGCAAACTTACAGCCTACTCTTACGCAATATCCTGTTGACGAGTAAGATATCAGTTGTGATAATGAGCTTACAGTTTTTACTCTTTTTATAAAACGGATACATGACGATTTTCGTGGTTGTCGTTGAATAAATAGGCTTGAGCAAGATATTTTAGATGCCGTTGGATTGGTTGATGAAGAAAAGTTAATTAGTAGAAATATGTTAATGACCGATATAAAGGAAGCTACATTCGAAGGTAATAGGGAGCACATGAGATCACGGACCTCTTGATTTACTGTACCTGGAGGATCCATAATGGCAATATTTAAAATTTAGTTTAGTACCGCGCAGTACAGTAATTTTGTATACTATCAAGAAAAAATTAAAACATTGCTAACCTAATATCAATGTTTGGATATTATATATAATTTTCTAAATGTTTTATCATTGTTGATTCATATTATTTTAGAGCCAGCTATCCCGCAATTTGACTATGAAAAGTATATAAAGAAACTCCATAATGAAGCTATATTTTTAAATTTTACTCCGTATTCGTTACCGAACGACTATACTTCTTCAGATCCTTTGCAAAGTATGAACGATGTCATTCAAAAATATAGTTCTATGCTACCCTTTGGTAGATTAATTGATGAGGTACTTTTGGATATTGATTGTGGTGAGCCGATGACGGAAAAATTTGACAAGGAAAACATCTATCAGGATTATCAATGTATACTCTGATTACATATAATTTTATTTTAACTAGCGTTAACATAATTCAATGCGGTTTTGTGAATGTGTCTTAAATTGATTTTGCTCAGTATGGTCTAATGATGATAGCGCAAAGAGTGATGATATTTCCAATCAGCAAGGTATAGCACGCGCAAGATTACGATTGAGATCAGATCAAATAGTGAATTTAAAACATCTTTATTTTCTGCTTATGGGGATAAAGATTACCTAGTGACTGTAGGATTGTATACGTTATCATCGTCGATCATTTGTGATGTATTTCACTTAATCTTCGCATCCAATCCATAATTTACGAAATCTTAATAGATATACGGCTCTAATTGATCTAGTTTTACTAATTAACTTAGGGGTTTATACAGATCGCAATCAAATACGAAAGTATCATGATAATGTTGAAAGATTCTTCATGATAAGAGCAGAAAAAGTTGATAATGTTGAAAATTTGGTTAGCATGCATGGTGGGACTGCAGGTACGTACAACTTTGGTACCTAGTTAACTTGAATACCGGAACGTATGCAGAGCAGTAATACAATTAACTGTAACACAAGACCTATCCAGAAAAATACTGTCTTTCTCGCACTGCATATCGCATTAGGATTTCTAGTTCGTAGTGGGCATATGCGATACCCATTTTGCATGCAAGCGAAACGATTTGCAATACATCGCGTTTTGTATTATTTAAATCTAAGTGGTTGATATCTGCATGACATTGACATTAATAACGAACTCAAGCGGTAGGTATGCATGCTATTTAGAATAATTTTAACATACGCGTACATGTGTTTGCAAGTATGATGATTCTTGCTTTACTAACAATATCATCGATAGTTTCGTGCGAAAACGCTCCAGATTTTGATATCCCATCACAGGATGAGGATGAAATCAGCAGCGTAAACCCTTTAAATCTAGGAGATACTGAAGTTACCGAAATAGATGAAAGAGGTATGGTATACCCGTATTGACTTTTGTTAGTATTCTGCTGAAGATTTTTACTTCATCTACCATAGGTTGCATAATCTTTGCTTCTGAACGAGTTCGAGCCAATTACGACTTGATTAATTTGCTGGAATCAAAGTAATTCAGAAATAAATTTCGGAGATATAAAATTAATAACACTAATATACATGTTTCTACAGCTATATGTGACACAATAGCAGGACATTACTAGTCTTATAAAGTTTTAATATTAAAAAGCGATATGACAACCATGTACCGCAGGCAGTTATTTTGTAGTGGTTTATTAGGCAAAGTGTTTTTGAATATAGAACTGATTCTGCTTGCTGTTGCAATTCCTGTAAAACTACATTTTACTGTGCTCACTATAAGATATTTTCCCCCTATTAAATAGACACCAATTAGATATCATCCCAAATGTGATCGATTCTCCTCAATGTAGCCATTTGGTATGAAACTATAACACTGTCATACATTTCGTGTTTTTTTAACAGGCAGTTTTTATGATACATCCGTATAATTTCAGGTAATGAACTCCTATGACTGCAATCCTGACCTTGTGCTTAATGAAAGTATTTGCATCAAGTTATTTAGCATGGAGGAAGTGAAAAATCAAAATTTCTCTGAATATCTGCAGTCCTTTATCGCAAACATTCATGCAAGATTTCTACGCTGTTTTGCAATTATATTAGTCGAACCCTGTTCCAGAAAACAGATGACATGTGATGATTTAGTGAGGTAAAAATTGTTAGTGTGTTATATTTTTGCATAATACATCAATACTCCATTACTGTTTATTAGATGATATAACTGTAACTAGGCATTCAATACTGATGAATGCAGATTATTTCTTAAATATTAAATCATAGGTCAGATCGGTTTGCTTTAGCTGATGTATTTTTATTAGCTAAGGTGTTACACAACACCTGCGACTTGGAACTATCAGTTTTGTACGCTTTTGATAATGATGATCTTAGTGCTACGATTAAGCACCTGGCCAAAACATACTGCAAATCTCGTGCGGAGATATCCAAAAATTTGCTTAGCTATCATATAGACTATAAAATGCAGAGATTCAAAACGGTGAGCAATTATCTGAACATCATTTCTTACTATGTTCAAGTAAGGTCTGCATACTCATCACTAGTTATGTTTGTTTAATCTATAGATTACTCATATGGTAAAGATAAGACATCCTTATTTGATGATAATTTACTTATCCTTAATTTTTTTCCAGAGAATGGAAGTTCTTGGATGTTATCAATGTTTTAACGTATTCTGGTCTGTTCTTCTGGTAGCATTATTTCTTTTCTATCTTAAAACAGCATCTAAACCGATGTTAGTTCATTGATTAATGCAATTCACTTTCTTTGAATAGCTCAGATTACATCCTCTCTAAGTTACAATTAAAGGATGCAATTACAGCAGATATTGAAACACTGAAAGCAAGGCTTCCAACAATTCCTATAAAATGCCTCTCGGTATAACACTATATAGCTGTAACAAAGTCATTAGTACACTTGTCATGATAGCAGTTGTCAAGGTATTTTCACCGATTTCCGTTTAGACATTTTTTAGGCTCAATAGATTAAGTGTTGAAAGAATCGAAATAAATCCGCAAAAAAAATTGAGACTTGACGATATGTCACATTATTCATCGAGTTCATCCTATAATGAGAATGTTGAACCTGCACATAGTGATGAAAGTCTTTGGCTTCAATTTACTGACAAAGTGGTATGCAATTGAGAAGGAATATTTTAGTATATTTGTGATAATACGTAATCAAATAAAAGTATTAAAAATCTTTTCGAAAGTAAGGGTAATAGCTTTAGTTTATTTCTTTTGTTGAAATTTTATGCATAACAGAGAGACATAAACGATACCAGGCTTTTTCGTAAGAAAGAATTAAAAGGTGCTCGTATAAAAACAGGTATAGAAAGTTTTCATGTGTTAATACTAATGGCTTGCAGTCATGCTCATGAATAAGTGTATATATACCTACCGGTAAATATTAATTCGGTCTAGATAAGAACGTCAAAGTAAATGCTAATATTTACGGATTGGACGAGACATTAGAGGTTCCATCGGTAAGGCATTTACTCGTAATTATGGCTGTATAAGCTAATGTAAGTCAGCTGTCGGAACTACGGCCTATAGAAAGAAAAGTTTTGATGATACAAGTAACATACGTGTACGTTAATTTTCTACCATAGTTCTCTCTTGGAATTGGTATTTAAGCTATGGTGGTAATTAGATGCAAATTGAAATATGTTGAGAAGTGTTTATGAAATGTTTTAATCACGTTAAAATTAAGTAATGATCGTGATTACGAGATCAACAATTTTATTCCCTCGGAGGTAAATCTTGGTACTTGGAGTCTTGTTTTGCTTAAAATTATTTTCTTATGTACAGTACAGTATGCATTCCGTGATAAATCAAAATACACGTAGTTTGGTTTAATGAGAGTATTCATGCAATCCATAACCAACGTATAATTAATTCAAGTATATTGCCACTGTATGGGTATTTTGTGTATGTACGATTTGTATGTTTAGAGACTCCTCAATAAGTCTGTAAAACGCATAGAGACAAATAAAAAATGTTCATTCAATTTAAGTTACTGTAGCACTTGTATTTCGTCAATTAAGAAGATGTCAATTTATTTTATTTATTGAATTTTCGGCATTATTTCTCATTCGAAATTGGTTAAAATGACAATATTATTAAAGGCGTTTCAGGTTGCCACTCTGTACACTAACTGAATCAGATTTTAATGGATTATTATAAATTACTGCTTGTATCCATTTTAACTTTCTGTCATTTCTTTGATTGCCTGAGGTCGAGATAGGACCTTATCGATTAGACCAAAGGCAGCAGCTTCATTTGGGAACATGTATTTATCTCGTTCCATTGCTTCCTCTGCAATTGTAATAAAATTATTACCATACAAGGAAACTTTATGGCAAAAACTTATAGAAAAATGTTAATTTTACCGATATTTTCTATAGATTGTCCAGTATGTTTTTTGTAAAGATCGTTAATAAGTTTCTTTAATTTAATTATTTCTTCAGCTTGAATAGCTATATCCGTAGCTTGCCCCTACATAAGAGAATTAAATTTTCGGATCTATTATGAGATTATAACATCATGCATAAATCATTGGTTCTTAATTGCTATATTTCATTAAGATGGCATTATTTATATTGAAGGTTGCAAATTTGTTATTTCATGAGGAGAAGTTACTTACAAAGGCTTGTCCTGATGGTTGGTGAATCATGATTCTTGAATTTGGTAGTGAATGTCTCTTTCCGTTATCTCCAGCAGCAAGTAATAATGAACCCATACTAGCTGCTTGGCCAACGCACCAAGTATAGATTGGTGGCTCGACATACTGGAACAGATACACCATGCAGATGCATGAATATTTAATAAAAACTTACCATATCAGATATAGTATAATATCATAACTAGATTACATTATCCTATAATATATATATATATATAACTATACTTAAAATCACTTAGGGTACCTGCATAGTATCATATATTCCTAATCCGGAAGTAACTGATCCACCTTATCAGAAATGTAAAAGAGCAAATAATGCATCTATTAATTAGATCGGTTGATCGAATGATTTAACAGTGTTGCAGGATCAAATAGTTATATTTAGCAGGTTAAGATTTAATCATTATAATACACAAGATACCTTACATCAAAGTGTTTAACCAATATGGATAGTAAATAGTTGAAAGTACAAATTTGAAGGATAATTAATGATTTACCTGGACTATTGATATACATATGTATAGGTAGCTTGCTACTTTCAGCTTGTAAAAACAATAGCTGAGCGACAACCAGGCTAGCAAGATCGTCAGTGACCTACAACAATGAAATTTGCATCAATTTCAGTTAAATCTTAGTAAGGGGGACTTTTACGCTCTCGAATAATGCATATATGTATATAATCGAGTTTTAAGATGTGCAATGAGGAACTAAGTTGAAAAATGCCTGTGCACTAAAATATTCAGAATTGTGCTCGTGATTTCACAAGGTTTCGCAGAATGGATTGCTTAGGTATAAGCTGTACTGGTCAATATCTTTACAATTTTTTGCATGTTTTTACTATGAATCTTATTTTCGAATTGGAGGATTAAACACGAATTGCAAATGAATATGATTGACTGATAACAAGTATTGAACATTGGTACCTACCGGTCCCATAACGCATACTATTCTATCTTTAAGCAAACGTGAATATATATCATATGCCTGTTCACCACGTCCCTAAAATTAAGGAAAAAATAAAAACTGATAATTAAAGTCAGTCGTATAAAATTTAGTTTTGGCTAGCTTGATTGCAACATAAATATATAGAATTTTCGTCTAACTTTGATCCCAATTATCTTTTCTGCTGAAACTTAAGTAAAATATGACTCACAGTTTTCTCGATAACTATCGGAACTAATGGTGATATTCTTGGACCAGTAGTATGAAGCGTTCTGTTTGCGATAGATAATATAGATTTCTAGAGTATGAAATACAAGAACAATAATCATAATTATAATGGGCTTACATAGTCATCAATTTTGCCTTGAATGCTATGTTATTTATAGTCAAGCCAAGTTGCTACAATACGTATTTATCAATTAACAATGAGCAACATTATACTATAATGCTAGAATTCACTATAGTGCAAATTGAATTTTCCCCCAAAAAGCAAATGGTGTTGATCGTTAATTTTGTAAGATTACTATTATTGTAATATTTAGATAATTAGCTACTGTATATTGCAGATGAGATAAGCTATGTTGCATACCAGTGTTCTAAATGACATTGTCTTCTTGTATAAATGTTTCAATAATTATACACTAGATCTTTGAATAGTTGCTACTACAGTATACAATATTAATGATTGGAGCTTTTTTGCCGGAAATCGGTTTGAATCGCGACTTTGGAAATATCGTACGATACAGTACGTTTTATGCCAGCATATTATAGTATCGCATACTGTGCATACAGTATGTTTACCCGATCACCAGGCGCATAAGACGTCAATATGCTTGTGTGATAAGACTGCAAGGTCTTAAACATGAATCAAGTTTCATATTGAATCTAGTGGTGTACGGTGCTACAGAGCAGTTTTCCATTTTCACGCAATAATGTACAGAGCGTAACATTGTTGCAGACTGTGCGCATACTCAGTCTTTCCTTTTACAGTTTCAGTACTTCATACAGTACAGTACTCACATTTGTACATCTACAGTACACAATTAATATTGCCCATCTGCTCGCTTAGGCACTAGCACGATTTGCGTGGTTAGAGCAGGTTGTAGTTTATAGTACCGTTATTTTCCGCAATTGCCGTGTGTTTTCACTTTTCAGTATCCGATTCGATTAACGATAATAATAAGTACTGTACTGTAATTATAATTGATTAATTTATTTATTTTTAGGTCAGTTTTGCATGCCAAATTGCCAATCTCATTGTCTGCAAGCCTATACTGTAACAGTATGTAGTAGTACTGTACAGTATAGTATGTGTGTTGTGTTGCTTGATGATCAACGAACTGCATTTCATTCCAGGTCACTGTACTGTATAGACGCGTATATGTTCATGTACTGTCATGGACTACTAGAAGAAAAGGCGCAAGGTTTTCTTCTAGTAGTCCATCCAATTCCATTCCGAATTTTTGCCCAGTGCTCTACTTTACAAGGAAGTTTGAACTGCTACAGTACTGCGATTGCTATCGATATAGCAGCTCATTTACGCCGTGTACTGCATCTGACATGATCCGATGACTTTATTTACCGGTTTGATAGTGGTGTACTGAATTTTAAAATTTTTTTTAGACCCAAATCAATCGCTAGTTTTCACCATCGATTAATTACGAGCACAGTGCAGGAATTGCTTAGCAATCCATGCTCTGAGAGCAGTAACTAAACTATCCGTATAACGATTTGAATGTTTACAGCAGGCTGCAGCTAGTGTTGACGTCACACGAACCGCAGCACTCATACAGTGCAAAGCAACCCAGTTTTACAGTACTGAGTGTATCAAAAGTACTGTATCTACAGTACAGTACATCCTATCATTAGTCAGCGTTACTGTGGCTTGGAATGGATATGGCGTGTATAATGCTGCCCGAACATGCGATACAATCCACTCTGTATCATCGGCTTTTGGGCGGCGGAATCCAGTCTATGAAAGTCACTTACGTGGCATAACCATATCAACTCATTAAAAGTCCCCTCCAGCGTTAGTCAGCGGATATTCATCACCTGTAGCCGTCGGAAGAAGGTGGAGTGTGGGAAGTGTCCGTCTCCTTTGGTCCTCAGCTAAATTCTTCAGCGCTTTTTTTGAATAGTCACACAAGTTTTCACTGCCAAATCATGTCTACGTTTGAACATTTTGCTACCAATGCGATACACGTTGGTCAATCGCCAGACCAATGGAAATCCATGTCGATGATCCCTCAAATTTCTCTTTCCACAACGTTCAAGCAACATGCTCCGGGCGATAACAATGTAAGTAGCCATGGCCAAATGGAGTTAAACTTCTTTTCATGATGGAAAAAATATCGCAATGATCATCAAATGATCATCAACCGATCGTTAGTTAACAAGGTGTAAATCTTTCAACGCATTTCAAGCCTTTCATCAGCTTTCATTTTCAATTCTTCCAGCTTCAGTAGTAGTAAATACTCGATGCGATGAGTAATGAATTGGTTGAAATAATGCTGAGAGGGATACGTTAAAAATGGACCTGTACAGTACAGTACGTTCCTGTAGATTGAACTACGTATTCGTTACATTCTTGATTTGCTGTTAGTAAGCGATTACTGGCATTAAAATGATAATATAAATAATTCCCGATAGATTATAATCGGAAGATTTGGATGTTCGACAGTGATGAACATGAAGTAACATTAGTCAGTGCATGCCACGTTTTCGATCCACTTTGGTTGGCATTGCTCAAGTTCAGTATAAGTAACAGGCTATTAAATGTCAGCATGATGTTTTTGGGCGTAACCTGTGGTTAATCATTTTTTTATAGTATTGATATAATAATAATTATATTATATATAACTGAAACAACGGCAATGAATAAATCTTTGATGACCATCGACCTTGGCACAAGTGTGTAGCCAAAATAAATACTAGATGTAAGCTGCAAGATTATCTTGACAGCATCATGATAGATAAATAGGATAAAGTGTAGGCGAAAATCTTGAAAGTGCAGATAACTGTTTCCTAAACAGTGTAGTAGTATTTCCATCGTCAAATGGTAAATGTTTTGTTTTGAGTGTCTTTAATAGATTGTTAATGGATCGAAAACATCAATTTATTCTCTTTTCTACTATAGCACGCAGTAGTCCGTAAGTTGTTGATAGTACGGTATGATGTCTGTTGATGCTTTTATCTTGACAATCAATGTTTGCAAGGTAAATCGCCAGACGTAGTTACAGTATATGTTTTAGAGATTTTGTGAATACTCCTTGGGCTGCTCCTTTGAACAATTGAAATGTCTCGCAGCAAATTGCAAAAAATAGAGAAAATAGATATCACTTTTCACTTATTCATGTGTACGTTACTGTGATTTAAGTAACTGCGATTCAAGGTGCTACAGTACCCTTTTAATAAGCTTCAGGCAATTGCATATGGCAAAGATTGTCGTGTTTTTGTGTTCGCTTGTCTTGCAATAATTAAGTATTCAAACTTTAATTTTAAATTATTACCAATGAACCTTGAACGAATCTTGTACAACAATAACCTTTGTAGTTTATATGCTGTATTTTTGGATTATAATACTCGTATGATGTTCCATCGATTGCGGTCGAATATTTTATTTAAGTGCTTTGTCTTCAATCGCTAGGGTTACGAGTATACCAGAGGTGGTAATCCAACTCGAAAAGTTTTTGAAAAATGTGTGGCTTCATTAGAGGGAGCTAAGCATGGTATGTAACACCACTAACAAATACGATCAGGTGCTGGGCGTTTTAAAGTAAAATTGATCATTTTTTATCACCTTTCAATATTATAAAATACATGTTTGCTCTTTTTGCTCTACTTCAACGCTACCCAGTTTAAACGTCAAGTGACTCTCCTCATACAAGTTAAGATGTACATTTTACAATAGCGTTTTACTTTGCATAAGTTATGAGTAAAATTGAACTAATTTTTCGTAACAGTGGCTGATTGAATGTTGATAGCGACGTAAAGGTTTCTTAGCGCGATATAACAGTTGATGTTGTCACATGTCTATAGATTTCATTTGTTATCTCATCAACTCCTTAACAAAGAGTCCTGCAATACAGTACAACATATTGATACTATTAACCATTGTAATGTACGTCTTGTAAATCATTTCTTTTTCACTTTTTAAGCCTTGGCTTTTAGCTCTGGCTTAGGAGCTACAACTTCCATCGTTCACCTCTTGAAATCTGGCGATCACATCGTATCCGTTAATGACGTTTATGGAGGTATTTATTAAGCAATATCTTGATGAAATAATTATTTCACTGATTTAAAGTGATAGTTTATTATCAATACAATTTAATTTACTTGAGGTAAAGTTATGTGTTGATCTGATCTATAAATCATTCTCTGCCTAGACATAGAAACGTAGTATAAATCTTTATTTTAGCCATTCTCAGGTTGATAAAGTGTAATACCTTATCTCGACTTTTATAATATTAAACTTACAGTATTAGACAGGATGTTAAAATTTTATGAACATTAGATTTTATTCTGATTCGATTTCTGTGACTATCACCCTATTGAACTATTTCATCACTAATTTTAGTGTTAACTATCAGTTATTCGATATTGTGTATTATGCAGTATGTATAATAATGGATAATAAGCGACGGTACTGAATTATTCATTTGCGTTGTATTTACTTAGGAACAAATCGTTATTTTCAAAAAGTTTGTGGTAAGTTTGGTGTGACTGCTACTTTTGTCGATACTTCGGATTTAAAAAATATCGAAGCCGCAATACAACCAAACACAAGGGTATGTTGGCGTGTTTGATCTAGTGTTAAAATACACACATTTAGTACCTGATATATTTCTTACCATTACGGATTGTTGAGTCCTTCAAAGAAATATACCAAGATTTTTACGAATAATATTTCTATTGAACATAATTAATATATTATTAATCTCTCAGATGATGTGGTTAGAATCACCGACTAATCCAACATTGAAAGTAACCGATTTAGAAGGGGCCAGCAAAATAGCGCACGCACACAAGGTGAATTACAGATCGCGATATTATGAATAGATACCAAATTTCTTTGTTTTTGGATGTTCTTGTCGCGAATGTGAATTAACTTGAAATTGAAGACGATTGATAACGTGGGCATTTTTATCTGTAGGATATAATTGTTGTCGTCGATAACACCTTTGCCTCCTCATACTTTCAGGTAGTAAACTGACTGCATAGTAAGCTAAGTCATGTTGAGGGCATGGTACCCTACTGCCTGCCCATAGCATGAAAGCTGAGTATTCTCAATGAGCAATAATGTCCAAATTAAGGCATGGTTGGGGTAATAATAAATAATTTTTTATTTCAGCGTCCATTAAGTCTTGGCGCCGATATCGTGATGCATTCCGTTACGAAGTACATGAATGGTAAATAAACATTTTTTTTAATTATGAATTGATCGTAACTCATATATCTAAGCTGTTAACCGTGGTTTTCGTACAATTCGTTATGGTGAAATTTCTAATATTTCAATTATAATTAATAAGATATTTCTTAAATTTATAGGACATACCGATGTCCTTATGGGGGTTGCTGTGACTAACAGCGATGAAATAAATGAGAAGCTGTTCTTTTTGCAATTCGGTAAGATACAATAGATACCCTTGTACTCTTACGTAATGCATAGTTTTACGAACCGTTAACTGAAACTTTGATTTATTAGCAATGGGAATAGTACCGAGTCCTTTCGACTGCTACCTCGCGAATCGTGGTGTTAAAACATTAGCAATCCGTATGAAACAGCACCAAGCTAACGCTTTTGCTGTTGCCAAATTTTTGGAGTCCTCTCCATATGTGGAAAAAGTTCTTTACCCTGGTAAGCAATTATTTTTTAATTTTCTATTAATTAGTAGCTAAATAGATAATTTTATTTTATCTTACATAAATTTTTATCAATTTTTCAAGGACTTCCCAGCCATCCTCAGCACGAAATTGCTAAGAAACAGATGAAAGGCTTTAGTGGAATGGTCACCTTTTATGCAAAAGGAGATGCCAAGACGGCTGCGAGATTCTTCAAAAATATCAAGGTTAAGATTTAATTTACCTCACTACCGTATTGCAAAATAGATTAACTATCGACCTGAATTGGCAATCGGCTCACGTTAAACTATACTTGGGTATATTTCATGACCCTAGATCTTTACGCTAGCAGAGAGCCTTGGAGGATACGAAAGTTTGGCTGAACTTCCGTAAGTTTGTAGAATTGATTAGTGTAATTGGCATTGTGGTTCGACTTGCTATTAATCTTAGATTAATTTAAGATTATTGGTTTAATTTGTAATTTGATATATATTTATTAAAAAATTGTATAGCCTAGCTTCTGTTACGTATCTGCTGGCATTACTCGGATTGATCATTATTAATGTCTATTTTAATCAACTTATATAATGAATATGATAACATTAGGTCACTTATGACGCATGCATCAGTGCCTGAAAAGCAGAGGGCTGAACTTGGCATAACGGATACTTTGGTACAGATTTATCATTTTATCGTTATAGCCTTTTACTGATTGTATATCTTACGCTACATGTTAATATTGTCAACAGATTAGGCTATCGGTAGGTATTGAGGAAACGGAAGACCTGGTTGCAGATCTTGAACAAGCATTGGCTGCTGTAAGTATATAGAAGACAAGCCGAATATGAGAGCTATCTAGTTGAATACTGCTGTATGAATGAACGGACATGCGTATGTCCAGTATAGTAAACATTCATTCGAGTGATTTTTATAAGTGAAGACATTCTTTTCTCAGAATAATCAGTCATTCTTATATGGTATATCTGAGCGAGTATAATAAATCTGAATTCTTGATTTTGCATTTATTTACTTTGTTTACAGGCACAGGTAGAAAATTAATTATCTAAGCCAGAATATACTTTTACCTGGAAAGGTATTCATGTTAGAGTATGGGGCTACAGCGATGTGGATGTATTAATGAAACTTAGACATTACGGACATTTCACTAAGCTGTGCACGATGCCGTAATACATATCCGCGTAAATGGCGATAAAAGTAGATTTTAGAGTTTGTTCATATCGTTGCAGTTATGTTTTCCAACATTAGTTATAGATACCTGACGTTTAAATTGACTGTCGACTATAAATGCTGGTGTCATCTCTTAGTAACTCTTACCTTGAGTGTGTCCTTGAATGACCTTGTATACGTAGAGGTACTTGTACCTGTAAGCATTTACTTTTGCTGATTTTACAGCATTTAAGCTATCATAAAATTGGCATGCAATCTATCTATCTACATACGTATTTGTATTAATAATATCCGGTATCTAGATATTGCTGGAGCAGCAACTTTATTGCGCAAGTATCTGGTGGGACACTGAACGGCTAGCCAAGTGTGATTATTTAAAATAATGTACATCCTTTGCTATCCAAATTTATCGGTCTGGTATTTATAGCTTGTTGTAAGAGTAAAATATCTGTGACAATAAAATCATTCAATAATAATCAATAATAGAAAATGGCGTTAAAGTTATGCTGGGAAGTCAGAATCTTACTACGCTTTTTGAAGCTACAATAACTAGGGTTTTCAATGCATTTACGGATCATTTTTTGTAGTTCATACGTTATCTAGAACGCTTTTATCGAGTATATCAATGATTTAATAATCTCTGGTATGGTATTAAATTTGCCATTAAGGTAGTTACACTGACAAGATGTTAGTAAGGATTAATGATTCGTTAACACAAGACTGTCAATTCTGCATGGAAGAGTCGGATCATGGCAGTAGTATCCTTTATCTATAGTCGTATCGTATGCCAGTTACTGAGCAAGTATTGTACACTACTAACTGGACTAGGCCCTTTGAGCTTCATTTTTAATCAAATTTATGCAGTTGAACACTCACAGTACTAATCTAATACTTTTTATAAAATATATATTTGGCGATGGGGAGTTCAGTATTCAGTAAGGGTCTGCGTTTTCTATAACTACCTATGCTTTGTATATGAATTGCTCGTATGTCGTATGCTTTAATTCTAGCTAATATGCTTTGTCGAGTGTATTCGAGTAATGTGAATTGGAAGCAGACTTAGCAAGGGTCTCCTAATGTGTATGCAAATTTTCTATTTTATTACAAATTAATGTCTTCTAGCAACAGAAGGAATTTTACGATTTTATAGATTATTGATCCAGCCTAGAACTTTGCGTAATTGCAATTACTCAATTTCAATCATTTCTTCCTTAATACCTTGATAAACGTATTTTATAGTGTTTCTAACAGAAATGCTAACATGATAGTCTGAGTGATTTGTATATTTCTTTAACATATGGTCGTGATTTAGAACCAATTGGTTGGCTGCTCAGATAATGCAGTATTGTCATTTTAGTTGACGACAGTACTTATAGAACAATTAATGCAAATATAGAATAAGTACATATGATTTAAGCTTATGTTCTGAGGATGATTGCTGATTTACCAATTTAGTAATTAGTATTCAATTCTATAATGTGAATCACGATTGCTCAAAACCATCGTTTAAAAGCCAAATTGGGCACGAAGATTACTCAAAAAGTTGTACGTTACGATATCATTTTACAGTTGGTCTCTACACTTCAGTTAATAAGCTTGCTTAATCCGATAAAAAGTTTCAATTTAACTTAAGTACGTGAGATATAAAAGTGATAATCATCGTATAGGTAAGATCATTAAGTATGAATATCATGACATCTCTAAATCATTTTCAACTATGTACAAGTTAATATGTTAAAGGCTCCCATCAAAGCTAGTACGTTAACTACTAGCTTTCATCGAACAGGAAGCTAGGCTTGATATCATTTCTTCTTATATCGATGATATATTTAATACATTCATTAGCTAATGTGGATGACTGTTGATTATAATTACTATACGAAATCTACTGATTGCATTATATCATAAGTACAGTATATGCAAGGGAAAATTTATTCACGCTTTTGCCCCAAATTTATAGCTTCCAGTTCCATTGGTAGTTATTTATCAAATCTAGAGTTTAGCATCATCCTATTTTTAAGCCGTTGAGGCGCATGTACGGGTATAACAAGTTAATGGATGTACTGCGTTCAGGATTTAAATCTCACCATACCTAATAATCGTTTATTATGAGCATTTTCAATCTTAAGATTGATGATGATAGAATTATTTTACAAATATTTATAGCAGCTCGAACTTTACTATCACGATATCTCCTCATAGCAGATAAGTATCCCATCTATATTCGTATATGAGCTTATGTGCTATTATAGTCAGAATACCGTAATTCGATATCTGCAGTTTTAATATCATGACATTCTACAATCATATACTTTTAAGTATGTATAAATATCTACTGCTACTAGCATACTTAATTATCTTGGAGCGTCTCTAGTATCTAGAACTTTGACATGATAGTTCTAATCCATACCGTATAATAAGTTCGCAAGCTAAAGCTCTTATTAATTGACGATAAAGTTATTACAGAGTATTGCTTAGTCTATATATAACTCATCGTATTGGAGATTGAAGTTAGCATTGCTGCATTTATTAATATAGTTAATCATTCATTCCTTTATATAAACTCGGTAAATATAATTGAATAATATCGACATGTTAACACCATCACCATATTGAATCATCGATGAGTCGTATAAGTGTAAGCTAACAGGTTTAATGATTCATGGATGGAGAATAATTTCTCCACCGCAGGCAGTCTATTGAAAATAATAATAGCACTCCTTAAAACCGTACAAGTTTCCAGTAATGCTTGACTTCATCCCATATCTATTTGAGATACCATCATGAAGCTGATGCCATAGCAATTTATTCCTAATCTCTAAGCTTAATGGTTTTATAATATATCCAAAGAAAATTAAAACGAATTTAATTTTCTCTCTACTAAAGCCATTTTATTGTTGATACTAAACTCAGGGTTAAATCTGAACTCATTGTGCCTTTTATATGCTTCCGTATAGAAATTCAATTCAGGCATGCGTAGTTCATTAGTGCCTTCCAAGATGGAGCCCTTGCGAGACAGGGAACATTTACTAACACTAAAAGGTCATTTAAAGCATGTTAAAGCCTGGATTTAATCAAATTTGTCTTTCTTACTTTTATTTTCTGATATTGATGATATGCTAACCAGCTAGTTGATTCCTTTTTCTTTGTCTAACCTTGAATAAAACAGTGATGCGATTGACAAAGCCAGCGTTACAGTTTCATACGCCAATAACATGCGAAGATCATGATCTACCAGGTAAAAGTTATACTGTAAATATTAATCCTGTTCTTTCCAACCACCTTATTCTAACTTCAGCTATGTTATGCGATACCATCATGACTTATTCTATAAACCGGATCATTTTTATATAAGGTATTGACGGGTTAAATTCATTATGCAATGCAATATTCTTGTGCATAAAATGATCGATTGTACTGTATTATATAATTATAATTATATTTATTAGTTGGCAACTTGTTTCAGAACGTAAACTAGTTATAAATTTAATTTAACCAGTTGTTAACGGATTGGGTTAAAAAATTATTACCATATTGTAGTTGGGTCAAGCTAGAATCACCGATTTTACTGTCTATTTCCTTGATATCCTTGATTAATGCAGATGATAATTTTTAAGGAGAGCTACGTTTTGCCTTTTGATTTAATTGGCCATGGAACATAGATAGTGATTGGGATAGCATCGAAAATTGTTTTGACTTCATTTTACTAACAATCTCGATAAAATTCTCGACTTCAGTACAGGAACTATTCAATTCTTATACTCCTTTAGCTTGCCTTAGCGAATATATGATCTGTCTTACTTTATAGCTATATAGCCATGCCTAATATATGTGTACATTGTACAAGTCATAGAATGATTAATTTTGTAGATGCATTTTCTTTGCTGTAGTTGGGGTACGAGTGCCTCTTGATAAACAAAGTGGGGTACCGTAGAATTAAACACTTCCATTTCGATGTAAGTCAACTTAGTCAAAATCATAATTGGATTTATCAGTATAACCATTGGCTACTACGGAATAAAACAGGCTTTTGTCCTCCTTTACTTTATGGTATTAATGATCAGAGTAAGTCTTTAGTGTTAGTCATAAGGGTAGTTTTGGCACTTCAAGATTGATTTAGTTTACAGCTAGGAGTATAAGCTATTATCTCCATCTCCATTAATGTTAACGGTAAATTCTGAGAAAAATCAGAGATAGACCAGTTGTACGTTGTGCCGATATTATCTAATAACTTCTGCATGCCCCATCGCGTTAGCGATACGCTTAAAATACTGTATTATTACTATACTAATTTCAAGGTTAAGCCTATCATATTGACATTAAAAACGGATAAATTACTGTAGGAAGCTGATTTGAAATACTACATGAGATAGACGCGTCAAAAATTTTTCATCAATCGAGTGGGAAATTTCACGGAGAGTACTAAAAAGAAAACTTCGTAGTAGTCCAGGTCTATGCTTTCAGTGAATGATTTTATTTCAAGTTTTAGATTTTGTAGAATTGTGAAATTGGTAGCTCTCACTTATAAATCGGCTAATGCATAAATAGTAATCAATCATATTATCGTAATTAAAAATATAAGATGTATTTGCAGTGAGTGCAGCATTAATTTAATTCTTGATCTGATATTCTATATTTCACGAATTTGAATAATTGATTTCTCCCTTTAGAGGATATTTTTAGACAATCTTTCAATGCTTTGGGTGTCGTGGATGGATTAGAAGCCTTTTCATTGGGAGAAATGTTAACGCTACCACAAAGTTTTGGGTAAATACAATACAGATATTGTGCATAAAAATGCATAAATAGCTCAAATACTTGCCATCTCTCGACTTCTTTGATATTTGAAATAAGCCGTTGTAAAGATATTGATGACAATACCTATCAAGTTTAGTCTATTTCACTCGTACAGCGCGATTGTGTTAAGGAAGTATCAGCTGTATTGCTACGCTAATCAGTCTTGTATCTTGTTGCATTATATTAATCTTGATTTTCTGTTTCAATTGAATAGGAATATTTTTCTGGGTGAAACTTTTACAAGCTATATTAATGTGCAAAATGATAGTACTGTTGCTGCCAAAGATATACAAATTAAAGTTCGTTTTTTCTTGATATTTTATCTTTACTATATAGCATTGATAGCCAAGGATATCCAGTATATATCATATTTCCTGCTTTTCTCATAATATTATATAGCTCCATATTCAAACGGAAGCTCAGCGCCATCCTCTTCCACTAAATTGTATGGACGAAAATGCAAGTTTGCTATTACAGCCATCGGAAAATGTTAATGAAATTGTATCTTATGATGTCAAAGAACTTGGTATACACGTGTGAGTAATTTTAGCTTCATCTTGTAACATTTCCTTCTAAAGGAATACGTATATGCATGTGTATCGTGATATGTTACTACTTTGCTATGTTGAAGATTCTTCTTATATATATTATTATTGTTTATATAGGTTAGGATGTAGCGTTGGTTACACTAGTCCATCTGGAGAGAAATTACACTTTAAAAAATTTTTCAAATTTCAAGTAAGAATCAATACTCCGTAATCTCCGTATAACATCATTTTTACTTGTAATCGTGTTTAAGCTTGGTACACAATGGTTTTGATACCATTGATTACCTTCTTTGATATCTATTTGATTTTACTTGCTTGTAGGTATTGAAACCGCTTGAAGTCAAAACAAAGTTCTTTGTTACTGAGGTAAGAAAATTGAATCTTGTTCGATGAAGTCATTTTTACATTAAAATATTCCCTCCGAGCACTAAATGTATAGAATTTAATTAACAAAATGTCTTCATTTTAGAAATATAGATTCTGTATTTACTATTGTTAACTGTCATATTTACCAATGATAGGATGATGAAGTCTATATTGAAGCCCAAGTGGAAAATATTACTCCAAATCCTATGTATTTAGATAGCGTTAAATTAGATCCTTCCCCTTCGTACTATCTCGATGATATTAATAAGTTATTACCCGAAAGGTTTGTACACATCCATACTGCATATTATGCATTTGCAGAGATAAAATTAATCTGCTGTTGTTAGCAGCTTTCTATTATATTGTTTGGCATAGAAAATTGATGATTAGTTTGATACTATCTTATGACTGATACCATAGCTTGTTTCTGTAAATTAATAGCGGCCCAAGTTCTAATGGAAAGATTTCATATCTACGTCCAATGGATGTCCGCCAATACCTCTATCGTTTAACTCCTGTATCTCCAATAATTGAGAAAAGCGATAAGGTTATTCGAAATATAATAAATGTTAGCGCTAAATGAAATGTGAAATAGATTTTGTTTTACTAATGTGCACGTCCTTTTAATATGATAGAGTGCGTGCGATGTTGGTAAATTAGATATTCAGTGGTTAACAAGTTTTGGTGAAAAAGGAAGATTACAGACCAGCCAGCTACAACGAATGGTATAGTAAAGTTTGATCATAGCTTTAGACAATAATGATGGTTTTTTGATGTCGAGTGCAGTTTGTTTGTTTCTCAATTATGGTCATTGCTTGTTTTTTAATTTTTTATTTTGTTGGTTTAGCCTAGGGATCTAAATGATTTAAGAATTAATTGTATTGAGATAGCAGATGCTGTTCCGGTGGAGAAGTTATTTACTGTTAAACTGTCTGTTATTAATTTAACCAGGTATTCATTAAGTATCTATGTTTACAACGCGTCGCGCTTTGTACTTATGCTTTATCACTAGAAGATCAAACTAACTTTAAACCATTATACAAAGTGATCGTATCATGAACCTGAGGTTAATGTTGGATAATACCAAGGTCCAGCCATTATTATGGGTTGGCCGCTCTGGCCAGGTTGTAAGAATAATATAGCTTAGAGTATGAATTGATCAAATGCCAGTATACTCATCTTTTATTCTTGTCTAATTAGGCGCTTGGCGAATTAAAACCTGGTCAAAGTATAGAAGTGTCTGTTAACATTTTACCGGTATACCCTGGATTGCACGTGAGTGTATATTGATATTTATTTTCTACCATATATGTCAAGTTTGATAAGGATCAATCGGAAATTGAAGGGACATGACGCTTACATTAATTACGATTTCAATTATAGGTCATATCAGGATTGCAGCTTTTAGATACATTTAAAAGTAAAGTGTACACATTTGATAAAGTTGGGCAAATTTTTGTGTATACAACAGAAGAAACCCCTTTTTCTGAATAAAATTGCTGGAGCTGAAGATCTTAAATTAAGAAAGTAACTGAAGTTTTAACTTCGGTTTTGTTGATACCGTACATATTTTTTGTGTGGTATCCTTTATTACTTGCTACTATCCACAAAATAATGAAATTATTTTTTTAGTACATTTAAATTAAGTTTGATGATACCCGTATTCTATTGTATTGTATGTCTATTGCACTGTATATCTTATTACGGAAGTTAGAAAAGAAAGTATTAAAATCATGATTGTAAAACTAAAAAATATCATTTGCCCGTATAGAGTTATCTTTTATTTTTATAAAGATGAAAAATGGTAGTATAATGTTACATACGCATATAAGTATCTACATGGTCTAATCTCGTAGTTAGTGTCATTTTGTCTATTGTAAAGACGGAATGCTCTATGACCGGTTTCAATCTGGATCGTTTCATATTTGTCTATCACTTGTTGTAAGTATGAGCAGATAAATATCAAATCAGTCTCATTTTCAGTCAAGGATACATTTATTGCCTGTCGTATCTTAGCATATTAGACTTTTGATGCAAACAGATTTTTCCTGCAAGCTCTGCCAGGTTAATATCCTACTAAATTAATTTTACGTTTAGGTTAAGAAATTTTATATTTTAGTATATCTATTATAAAGTAGCGCATGCAAAGTATTAAATAGAGCTGATAAATATAAGCTCCCCAAAATATTGAGCTTGCAAAGTACAATAAGTAACTGCTGTATTCCTATAAGAAAATATAAGACGAAGTATGGGTATTATTCAGACCGCAAAGTGAATATGAACAGCACTACTATGTACTGTAGAACCCTAGTAGTGAAACTATAACTTGTCATAACCATGATTCTTGAGCAATAAAGTACTAAGTGGTAATAATGTACTATACAGAATCGAATTATAAGGCTCTGACCAAATCCACCAAATAGTAGATAGTGTTCAATTTGGAAAGACTAGTTGCATTGTATTTTAGATGTCAAGATTGATGAATTTTTATCCAAAACAATGCAATCTATTCATGCTACGTAATCTTCAAGTATGGATACTCAAAAGGCAAGAACTTGTATTGACGGAAACAAATGAGTATCCATTTTATATTGACAAGTTTGATGGCACCCATGTCTGTAGAGATGATGGATAGCACAACTATCATGGACTACTAAAGTACAGTAGGTGGAACAAAAAAAAGCACCGGTGATTTAGTTAGCCATGATGGTCCAATATGTAGATATGCGGTACTGTAGGGTCTGTACCGGTACGGGCCGGATCGCAACATGTGACTTTGACCCGTTCCCTAGCTTCACTTGTCAGTAGACCTGAGTTGTCACTAAGCCGCTCTGCAACTGTACTGTACTGTACAGTGTACAGTGTACAGTACAGTACTGTACAGTCTTCATATTACAGTCAATGTACTGTACTGTACTGTACTTCATCAGCGTTGCGCACGTGTGCTTGACTAGGTGACCTGCATCAGTCGTGCAGTGCGATATAATAATCATTCATTTTACGGTATCTTTACTATAAGCGATTATCGCTGCATCAAACACTTGCCTTAGATCATGCATGATACCTCGCTGCAAGTCCAGCCAGTTGTTTCATTCGTTGGCCACTGAAAGCTGCAAATCTTGGCCAATTTAAAGAGCTTAAGAGCATCCATTACTCTAATTTTTAGTGCAATATGGCTGCACGCAACTCCAATACTGCACTTGTGAAGCAGTTGCAACGCTTAAAATCACAACAAGTTGTAGAATATGAAAATTTTGATGTACGCAAGAAAGTATCAGTCCTCTTTCAATTTAAAGAAGCTGCAGATTTCGACGATGAAACTATATTTGCTTTGGGTGTCAATGGCTTACAAGGTTTAATCAATGCTAATAAGAGAAATTTTGAAGAATTTGCTAATGATCTTTTCCATATCGATAGTCAAAGTGTTTATCGTTCTCAATTAACACAAGATGAAAATGAGGCAATTAGCCAACGCATTCGTTCTTTCTTGTTAAGATTATGCCCCTATTTCATGCTACAAGCTGCTATGAAATGCATGGAATGGCTGATTCGTCGCTATTCTATACATCAATTTAATACTGATGATGTCATGGTTTGCATCCTACCTTACCATCAAACTCAACAATTTGTACGTGTTCTACAAGTTCTACCTATTGCTCATGATCGTTCACGATGGAATTGGTTGAAAAATAATCGTGCTCAAGGTGTACCTCTATCCTCCATTATATTGCAACAACGTTGCTTAAGCGATTTATCCATCTTGACGTTAATATGTCGTAACCTTCAAGATTCACTCAAGTATAATATCAATGCAAGTTCAACTGTAGTCGTTAATTTCTATACCTCAACTATAGTTGGCCTACTAGATTCTAGCCATTCTGATAAAATGAATGAACAATTTATGATTACCTTAACACCGTACCTGATTAAAGGCCTCAAGTCAAAACATAATGAATCCATTGCTGGCACCTACATAATCATAACGCAAATGATGATGAAAATGACCTTTGAAAACAAGTTTTGTACTATGCTTATTGATTGTGTAACCAAGGTACGATATTAACATTCTTATTCCAGGCTAGGATCAAAATGAATCGATGTTATACGCATGACATGCTGACTCGTATTTATAGAATATCACCATGATAACTTGATCCGATAGTGCAATACGAGTATTGCAGCTTAGTGTCTGATATTGACTGATCGATTACTACGTACAGTACTTTAGATAGCCTGTCATAACTTCTAGTGCGATAATGTTTATTATTAAATTTATGATACCAACTCCAACAAAGTGGTCCATTATAATTATACGTTTACGATAGACAGCGGAGAGAGTTAAAATTAAATTTATTCCTTCATACGTAATTTCATTGGCGCTAGTCATTGCTTAATAATGTATCATTTTTACAATGTTTCTCTTATGCAAAATAATGGTAATTAATTCAAGGGAAATGTTTCTTATCTGGTTATATCTATCTTCCATTAGCATCTATCTCCATCGTTGCAAGTTGAAGCTATTGCATGCATCACGTGCATTTGTCAAAGTCAAAATGTCCAAACATTAAGCTGGAGGTAATGATAAACAATACTTGTTGCTCTTAACGAAATAGAGAAATACATCTATTCTAATTAATAGTTTATTCTAAATTGCATCTGTTGATCTTATAGAGCATTTAATGCATTAACTTCTGCGCCTGAAATTGTTACATCATTGCAAGCCTTATCGACAGCTCACAATATTATGCCTCTGCTCGCGCCGATGATCGATCGTTTAATTGCTTATTGCGTTTCTTCGCATTCTATTCATGATAAAGACGATGATGATGATGATGATGATGATGATGATACTCCAGATAAAGAACTACAACGCAGTAACAATATCACAATAAATGCTTACGTCACCATATTACAACAATTATTCCAAGATATTCAATTTCAGGATAATTGGATCCGAAAAATTACCAAGTAAATCTTTCACTGCTGTTTTTCAAAAATTAGATTATATTTTATTGTAATTCAGATGAACTCTACTCATTTTAATATGAAACCTATTTATCGAAGCAATTAAATAGCTAGCATCTTATTAGCTCTAATGATGAAATTTCCACCTTTAGCAAACTATTGAAATTGTATTGTCATCAAAGACATATCCTGACAGACGATGATGAAATTAATGTGTTAAAGGAAACGGTTGCTCTTATTTTAAAATCTATTAACTCAAGGTAATGTATAAGATTTTAAAACAAACATGTATGATACCAGCTGTAATGATTTAGTGCAAATAACATTAATAACCTTAGTAACTGAAAACGTTATTTACATAATTATAACTTTGCGATTGATTGAAACATGGATGAAAACTTACAATTATATTATAATAACTCTAGATATCCAAGCGTAATTGATGACGGTATCAAGGATTTCATAGACCAGACACAAAGCAAAAATGACAGTAATGATATTGACCCATTGTCAGGTCGAAATTCCATTCTATGGATAGAAGAAATGGTTTACCTTGCAACAGCTATATCCAAATATAAGGTTAATAGTAGATAAACTAATATCATCTATAATTATGCCGACAGTAGAACAATCTCATTATTTTCCATGATATTTATCTTGATATCTTATAAGTATCTTCTTTGCCTAATAGGTGATACCAGAATGTGATGATCGTCCATTAATTGTTAGCTTATATCATCCTGAAGCGAAAATTCGTAGCTTAGCCGTCAGGCATATTCAACAAAACTTGTTAACCCAAAAGGTAAAATAACTTGGATTTCACTATTGCTATTATCAGTAAAATATTTTCTAGCCGGTATAATCTTATTACCTAGTGGTTTATATCTAGATTTTAACTATGTACACATTAACTTAAATGCACTTTTCTTTGAAGGTGGATACTGACAACAAGCAATTCTATTATGAGGCCCTTATTAATCGATGGCAGGACGATGACTACACTGTCGTTTCTAGTGTCTTAAATATTGGACAAGTAAATAGATTTTATTTGAAATATCTCTACAATCTCTTTGTGGAATTCATTTTGCCAAGTTACTCGTCTTATCATGACTTTATTTCAGAATTTGACTCAGATTTTTGATATGCAACATTTAAGTGAAATGCTTATTAATAAATGCAATGAATTATTTCTAGACGAAAATCTATTAAGGTACTTCAAACATTGCTTTTAGAAATAAATCATTTTTCGTTTGTTTCATATTCTACGATAATGCCAACCTTAGGATCATGCAATTAATTACAATCATCAGAGTATAGTTATCAAGGAGTTAGCTATAGTCATTTACAAAATATTATTATGTTTGTATTTAATAGTCAGGAAGTTCTTCAAAATATTCTAACGATTATGCTGGATCGATGGTTTCTTGAAGATTTGAAAGATTTTGATACTATTTTTGTGGCTATAATACCTCACCTTATATGGTTGCCTAAAAGAAAAGGTTTTTCTAGTAAACTAATACTAAAGTTGGCAAAATCTTTATTGGTGTCAAAGCATCCGTTGTTACATGATATTAAGAGCTTGATCTCAAATAAAAGTAAGTTAGATATAGATCTGTTATAATTTAATATCTAGTTGGATGTACACAGTGGCACGAAGGTAATCTATAATTGATTATTTATTTGCCTCCCTGGCTAACTTACAGCCGTGAAAGAAGCTTTGGCAGCTGATCAAGGTAGTAAAGTGGCTAAAGTAAATAATGCTATATGCAAATGGCTTACCAGCAATCTAACACAAGACAATATACAAAATTTTGTAAGTTAAAAAATACTGGCTTAAAAATTATTAAGATATCCGTTGAGTAGAAGTTTTCAAGCTTGTATTAGCTGTATAGTACACCATTTTGCTAATATATGATAATAGAGAATAGTAAAAGTAATACTGTAGCATAAATCGAACATTAATCATGGCCTTTTTTATATCAGCTTGATAACTGTAGCAACCAAAGCCAAAAATTTCGATCTGATACTCAGCGAGATGTCTTTAACTCCTTTATTTACTGCGTATGTTATCAATGGGTTAAACATTGGAGTACTCAACAAAAGCAGTTGAACTCAGCATCTATAAACTGTCTCATATTATACCTTTATGAAGATCTTCGTTTGTTGGCTAGCCATCGTGGGCATCAGTTGCAGGTAATGCATTGAATTTTTATTTACTTGCTCTCTACACATATTTGCACTTAAAAGTATTTTGAATTTAGTTCCATTGATACTAACTAATTGCAGGTTGAATTTGATACTGGCGACGGAATTGAAAATAATGACGATGCAATTGTGACAAGTTTTTTTAATACAATCCCCATCATGATTCGGAAATGTGATAGCAAACGCTACAAAAAGAGCAAATCTATGTTTCTACTAAGGTTTCTGAAAGCTTTATTAGGTGTATTGCCTTCGCAAAATGCGGAAGTCGGTTAGTATTTCTTTAGCTTTATCTTACTTGTTATATGCTTTGTTTAATGTTTGGTATCTTTTAATATATTTTAAAGATTGGTGGAAGTGGACTGATGAATATCAGGTACTACTAACTTTAATGCTTGCTTAACTAAATTATCTAGAATTCGTAGGTAGTTTACTATTAGCCACAAATAAATAACTAAAAGATAGCCCGTGTATCTGCAGATATACGATCAGATCATGTGATGTACAGGTTGTTATAAGTGTTGTCATTGTATCTTCATAATTAATAGGCAAAAATCAAGTTGGTTGATTTAATTGCTTATGGGTCAGGAATTTTATTTAAGCTGAAGTATCAATTATATTTTCGGTATTTAACCAAGGAATTATTAATGGTAAGCAAATATACGTATTTAATTAAAATTTGAATTGATCGACTATTAATTGAACCTTTTTTGAGCTACGGTTTTATTACGTTTGTCACATTTTACAGCAACGGAATTCACAGAGTAGACTGGCTATTCAATTCTTGAGCCATATATGGTCGTTAAACTATTGTAAACAGGAATTATCAAACAAAGATCGCAGTAATTTCTTGAACTCTTCGCCAATATTGCAATGCTACAGTTTGAATCTAGCAACTGCACTTATACAAGGTGCTACCGACAAGATATTAAAGGATCTTATGAATAGCAGTTGTCCTTGTAAGTATAGCATTTATTGCTGGGTATTTTGATTGATCGTCATTGTCGGTCTGACTGATTTCGGCATGATACTGTTATTTTAATTTACTGTTAATCGTATCATGCGGTGTGAGATGTAATTTTTTTATGCATTATACTTATTTTATTTTAGTGGTACCATCTTTATTAGTCCCTATCAATAGTGAAAATCCTTGCGTTCGTAAAGCAGCTGTAATATTCTTGAAAACATGTATCGATCGAATACATGCTATTGATTCAAGCGTGATGGCATTTGCTTTCGCTAATATATCATCAACCATTTGTCAAGCTTCTGAAACTATTGTGGCTGACAGGGAGCAGATTTCTAAAGTATTTGCGTCTCATTTCGACAAATTAACAGCTGATGTTAAAAGCAAAGAGAAGAAATCAAGTAGAAGCAAAGCAGCTATATTAAAAAGAGCTAAAGAAAGTGCCATAGAAGCAAATTTTAATTGTATTATGGAACATGTGACAAACCTTCAAACGCCTCCCATTATCAGATATAATGTTTTAACGTCGTTACAACAAGTCAATAATACGGTATTTACGATTGTGCAGATTTTATGTGTAGGTTTTACAATTACTGATACAATTACTTTGGTAATTTAGCTCAAATTAAAGTTTGGTATGGAATTTTTTATGAGGCTATTGGACATCGTCCAATCGGAGCAGATTTTCGGTATGAAGTGTTGCCATAATAACGTAATAGGACAGATAAACTTCCTAGTCCATTAATCATTGATCAGATTTCACTATTATTTGTTTCGTATCTGTATAGACTTACGTCAAGAAGATGCCTTGTGTCTGCAAAATTTTTTAAATTGTTTTACGAAAGATGTAGCGAAAAATCTAGCTACGGAACCATTATTACTGAATAGTTTTATGACTGCTTTATCTATTCCGAATGATATACCATATCTGGCTCATCAATCACCACAAACGCTGAGCCTTACACAGGTCTGTGAATTTATAGATAATTAAATAAGAGATAATTTGATACTCATGCAGCTAAATTAACTTAATGAACAGTAAATAATTTACGTACATCACTTCTATACTTAGGTGACGCCTGGTTTCTTCGCTGCCATCAAAGATGAAAAGATTCAACAAAAGATTTTTAGTTACTTATGTGATCAGTTATTAATTGCATCGGCTGTAGAACGATCGTCTACTATACCTCTAACACTTTCTAAGGTAAGAAATAGCATTTAAAGCAATTCTTTAAAAATAATACAAGAATTTTTTACTGACATGTTTCCCTTATTTTACCGATTAAATAAATAGATACCATTAACTGCTGGTCAGTACAATACGGAATTTACAACGCTTAACTTTACTTCAATTAAAGATCAGACTTCAAAACGTCCTAGAAAACAAATGTTAGCGACATCTGTTAAAAATTTTCTTTCTAGAATTAGTTTTATGTAACATGTTTGGAATTTTCTTTATCTTTCGTATTAAACAGAAAAGTAGTTAATACAACAACGAGCAGTTCTGAAGATTGGCGAAGATTAATTCTTTTACTTGAAAGCCTGCAGTCAAAGGAAAATGTCATCAACGCTCAAGAACTTCTACCGATATTTTTTGGCCTTTTATCTAAGTAACTTGAAAATTTATAATGGATTCCTCTCATTTTAAGATAATACTCTTGTAACCACATCTTTTAATCTTGCGGTACTGTTTTAAATTACTTGACGATCAGATGTATGGAACTAGATGATTCTGATATCGAATATGGAAAACAATTACTATTATCTAATATAATATGGACTTGTAAAATAGTACATAAAGGTAGAACTAATACTCACATCAAAATTTTCGAAACGATCTATCTTGATATTATTGAACTTTAACGTCAATATCTATTATGCAGATATACTACTGGAAGAATATTTTGACGTCGAACAAGTTGTCAATTGTATACGGAAATCAGATAATCCTCAGACGCATCAACAAGCACTATTGGCTCTTAATCTAATAGCAAATATTTTCCCTGTAAGCTGCGCTCTAATTTATGAACATAATTGTTATTGATTATTAAACCATTTGCTTTACTTAAAAATCTAACTTTTGTTATAGGACTTACTATTTCATAACGTTATGTCGGTATTTACGTTCATGGGAGCTAATATTATGAAGCACGATAGTGCTTACAATTTTCAAATTATAAATCAAACAATTGATGCCATTATTCCTCCATTACTTGAGGTATGTAACCTTATATATGGCTCGTAGTCAATAAATTAATAGGTATTACGCCTAAAACTAAAGGTTTATTACGATTACAGTTCTAGATCTGTTCTGTCTCTTTTTTTACTTTCAATTTATCCATTAATCTATAGTCCAATACTCTGGAAAGTCAAATGAAAATTGAAATTAATTCAGGAAAAGGCGTAATGACATCGGTTGGAGATGTTATTACGAGAGTTATACAGGTATTTGTTGACGCCTGGGCTCACATACCTAGTCATCGTCGTGTACCATTATTTGAACATTTATTACGGAAATCTGGTTCTTGCCGATCTCTTAGTACTACTTTGTTGATGTTAGTGGAATCTGAAATTAGTAATGTGGATGAGGATACAACAGCGCAAGTATGTAGTCTATGCATTATAAGATTTGGAATTATGCTCGTTATATGATTGACAAAATTGGTTTTAATTTCAGGTTAACAGGGACAACAAGATAGATTTTTGCTTACCTTTATATCAAAAATTCGACGTTGTTACTCAACTCGATGCTATCATTGATTGCGTGAAATATATTTCAAATCTTTCTGATGATCAACGGGGTAAATTGTCCATTTGTATATTGTTTAACGATGATATGATTGTTCACTAATAAATATGCGCCGAAGCTTTAAAGGTTACAATTCATTTTTTAGATTCGAAACCAGTGACAGGTCGATCTAGAAAATCCCCAGAAACCCTGCAGATATTACAAATTTTTGACGCCGAAACTCATACATCCAAACAATTAAGGAGATATCGTTATACTGTTGCTGGATTAATTGTGAACTTAATGGATGACAGTAAATACACTGAAGCAGTATGTACTTAAATATATATATAGAGAGAGACTGTGTGTGTACGATTTACACGTTTGCTTAGTATTTTATTCTATATGTAAACTTCTCGTGATCTTTATTCCGCGTATGATCAATTCCTTTAAATTTATTTCAGGTCAGCGATCTTAAGAATGACAAGACTCGTCAACTTGAAAAGAAGTTTATCGAGTATGCGTTACTTTGTAGCTTCTACGTACTTTCACGATGATATTAGTCATCTCGTGTGATATCACTAAGTTATAACTGATATTTAATTTCAAGGCTATTAGAAGAATCGCTGAGATATATCACGAAAATATCGAAACTAGCAGAGTTACATCGGGTTGAATCTATCGGTCGCTACTGGAACGCCTTAAATAACCGTTTTAATGTTATTGTGGATAAAGTATGATTGCAGTATTTTTACCCTAAAATAATTAGGTAGAAGTATTAAAGATGAGTTTTTATTCGTTATTAATAAAGGTTAATGGATTATTACCTTTGCATGCCTTTATTCCTGTCATTTCATCATTGTTAAAAAGTGACAATATCGTCACTTGTCGCAAATCATTCGATTTATTGGGCAGTAAGCTTGTTCATGTTGATCTACGCACAATATTAGAATTGGTAAGTCAGATCAAACGATCTCATATCTATATGTAATTATCTTTATTTTGTGCAATTATGACAGATTTGCATTGTAATATGATGATCAAGCTTTATTTATGTACTATTTCAGAAAACGCAAGTAATCGGTTTAGTAGATCAGCTTTTAGAAATCGTAATTGGCTCAAAGGATCAACTATACATTAAAGAAAAAGCTTTATACTGCATTTCGTCAATTTCCTCTTATTTAGCTCCTGAAGATCCTCCATTGTTTACTCATGTTAGTGATCTACTATTTTTAATTAATTTTAGAATTCTAACATTAGAAATATAAGCGTTAATATTAACGTTTGTGTATATTCTGTTTCAATACTCAGGTTATTAAAGGATGTCTTAAAGTTTTGACCGAACCAAGTTTGTCGATGCCGGTAAATTACTTTATATCTGAATTATACTATACCGTTTTAACTGTGTGTTTGTAGAAGTGTATGCTATGTGACCTCCATACTATTAAATCCTGAATTCTTTAATAATTTTAATTTGATAGGTTTTAGCAGCTGCTCTTTTTTGCCTAAGTGAAATCTGTAGAGGAATTGGTGCTCATATGATCGCGTTCTTGCCACAATTAATGCCGCAGATAATGAAAATATTTAAATTGATTAGAGACGAAAGTCAAGGAGATCAGCCTTCTAAGTGAGTGCAATGCCAAAAACTTGAATTAATATTTATCGTCAAGTAGCTGATTTGAGTTCTTTTCTAGGAAATTGGAAGTTTTAGTTACGGCAGCGGTAAAATTTGCCCATCGAATTATTAGCTGTCTTCCTCACTTTGTTAGCCCTTATCTAACTGAGTTGTTGAAAGAGGTATTGCGATCTAAATTTTTATGCTATATCTATCGATGATTGTGCTTACGCGTGTGATTTTATTACTTAAGTTTACTCGTAGTTATATTTCTGGAACTTTGATTGATTTAAATGCAAAAAAATCTTCGCAAACATCCGAGTTGGTAAATGAACTTGATGGATTAAGGTAATATCAGTTTTCAAATTAAGTTATGTTACATATTTTCACCGTCTTAATGTTACTAATATTAATCATACTGTACATGTTGATTAATTTAATGATTCTTTAGAGAAGACACGGCTTCATTATTACCACATATTTTATTACCGGCAATCGGCCAGAGTTATAAAGAAATTATGCTTGAAGATGATGTAAGTTTTGAAGCTTACAAAATGTAGTAATTTTTGTACGGGAAGCGATGATAAATTTGAATAAAATCTATTCTGTACTAGTGGCTCGAAGTCGATACCAACAGAATTGCAATGCTTATGAGCGTCGTTAAGATAAGCATTTCGAAAATGCCTAGCGTGGATATAAAGTCTATGCAACCAAAATTGATTAATATCTTTATGGAAGCATTTGACTATAGAATTACGACCCAAGCAAAGGTTACTTATCTTGCCTTAAACGCTAGTATTTATAAAGCAGTCGAAAATGTAACTAATTACTTAATTTTTTACAGATCTGTTCGGTTTCATTGGATGTATCAGAAAATGCCATTATTGAAGCCTTTTTAGCTTTAGTCGTTAGACTGTCTGAAAAAACATTTTGGCCAGCATTTAGGAAGGTTCGTCTGGAAAGATAACTAGCTGTTTTATTAATTCGCTTTTTTGAAATTTTAACTTGAGGTTATCAATATAAGATACAAATTTTTACATGTATTGATTCATAAAGTAAAACATACATGACGCAAGATTATATCACTGAGGTGATTCAGCATATGTTTAGATACAATAATCTGCCCTCATTACAGTATCTTTGAGGGTATTGCAATCAATGAAACAACGATTTCCTTACTCTTACAGTAGAATTAGTGAATATCTATGCTAATATTTGTTATTTGTAAATTTGTTAGTAATTTTGCTTTGGAATATTAACGTATATATTTTTCTGTGGTTGTATTGCTAAGTCGTTTTATAGCTAGTATTTGGTCATCTTTTGACAGGTATTTGATTGGGCGACCGTAGGTGATGTTCCTAAAGAAAGAAATATTGTTTTTTTTCGCGCTACAAACAGGTTAGTTAGTTCAGAATAATATTGTAGGTACGTAATCCGGATGTTATGACCTATTTGCCTAATTTTGTGATTTTACGGATTAGAATTGCTGATACACTAAAAGGTCTCTTCCTCATTTTTGCGAGCGATTTGGTAACTTATAGTGCTAAATTATTAGATGCCAATAACGCCAGCAAAGGAGGTACTTAAGTCTTTGTATATGATAATAATTCAAATTGCTACTTTGGCCAGTTACTTCTGGAAAGCAACTCAGAATTTATGTATTAATTATACGCGTATATTAGGGAAATTTTTTAGCAACAACGAAAGCGATGCATCAATTGCAGAAGAAAAATCGTCCCTACTTACAGAATTGATTTTAGATTGTCTTTATAAATGTTTTTTATATGATCGTCAAAAGTTTTTTGATCAGGAGAAATTTGATCTTTTAATGCAGCCTTTAGTTGATCAGGTATCTCATCATTAGACTTGTTATAATGATATTTAATATCTCAATAATAACTGTATAAACGGCTATATTGATACAGATTGACAATCAAATTGACGGAGCAGCGAAATATGAAGAGCGTGTACTACAACATCTTTTACCATGCATAGTTGAATTTGCTGTCGTTATTGAAAATGATGCGTTATGGAAACCTTTACACTATCAAATTTGCCTGAAAACTAGACATAAATCACCACAGGTTAGCTTTATTGATTCTTTGATTGTTTCTCAGTTTTAAAGTATTTAACTTTGTATCCAATTACTGTATTCTATTTATAGGTACGCTTCGCCAGCGTTAAAATAATTGGTGAACTGTATCGCCGATTAGGGGAAAATTTTATTTTGTTACTTCCTGAAACCATTCCGTTCTTAGCTGAACTTATGGAAGGTAATGGCTAATATTTTCAAAATACCCATTATTACTAATGTAAGAAATACATAAAGTCTTAAATTTCTAAATTTCTATATCATTCAATACTTAGATGAGTCTGTTGAAGTTGAGAAAGAATGTCAAGAAGTTGTAGCAGTTATTGAGAATATTACTGGAGAGTCTGTTGAGAAATTTTTTTAATTTTTAAACTTACAATTTAAGAAGGAGTAACGGAATTATGTATAGTACGATATTGAACGTTTATTTTATTTCGTTTTATTAACTGTAAATAAATTATTGGTAAGAGTTTACTCAACTGCGTTTTATTAGTGTTTGGTTATACCTAGAGGTATAATCTGCATATAGACTAGAATTCTCGTTGTTAAGCTTTTCAGCTTGGATACACTTATAGTATAGACTGTCATATACCGTACTTAATCTATTCGATGTTAATTCGTATGGGAATATAAAAGATAAGGGTATTTTGATAGGCGGCAGTGTAATGTTTCAGACTCTTACACTGTGAGATTTTATTTATATTTAAGTTATTTCTTTTGTTAAACTCTTTTACGTTCACCTTGTACTAACAGTACATATTACAGTACATCACGCATTTTCCTTATACAGTATATATATATAAACGAGTATACATATTACTATCGATGCAGTAATATATCATTTTTATATGAACACACTATCGACATTATCGATGAAAAGTATTACTGGAATTAAATGGACTGTTCTTAGCGGACTTTTAACAATAACCGGAACCTAGTTGACGGCATTTATACCAACGCTATACCAGAAAATCATAATATTATAGCTAAATTAGCTCATCACGGTATTAGTTTTATCCTTGAAGCCTATTTACGTACGAGCAATGCACACCATTATTCCCTTCCGACCTAACTGAATGAAAATTCTTTACGGCAATTCTTTAAACCATGGTAGTTATTAAACCGTAACCAAGACAGCGACATGCAGTATAAGCATTACTTATATTGCATGAAGGATGAAATTATTACATGATCATTTAGTAAATGTAGGATTTAAGGAGGTTAGAAATTAGAAATTTACAATTTCTAAAATATTTTATTGTAGTATTTAAGGAATGGTCATAAAGAAACAAGTTTAAGAAAGCATTGGTTGGTTAACAATTGACTGGTTAATATTCAACTTCCATCATAAAGTAGATGGGCGCACCAAAAATTGATAATTTGACGGTAATACGTAATACGCATCTCTATTGATAGGCTGTACAGCATGAGTAATACGTATTAGTTATAACTAATATAGTTACATACGCGTAGAAATATATACATACTATGTATATATGCGTATACATCATAACAAAGGTGCTTTGTGAAATATGAAGATCATTAAACATTGTAATATGATTCCATCGACTGATAGCTATGATTATACGGTTTACTTGCTTCTTTCATAGAGAAATATCGATTATTATAGAGAAATCATTTTAGTACGTATAAATTAAATTGAACGATTTATATCAATGATCAAATATTAGTATACAGACATAGACGGGTAGAAATTAGAGTAAGTTCACAATGCTGTTAAATATACACGTAAGAATATGTAGTACAAGAGACGCTCTGAAGTAAAATAGTAATATATGTGTTTAGTATATATATATAGAGAGAGAGATAAAAGCATGTATTATAATCCTAGAATCAAGTTTTGACTGCTGCAAGTCAAGTACGAAGTTGAAAATGCTATATTCATAAACAGTAATTAATAGTCGTTATCGTCTTAGAGGACCCTGTTGGCACTCGTCGTCTTTTGTGATTTAAATATAAGTGAAGAAAAGCGATGAGATATAGAGATAATTTTCATAAAGATAAGAACTGTACTCTAATTGATATAGAATTTTCCTTTCAATAAACAAAGAAAGTTAGAAGTTAAGTTAAATAGATTAAATCTGTTTTTGATATTACGATTACTCAAAATAGACAGCATAAACCGCAGCAACAGCAAATAAGGTATTACTTTGGAAAGTAGAAGATGCAAAATTATCGAATTGGGTATTCCAAACACACCGACTACCAATATTTAACGACTGACTACCATCAGAGCCAAGATGGACCACAGCTATGATTTTAAATCGATCTAAGTTTAAATTTTTAACTCGTTGCTTAATCTCATCGCTAATTAATTTAGATAGTGTAGCACATTTATCACTATTGTAGACGACATTTTGTAGGTGTTTTTTCAAGACTTCACGTATAATAGCTTGAACTTTTCTTTCAGGAAAGAAATTGCTTGGCGTTAATTTGAAAGTTCTGTCTAATACTGGAAGACCTTCACTTTTAGCACTGTGAATGATGGTATTATCACGACTTTGATGTGCTATGAAAGGAATATTAATTTCCACTTTACGTTGTGATTTACCTTTAGAGACTGGTTTAAGATCCTTGAATGATTTGGAATGTTTCAAACTATTATGATTTTGCTCGGGGACAAGATTGGATTGTGTCCTATTTTTATCCATTTTGACTTAGTCGTCTTATGATTTTGGCCTGGCAGTATTCCTCTAGTATGAATAGCCAATTTTGTTGAAATCACCTTTTCCCAAGATTGTGCACTGAACTATTTGTTCAATTATTCTTTCTCTCTTTAAATTAATTGCTATCTTTTATCCAATCCTGCAATAAATGCAGTACAATTTGTAGTCTTGTATAAGCCAATACTTGAACTTAATAGCTAACCTTGTACTGTTGATTAATAGAAGCATAAAAGTGTTGATATCACGGGGAGTAAACTGTAAATAAGAGTTAAAATTGTTGTATGAACCTGGATAGTTTTTAATAACATACAATATGATCAATACAGACTAGAACCTTTCTCCCTGAAGCTATACATTAAAGCAGCATGTTGTCAAGTGAAAAATCTACGTGATACGAATTCAGTAACCATAGAAACTCCATGCCGTGGCGAATAGCAACAATGGGTTTTAGTCCGTCCGGCTGCATGTCTGCAACATGAGAGTATCGAGTATCAGACTAACAACACAGTCTTACTGATATACAGTATGACATACACGATATGCACTGTGGTCTGCGTTAGTCGGCTGCCGTGGTGATAGTTGGTACCAAAAGTAAATAGTCTGGACATGTCGCAGCTGATACTTTAACTAGTACGCTATAATATCCAATTGAAATTTTGTCGATATTGAAATTTATATGGACAAAATTTCAATTCGATATTATAGTCATAGTTGAAGTATCAGCTGCGATGGGGTAACGAAAAATTGGAAATAATTTGGATGTTTTCAGATGGTCTAGTGTAACACATATACAACCAATGTTATTTGCCGTAGTAGTTTATACTGTAATATACTGTGCAATATACAATATAGCGCAATATAGCAGCATAACTTGCGGTAAAGTATAGCATACAGTATAGATGTTAATATACGCGTATACTCCTATATACAAGATGCAAGTACTAACAAATACCAATCTCTGATTAGCCTAGCTAGTAGACCTGAGAAAAGTTCGGTTCAGTATGTATCTGACATGGCTAAAACCCGATCTCGGTTAATATGCATAATAGCCGGAAGTCAGTAATGTATTACGATATATGACAATTGCTATATAACTACTGTACTACTGTATACAGACTATATAATACAGTATTGTCATTGGCACTCAGTGGTCAGTCGAAACCGGTAATCACATCGTATGTGGGCTAGTGGGCCAGCAGCTGCGAGAGCCAGCTCTAGGGTAGGAGTGCTTTAGTTGATAAGGTGGATTACTTATTCATACCTAGACGGTACGCTGTAGTGCAAAGAGCTGCAATGTATGCTGCACAGTGAGCCACAATCTTGCTACAATATCATTTTGCAAAGTTGCTAAAATTGAAGAATTGGATATAAATGTGTGTTATATCTAGAGGTCTTTGTCAGACTCTAAAATCATAAGCTCCTAAATTTAGTTGCATCTTAATCGTTATGCCCTTGGCGGTACAATAATTTCTTGATACTTTTTTCATCTTCACATATTGGATGTGACAGTACTTAAACTTAAAATATGATACCTTATGCATATATGCATGCAATAAATCTTTATATATATAGCATTCTTTACGTCCAAATCTATCATGAATTACTAGCGTGGACTGACCGTGCAGTGTACTGCATACTCACTGGATAGCTCTTAAGTGGAACATAGGAATCAATCTTAAATTAGTAACTATAATTATGCATTATCAAAAGATGTACAGTATCATGTATGTAATAAAATTGGATATGTTTTACCGTAAAAAATCAATCGTGGATTACTAGCGTAGGCTCACTCTATATTGTACAGCTCTTGAGTCAACAGTATCCGTACCCCTGCATCGATTATGACATTAAAATAGAGTAATTAAGTGTTTCATATAGTACCGCTCGAATGTATAGAATATTGTTTAGCTTATCAAAAAGCCTGAATAACTTCTGTACTTGATCCAGTTCAGTAATATTCATTCAGGAGAAAAATTTAGAATCACTGTATTGAGTTTACTGTACAAGAAAATTAGGTATCTTTAAGGGAAGAGTACCGGTAATGATGGTTATTGTTGGTCTTACTAGCCGGTCGCAATGGCTTGAAATGCTATAATTATAATCGCAATATTGTCATTATAAAATGGCTAATTAAATTTCATACCCGCTTCCGTCCGTTGTAAAATAATACCGCTATAGAATCAATTTACAATTAATAATTGACATACGTAATGACGTTGTGAACTAGCCCACTGACTCTAGTGGTTTTGTTATGCATTGCCAAAGTGGTCAAAATGTCATGTAACATCATTAGGCTATCCAAAATAGCCATTATGCAGTTAGATCCGTTTAATTCAATATTTACTTATAACCTATTTCGCTCAAGTAAACAAAAAATTGTAGCTATGTCGATCGTGCGAAGTTAATTATCGCTGATGATTTATCGCTTAGAAGTTTCCTACTCATCTAAGCTACCTTAAATTTAGAATTATGTGTCCGCGAGGGAAACCGGTATCGAATATATAAAATTAGCGACGTTAGTATCTTTTATCTATTTTGTATCTTAATTCAAAAAAATCTTAGTTGAAAATAAAGTATACAAGGCACCAGATTAGTCTACCTTTACCAACAGCATAAAATTAAAAATCTTCTTCATTGCTCATTCTTGTATCATTACTGTATATGATTATAACGCTTAAACTGTTAGGAAGAGGATCATCTGGACCGTGGTTAGTTATGTAGAATATTGCTCAGCTCTTATCCTTATAATAGTCAATTACCACTTCAAGTTTTGTAGATATATTTCGTGCACATAGATTTCTGTGAGGTGCTTCGTTAGCTTACTAGTAAACGAGGGCTACTTAACTATTAAACTTGAAAATTTTCAACGTACATATCATATACTAGTACTACTATTGATATATATAAGTGAGACTAGTAAACAGTTAGATATCGATCAGCAGGACCAATTGTTTATTTTGGATATTAATTGCAGTAAATCTATATTTAGTAATAGATTTATAAAATGAATTGTTGGCCTCGATATAGTCACTATAATTGAGGAGTAAAAAGATTATTCTCTAGTAATTTGTTAGATATATGAATTCTTGTAGGATACACCTGCAAGTTAACTGATATTGCTAATATTAGAACTTGTTTTTAGCTTCAAATACACGCTATTAAGTTATATAAATCTTAATTTTTAATTGTTTATTGTATCAGTCGGCTTACATGTTTCGACAGGAGCAAAGATCATTTTTGACGTAAACATACGCGGAAACATTACTACTCCCATGGACACACCTCTGCTTGATAAATAAGGCGTAAATTACCCGAGTAGTTGCTGTTTGGTATTGTTTTTTTAAATGATCTTTTTCAAATACAAATATCTAATTAGTAGCCATGTTCAAGTTACTGTTGATATAATCATGAATCAGAGTATGACAATATATCATTCTAACTTTACTTTAATTATCGTACTATATATTACTGCTGTTGATACTTGCAATATATCATTCATGTAAATATATGTGGTTACGTGTATTAAAATATAAAAAATATTAGCTAACACCACAATTTAAATGGGAGAAAAAATCTTAATAAGTGATTAATTCTATGATGCTTTAATCCTTCCTATAAGCTTTCAGTATTTACTACGGCTTTTCTAACCGATATCAGCTAATGTAGCAGTGATGTTGTCATTGTTTATCGAATTTCTAGTATTGTATGATATGCTACCCGATATAAACTGTTTCGTAATTTGTTAAATTACTTTAGAATCTTGTATTTTATTCACCATAAAGTTCCTATAATGAAAATATCACTCATTATGATGTTCATATTATAGAGCTAAGTATACTGTATTCGTCGCGGATATCCAGTTGACATACCAATAGAGCTCAAGAGCGTCCAGATACTCGTGTTATCTTAATATTGTGTAGCTAGTTAACAAGTTACTGATAGTCTGATACCAATAATTTTCACTGTTCTCTATTTTTAGTCAGCTTGAGAGCTTTTCTAAGTTTAATCTATCTTGTCATAACATGTCGAGTATTTCTTCCGTAGTAATACCTCATTAAATTTAATATAAGTAGATGAGCAGACTATGAAAGCTGTAGTGCTCGTATAGCATTGTAGCAAGAAGTTACCTAATTTGAGATGCTATTCTAACAGATATTGGCGATTTCAGGTTACTCACGGCTGTATCAGGCGTAAAGTGCTATTTTTCGCATCAGTATTAGGAAAATAGGAATTTATGTATTATCTTTTCAAATATCTTGAGATAAGATGTGCAAAGTTACTCTAGATTTCAGAAATTAATCTAAACACACTCTAATATGTATATTAATTAAGCTATTTGACCAATCTTATGGTACTGTCGGTAACATACAAAAGTAATACTATTCCACAAGTTCATCATGAAAACAGTTAATCAACAAGTATCTTAAATGTGCTATATGTGTAGTCTTGCTTTTCGCTGTCATTAAGCGTATTTATGTTGCTGATAAAGGTTACGATACTTTAAATTAATCATTGCAGTCGAAAATTTATCCACTCCTTAATATGTAAGCTGGAAATAAATTCCTTGCCTTTTGTACTGCTGGAAATATAGATAAGTCTATTCGGTAGGATAATGGAGTGAGGTAATTATGAATCTACTCTATCTAATTATAGTATTTACGGACTGAAGCGATAGTAAGAAAGTGAATCATATGCTCATGTTATTACTTTCTGATACCCAATAGTGTATTTAGATAGTCAATAAAGTATAGCAAATTTTAGATGTCTTGCATAGTTTGTGGTTAATAGACATGGTAGATTTCGAACCTATACAGAGTAATAGTGTGAGGTAGATTTCAACGGCCACTGAAAGACTATCTATTAACCAAATGTATAAACTATTAATATTATTTAGCTGGGTATTATTTGACCAGAAAGTTTAGTTGCTGCTTTCTTACTACGCAGTATGTACCATTTAAATTAAATGCAACAGGCTGCCGATTGATGCAAGAAAATCTTGCGATTTAAAATAGTCATTATTGTCAGTTTATCCTTTATCCAAATTGTTTTTATGTAATATTACAATAAGGAAATGGTTATCAGTTGAGTTCGAACTGGATTATTGTCCGTTATAAATAATCGATAAATATGCTCAACAGTTAATCATTAATCGATAAAGAGATAGTCATTATCCTCGTAGGGCTTGAACTCTATTGATATTAAGACATAATTGTTTCCCCTAATTGTAAAGGAAGAATTAATAAATTTTATGCATCCTTCCGTAGTTTGTAATAAGCAGCCTAAAGATTCTATTGATTTTCATCGAATTTTTATCTCAAATATATTACGCTAGTCTACTTACGAGTTATAATAATTTTTGAACTGCTTAACGTAGCCTACACTGAACCTCTAAGATTTATGCATACATAGATACTTTCTATTTGAGATGCATTACTATTACAGCTAATTCTACTTGCCATTCTTTCCTTTGAATTTGGTTCGATCAAATCGAATCAGTACACAAAGCCCATCCCTACATTAAATATCTAAACTCGCAATCGCTTCTACTTTACTAAATCTTCAAAATGTTTCAGTTCATTCTCTAATAATTCTAGTATTTCATCATCAAATGCTGAAAAATTCAAGCAATATTTTGTAGTCTACTCCAATGAAATAGATATCTTTGTTGTTACTTCGTTCAAATTACTAACAGTAGTATTAGCCATACAAATGTAACGTAATCTATAATTATTAATTATAATTATGGACAATTGATTCCAAAAGGAATTACCATGATAACTTGCAACATTATCATCATGATTAGAGGTCAAAATCTGAAGTTATTTCGTTAATGTATGTAGTCTAAAGTAACTGCAAAATTTATGATCAGAGTTGGAAAGATGCACCTTATCAGGAGATTAGCCTGCAACAAGAAGACCGTACTCTATTGATGCTTTGAAATTATAAACATTGCCCTTAGCTGTTGCATTCTTTCTACGACAATATGCTGTCTAATAGATCTTATTACGAAATATTACTATTAATCAAGTGGTTTCAACTCGAAAAAATTAATAATTAATAACACATTAACAAGCTAAAACATATTAATCACATTGGATCATCAATGTCATAATGATTCGACTGAGATTGATATCCTTGATTGGACTAGCAGCAGCATACCTAACACATTTTATCTAGCTACTAATTGACTTTTGAAATCCCATTAAGTTCAAATTGTTTGTTATATGACATGGTGATTAATCGTGATAGCTGTACCTGGAACTTCTTTGAGGTCTTGTCGGAAATTCTAAACAAATAATAACAAATAAGAGACAAATGTTCAACTTATTGATGCTGATTATTTACATAATAAAGGTATATCAAGCTTGTTGACAAAGCTACTAATATCAATAGAGGATGTTTTCGCAATATCATAGTTGCCTGAAATAATAGATGCTTTGCTAATATATTTTGGATATACGAATAGAAACGAGAGTGGACAATAGAGAAACAATTTTGCCAGCAGGTTTTTACCCCTCCCATAGACTAATTAATGTAAGTTTTATCGTATGTTATCAGGCTATTACCATACTTAAGGCCGTTGATGATAATTATTTAGATACTACCAGTCGGCAAACTGCTGCTAGATTAATAACCTCAAGTCCAACGACAAGTGGTAACAAAATGTCTGAAAAGGTAAAAAATTATTTCGTCTGGCTTATAAAATAACTACAGATTAATCTACATATGTTTCATGAGAAGTGGTGAAATTGTTCTATTATATGAGCTTTTGGCTAATCCTTTCAATTGAATTTATAAACTTTTTTGCTCAACAAACTACTTTCTGTACGAATCTTTGATGTGGTTATAAATGGATTATTATCATGCAGTACCCAGATAAATTTTACATGTGTGAACTACTTACAGAAAATTGATTCGCATCATCGTATAGATTACTTGGTGCAGTGGTGCATTGATAGATTTTAATTTTGGGCAATTTAAGAGTAGATGTATTTACAATTTGCAGTCGAAATTTTAGTAAATAGCGTTGAATTAACGTTCAATTTCACCATAACGTCCGTAGTTTCAAAATTTTGCCATATATAATCCTATAGCTCACGGTACTCAAATTAGTTAGCATAGAACATCTTGTAAATTACCTATCATGAGTTGACAAGTACCTAGATAGATCCTGAGTATAGGGGATCCGCAGTAGCTACAGTAAATTTGTATTGTACATCGAATTCCGTCTACGTAGCTTTTACTAAGATTTAAAGTTATAATTATGAATTTCTACAAATCAAAAAAACTGCTCTGAATTGCATTGCATTGCCTTGGGATTAGGCTTAACGTAACATTATTAAGCGCTCTAATTGTAATGCTTGAATGACCTTTCACTTATCTTCGCTATATTGATTGATATGAACTGACTGAAAAAGTTTTTGTTCTAAAATTGTTTTCTTAATGTACGGTACAAGAACTTGATTGAAGATATTATCTTTGATGCAATTCTATTTGATTCGATTCTTACAGAGAGATAAGTTAACTGGCGACGATACAACTTTCCGTGGAGGAAATCGAAGAAACGTATATGTTTACGTAGTAAGTACGGCTAGGTCTCAGATTACGTGAATCTGAGGAATATTTTAGATACCACATTGACTAATAATATGCGTTGGTACACAATACTCATACTCCTGTCATAAATATTGATAACTATGAAGTGATCACGACCAAATAATGTCATATTCAAAGATAATGGATGATGTGGAATAATTGTTACATCCAACTGTAATTACGATCATTTTGCCATGTCTACAAAGATATATCTTAATTATAGTTGATATTATACAGTACTAGTTGGCTATATCTTATAAAGTTTATTGAGAATAGAAAGTTCCGAAATAATCAGAATTTATCTTCAAATAAAAATAACACTAGATCATAAAATTATTTATGAAGAGTTAATGTAATAATTCATATCGCAGTTATTTACAGTGTACTGTGTATTACATTTATTTTGTAACATAACAATATCATAATTAATATGCACGACATTGCCAAACCGTAAGCAGGAGTAATATCAGTCATTGTACACATTCTAATGTGTCGTACAATAATTATTCTTGGTAATTATACTCTGACAAGTAATATTGCTAATGAATAGCTATATTAGGCGGTTATAATTAGAAGTATTCTAGACCTTACTGTTGGCGTGAATAAGCAGGGACTTCTGGGTAAAAAAATTGAGAAGTCCCTGGAATAGCTTGTAAATGACCAATAAAATTACTGTATGTATAACTAACCTCTTTCAAAATGTTGTAGGCCTTGTCACCTTGACAATGACATTGAACATTAATACGGTACATACCTTAGCTAAGCACGTGTTCTCATGAGCGCATAATGAGATCAGGGTTTTGAATTATTTGTAATTGCAAGAACCTTTCTTACATTGTAATAATATCTAAGCATGCCCAATAGTTAATGGATGTATTATTTATATTAATAAAAGTTAGATAAATTTGTACTATCTTAAGGTTTCCTTTTTTTATTATTTAAAATTCAAATAAATTGTAATATTGTCATAAGATATTTACAGCATTAATTAATCTCCTGCTACAGTGATTTGACGATTTTAATATTCTCTGCAGATTGGTGGGATAATCCTTGTTGCTGCTGGATTTACTATTGGTATTCTAATCGGAATATTTACTCAGAAAGGTAAGACGTATAGTATATAAATATAGTTATATTTAAAAGAAGTAAAATTTGTAGTTTGCGCCAAATGGCTGAATCGCTCATGTTAGCAATTCAATTTTTAGCGATTTAAAATATACTTAATGGTCATACGCATACCGTATGCTAATGGGCCCTACCTCCCTAATGTTATTGTAATCGGATGTACAACTAATCTACGCCTTGTTGAAAATCTAGCTAACTTTTAATTTTTTTAGCATATCATATCAGTTACATAAATAATATTCATGACATATTTGCCAGTAAATTGCTGGTATTGTTTATTAAATGTAGCAACTACAGATTAGACGTAAACCATAACCACCGCTATTTCAAATAGAAAAATATAGTATACCTGTAAATGGATCTTAAAAAACTGTAATACTTACTATAAATTATATTATATCATAATAAAAAAACAGTAAACCCATTCATAGATCTAGCAGACACAAATAATAAAATCAAACTAAAACTAGGCTATATATTTTAGTAATTCTTACCTAAGTATCTGATCAGGATATTTTACTTATGTAGAAGTAAAAATATCTTAATTTATCATCAATTGTTTTAATAAAATATTTACCATTGATGGCTTCAGTCTTCGCCTAATTGTGATTAATGGCCTTAGATACCGATATCACTTTCAGTAACTATAAAGTTAAGCCCATAATAGTGTATTCTAGTTTAAAATACACTATTGTAGTTCCTTCAAAGACTGCAATTAACTAACTAAATTTTATTGTTGATGTAACTTTAATAGCTGCTTTTCAAGGCCAGCAATCAAGCGGAACAACTGCACCACCGCCATCTTACGTAAAATCAATTTGCAAGTGCGTCAGATTTTATTACATCATACAACTTTAATTGAGTTCAGATTTTTCTTTGTATGGTATTGTAATTAAGATGAAATTGTATTGACGATTAAACTAAATTGCTTTTGTATGGAATAAATAGTGCAAAAGTTAAACCATTACTTTTGATCTCTGTGGATGGATTCCGTTGGGACTATCACAAACGTGGTTTCTCTCCTAACTTGACCGCGTTCGGTAAGGCTACCGAGAGTAGGGTAAATCAAAATAGCTCAGTTATCTCTTAATTCTAATGATAACAATAAATTTGGTAGTGCAGAATTGCTCCACAACAAGCTGAATGTGCAACAGTCATATATAAGATTTCACAATGTAGCTGATTTATTATCATTGCTTTAATTCCAAGCAGTCTAGATATTATTCATTTTTGCGTAATATAAAACAGTTTATTACTGTTCTACTTTGATTTACCCTATAATTATGTTACGGTGTCTAATAGACTGTATACAAGTATAATTAATTCCTACAATAGCATATTATAATTATTAAGACTTGTTTATATCTAGTCTATTGTTATTTTTTAGTGATAATTTAATGAATTTACATTAATAGGGCAGGCTTCCTACTTTATGTGTTAATCAAATTTACAATTATAATTTAGCAAGCCGAGGTGTTCGAGCGGATTATATGCAATCATGTTTCCCTACAAAAACTTTCCCCAATCATTACAGTATTGTGACTGTAAGTTTCATTATCAATCAGTTTTAATTTTAGAGTATCTTAATAGATTTTACTTTATAGCTATTTCTTTCTTTAGCTACCAATATTAAATAAAATATAAATCAGACAGTTTTCCATCCAAATAGGGACTGTATCCGGCCCACCATGGCATCGTGGCGAATACATTCTTTGATCCCCAACTCAATGATAAATTCTATATTGGCGCTAAGAATAGCACCCAATCTAAATGGTGGGGAGGTGAACCTGTAAGTGTTTAAAAATTTTAGAACGAATCACATTTTAAGTTTAGTTACTAGCGTACTAGTCGATAATGTTCTGATTGAAAAATGTTATTCGGTTAAATGAGGAGAATCTGACAATGATATTAATTCCTTGATAATTGCCTTTCAATGTCCTAAGAATAGTATTTCTGTGTAAAATAGCGTAACATATCTTCAATTTCAGTAAATTAGATTTTTTCTCGCGAAGATAATTTGCATTTTAGCTATGATTATGATGGGATCTGATCTGTGTAACAATGCCATTATGATTAGAAATGTAGTTGATTAAATTGTTTTCCTATATCAAAATTTGATTTAGAATGCTAGTAATATACTTGCTACAGTTTGTTGCTCTAGCTGATAAAACTTTAAAGATCAGCATCCCTCATACTGGTACTATCTTTGTAGAATATAGACTTAAGTTAATCACGAAACGTAGTTTTATACATAATCTTGTATTGATAGTTATAATTCGGTCATTCACGGATGATGATAATTACCATACAATATCATAATAAAATTTACAATTTCGCATGATTTCATATAGATCTTTATCAATATTCTATTTCCTGTCCTTTGTATTTAAGGCTGCAACATAGCTATAGACTTAGTTGTATCTTGAGCATTAGCAATTTGGCCAATTTTATGGTGACTATACAATAGGCATGATGATGTTTACCAATAGAATCGTAACCATTCTATAATTAGAAAATAATCACAATCCATGGAGATAGATGTGTTTCTTTTTGGCTATGGTTTGTATTTTAACGAGGAAAAATCTATCATATGGAGTGTAGATCAAAATATCTCAAAACTTTTGAGATATTAGTTCACTTAATTATTGACAAAGGCCGATCTTGATGTGGATAGAAATATGTTTAACAAATAAAACATTCGTTGTAGATTATATGACCAACTCTCACATTGTTGCCACCTTTTCTCTCATTTAGCTCTTAATTTTTCAGTTATAACACTTACAAAAATGAATACTATAACTAGATACTCTTTTCCTTTCAGATATGGGTTACTGCAAGGAAAAATAACTTAAAAGCCGCAAGTTACTTCTGGGTTGGTTCTGAATCGGAAATTAAAGGTTAGCCTTGGTAGCAAAATTCAGTGCTGGCTGGCATTATGACGTAGATCTAGCTGAGCTAGATTGATCTATATATAGATCTGTAAGGATGCCATTCAAATGCACTATACGAATAAATCATCTTAAGAGTTTTTTGTTGTTCAGGTTATCGACCTAACTATGGTATCGTAT